TGGGTAGATTGCCCAGGCCTGCTGAGCCAGATTGGTTGGCCGCCCTCTATAAATTACTAATTTTTTTATCTCACTTGGTCCGTGAATCCCCCGTTGTCTTCCTCCATTGTTAACATGGCAGCAGACTTACCTTCCTATACATCGTATACAGACTCTGGAAATACTTCGAGAGCTCCTTCAACATATTCTGTCATATCGTCTGACCCCAGCAGCTATGTAATTACCGATGAAACAAAGCCACTGCTGCAACCTGCATTGCGACCAGAAAACGGCAATAATCGTACAGCATCGACAAACAATGGGACAGCTTCCCCTTTGAGCTCGGTTATTAACCTCTCAAACACTATTCTTGGAACAGGAATGTTGGCCATGGTATGCATCCCGAGATTACCTCCTTTTTTAGTGTTTGTAAGGAGATTTCTCACGCTTCTCAAATTATCTCATTTTTACATTGATAGCCCTCTGCCGTAGCCTCGGTCGGATTGATCCCAGGCATGTTTGTCATTGTATTCTCTGGTATAACCTCAGCACTTGGTCTTTACTTCCTCTCCAAAGCTGCTGCTCGAACGGAGGGCCGTGAAGCGTCATTTTTCGCAGTCTCACAGCTCACATGGCCATCAGCTGCCATATTTTTCGATTTGGCTATTGCCATCAAGTGTTTTGGAGTTGGTATTAGTTACATGCTCATTGTGGGTGATCTAATGCCACAGGTAATGACAATCAAATTACCTTTTGTTTGGAGAAACGCAACATGTATACTAAAGTTTAAGCTTGCCTCCTGCAGATAATTAAAACCATCTTTAATCCAAGTGAGGAATTGTATTATCTGTTGGATAGGCGGATATGGATCACCGTCTTCATGATCACCATTGTTGGACCATTGAGCTTTTCAAGAAAACTGGATTCGTTAAAGTATACTAGTGTCATCGCCTTGTTCGCTGTTGCTTACTTGTGTTTGATCGTCGTATGGCACTTTGTCATTCCCAACTTTCCAAGTGCTCCACCTGAAGAAATCGAGCTGGTACACTTTTCGACAAAGTTTTTTACCAGCTTGCCTGTCTTTGTTTTCGCCTTCACATGCCATCAGAATGTAAGTTAACTGAGAGAGTTCGACATGTAAGGGATTTTTGGAGAGTGAATTGATGACTGATATTCTAAATCACAGATATTTACTGTCTACAACGAGCAAAAAGACAATAGTCAAAAGAAAATCAACACTGTCATTGCTACCTCCATCGGCACTGCCATCTTTTTGTACGAGGGTATTGCGGTTATGGGTTACCTCAGTTTCGGCAAAGCTGTTATGGGAAACATCATTCTTGAGTGTAAGTTCATTTAACGAACGGAGCTCGAGTCATTACAAGTGCACTGACGTAGGTGGGGTTGCATTTGTAGATCCAGCAAGTGTGTTTGTCACTGGTGGACGTATAGCCATTGTGATTCTCGTTTTACTCAGCTACCCGCTACAGTGCCATCCATGTAGAAATTCGCTTGACAAGGTCTTATCGTTTGGCTCAGCTCCTGTCGATGAAAATGGTGTGAAAATTCTATCACCGCCTTCCACTTCAAAGTACCTTGCCATGACGATCGGTATTTTGATTGGTACGTTTTTAGTAGCCATCACCATGACCAAGCTGGATTTAGTGTTGGCATTTGTCGGATCGACTGGCTCCACCGTCATATCTTTCATTTTGCCTTCTTTGTTTTACCTCAAGCTACATGAAGATAAGCCTTGGTCATATTCCAAAATCATAGCGTTACTGTTAGGTATCTATGGTTGTTTGGTAATGGTGATCTGCCTCACGTTCAATATCATGCATGTTGTCAACCCTCCTTCACATTAGACACATCATGGTCCTCAATTGATTGGAACTGTATTGATCCAAAACACTCGAGGCGGAGCAATTTGCCTTTGCTCAATGTGAAATGCTTTTACGCCTTACTACTTTTTGACGAATAGAATATCAGTCATCGTCCTGGTTTTTTTTTTTTCCTACTACTTCTGACATATACCTTTGTACAGTACATTCAATAAATTGTGTGGTTGACTTTGTTCTTAGAGATCACTGAAACATTGAAACATAACGTTTCAATACAATTCCTGATATTTTTTTACTGATACATCAGTCTCCATAACAACTTTTATGCACAAAGTACATAGATTGAAATATACACCATTGAATTAACCTAGATTAAAAACCACATGAGTCGGTATTTGCTAACCCATCATAATTTAAAGCTTAAGAGTTTGATCACAATGCAAGAGGAGTAGCTGGTTTTTGCGGTGTCGACGGTTGTATCGAGGGTGGTCAATGGGACGTGGGATGTAAAGTTTGCCTCGTTCAAGAAAATCAGACCAACGAATGAGAATTGTTCGAAAAAGACCACCACGAGGTCTATGGGAAATTCTCTGTCGCACATCGTAACTGTGACTGATGGCGCCACCGCTGGCAGACTGAAGTAGCCTGCCAGTACCAGAAAACAACCTTCCAATCGTAGCTCGAATGATGCCAGAGTATAGCGTAGATACTATTGGCAATGACTGCAAGATACCTTGAAAAAAATAGATCATAATCAAAACCCATTTTGAGAGGTATATGTACACTATGCGGGGTGCCTCACCTTCAATTGTCCAGCTGTCTTCGTGCCAGCAAACTTTGAGCAAGCGGCTATCCAGGTCCGTTTCCTGAAAGTGCAGTATCATCCAGCTAGGAATGCTTAATACCAGAGGTATAAAGGGTATTTTAATGTAGTTGGTAAGATGGACTGCACACGTCCAGTAGTCGAATATCTTGGTCGTAATGGTCGGTGGTTTGACGCTGAGCGTCGACCGTAGTTTAAAGATACTAAACGAAGAGGTGAGCGCGTGTGATGATTTGAATGGTACGATTGAACGACTATGCTATACCTTTTTATATTTTCAATGCCTTCCACAGAGATCAATGGTGAAGTAAGCTTGGCGTTGGGAAGATAATACTTGTCCAAAACCCTTCTCTGAGCTACTTCGTCGGCGGACAAAAGATCGCTCAAGATCTCTAACCATGGCAACAATAGAGTGAGATTTTGCAATAGAGAGCAAGTAGTTCATGTTCATATTCTTACTATGCAACAGGTGATGTTGATTATGCTGTAATAGATCTTGATCGGCATCCATGAAAGATCCTTCCCACTACGGCTGCAGGAGAGGGTTTTGAAAAAGTTACTACTCCGCTAGGCCACTAATCTGTTTGGACAGCTCCATTGTTGACACCAGGAAAACATAGCAACATGTATGGAATGTATCACCAATCCTGACTCTATTTTATACAAACGGTTCTTTTCTTTGTTTCCAACAAAATAAAAAAAAAAGAGTATATGGTACATAATCTATGGGAAGGTCAGGGTTGTGCACGTTGATTCTCCTCGCAACGTGTATTTTCTACAGGTATTGGTTATTGAGTTTTGTTTCCACGGAAGCGCATGCGAGGATCCAACTGTTGAAGACGGCCAGAGATAGAAAAAATTAAGACACGGTTAGAAAGCCTTGCTTAACAAGAATTCCGAGGTTCCTGGCCTGACTGGAAAAACGCTTACCATTCCACGCCTGCATTCATAGAAACTTTTGAGAATTGAATGGCATTCCTTAGGAACGTCGTTAGCATGCTCTTCCTTGAAGCATTCTTTTACGCTATTTCCATTTTTGACCACACAATCTGACTTGAGCATGCAATCTACAAGTTCCTGCCTGATTTCTTTACAAGAAGATGGCATTGTGAAGGCAAAGGATGGTTGAAAGTGTGACGACTTTTTTGGAAATCGTATTTTTTGCAAAAAGACTCTCCTCGCGTAAATATGGAAACTCGAGATGAACTGGCAAGATAAAATAAAAAGGAAGAGACTTTTTCACTTTATCAATACTTCACAATGTAATAAAAAAAGAACATTCTACATTCTAAAGACACCAAAATCAGTCTTGCGTATAGGGGCGTTCAAACTGGCACTCAGTGCAAGTCCGAGAACTGAACGTGTATCGCGAGGATTGATAACACCATCATCCCAAAGTCGAGCACTGGAGAAGTATGGGTGACCCTCCTTTTCGTACTTTTCCCGAATAGGAGCCTTGAAGTTCTCTTCGTCTTCAACTGGCCATTCTTGCCCCTTCTTTTCTTTGCTGTCCCGAGTAATTTGAGCCAGTACGTTGGCACTCTGTTCACCTCCCATGACAGATATACGTGAGTTCTGTGGGGGTAGTAGAGTGTTAGTTACACCAGCTTGTCATTAATGTATGATATATAGTACTATCAACTTACGGGCCACATCCATAAAAATCTTGGAGAATAAGCTCTTCCGCACATGCCATAGTTGCCAGCACCAAAACTGCCACCCACAATGACAGTAAACTTTGGTACATTGGCACAAGAAACAGCTGTGACTAACTTGGCACCATTTTTAGCAATGCCTCCGGCTTCAGCAGATGATCCGACCATGAAACCGGTGATGTTCTGCAAGAAGACCAACGGTATGCCGCGCTGAGAACAGAGTTGAATGAAGTGAGCTCCCTTGAGAGCAGACTCTGAGAATAGAATTCCATTGTTGGCGACGATACCAACAGGATAACCATGAATGTGGGCAAATCCTGCAAATAGTCACTTAGTACCAGTTCACTTGGCTCTTTAACTGCTGTATTGACATTTACCTGTTACAAGGGTGGTTCCGTAATGTTCCTTGAACTCACTGAATCGACTGCCGTCCACAATACGAGCAATCACATTCTTTATATCGAAAGGCTTTTTCAAATTATCACCAACAATACCGCCCAACTCATCCGCTGAATACAGTGGCTCTTCCGGCTTTTGTATTGTAACCTGAAAGAGCATGCCTGTGAGATTGTTGATGTCAAACCAGCCCTATAAACTACACTGCTTACTTACCTGGGGCTTTTTGGTGTAGTTCAATGTACCAACCACACGACGGGCAAGTGCAAGTGCATGCTCATCGTTGAGTGCAAGGTGATCAGTAACACCTGAAGTTCGACCTATGAAGCGATTGGATTGACTCATCAGTCAAATCAACTTCTACTAGTGCGCTACTGGTCAATAAAAATACTTACAATGAAGGTCTGCGCCACCAAGTTCTTCAGCACTGACGACTTCGCCGGTGGCAGCTTTGACAAGAGGTGGGCCAGCCAAAAAAATCGTTCCTTGCTTGCCAACAATGATACTTTCATCTGCCATAGCAGGAACATAAGCACCACCTGCTGTGCACGAACCCATAACGACAGCAATTTGAGGAATCCCTTGCGCTGACATGTTGGCCTGGTTGTAAAAAATGCGACCAAAGTGCTCTCTGTCGGGGAAGACATCGGCTTGACGTGGCAAATTTGCACCACCAGAGTCAACTGAAGAATTGTATTAGTCTCACATTAGATCTGGGTTGATTCAAAGGAATGAAAATGTCTTACCAAGATATATACAAGGGAGCTTGTTGTCTTTTGCTACCTCTTGCGCTCTCAAGTGCTTCTTAACTATGATATATATAATCAATATATAGTGTTAGCATGGCCAATCACAGTCTGGAGCAATCCATGGTTTTCCACTTGCCTGTAATAGGGTAATAGGAACCTCCTTTGACGGTAGGGTCGTTTGCAACAATCATGCATTCGGTTCTGTAAGTTTGAGAGCAACTGAGTCAGACGAAGAGCGAGTCGAATGTGAAAAATTTTACCGGAAACCGAATTACTTACCCATTGACTTTTCCAATACCAGTGATGATACCGCCGCATGGCACAACGTCTTCATACAACTCATATCCAGCCAAAGGCGATAGTTCTAGGAATGGAGAGCTATTCAAGCACCGAATTAGACATACGACAAACTTGTGAATTGCTCTGAGAATAAAACCTGTAGGCTTACTTGACATCCAATAGACGATTGACTCTATCACGCGGGAGCAACTTGTTTCTTCCCAAATGTCTCTTTCGAGCCTCTTCACCACCACCTATTTCGTGTTTTAGCATCGGGCCACAAGCAATAACCGCAATTTTGTTCTCGTACCTAGCTTAATTTTGGCTGTCACTGAGTCCAGATCACGAACGATAGCGTCCATTCTAGCGCTGTTTTCCTGTTTATGTTCAATAGAAAGGTCAGATAAACATATAAGTTTCGTTACGTCAAAAGTATACTGTCTGTACCTTGAAAGCGGCTGACTGGGGTTCAATGAGATTAGGCAAAACATTGGACTGATCCTCGTGGAATGCATGATAAGCACGTTGTGATCTCGTGGCCACAATAGAGGTCAAGCGCACGGAGTGCGAGATTCTGAAGAATCGCGAGGCCGTCAGCATCACGAAAAGAAAAGATGGGGAAACAGAAACGTTGGCACAAGTTTCCCACGGCATACAGCATATACGCATTCATTTTATTCTCCGCCTCCACTTCTCTTTAGATTTGAAGCCTTCGAGTCTGCTGGCAGCATACGCATTGGCTGCAATAAGAACGACTAGCTACTTGAATACTCTGTCCAAAGTAAATTTGTGCCATTTCTACAACTACATCTTCATCTCCTGCCATACCAAGATCTTCAATATCTTGAGCGTGAAGCACCACATCGTCTTCGTCTTGATGATCCTTCAACTTAGTTTGAAGGTGTAGTAACACTTGCAAAGATAGAACATGGAAGAACCTAAGGATATCCAAAAGAAATAAGTAAGTGTTTCTCAAACAATTCGGACCACAAAGATTCTCGCCAAAATACTTACCGGATCAACTCTATTTCAAGCCAATGCTTGTTGTCTTCCACATCGACAGTATCCGATTCGACTCGGATGATAGTCTGGGAATTGCCAGCTAGCGTTGCCATGATGTTGGATTCCGTTATTAACGGAGCATCCTCTTCGTCATCCTGCAACTCGTCGCCTCCAAATAGCAGCCTTGTTCGCTCTTCTCGTGTAAGACGATCTTGCTTCCGTCGTTTTATCCGGTTACCCACAAAAGCTTGTTGCCAAGACCGAAATCGAGCTGGACGTTCCTCATCTCTACCATACCACCAGAACCATCCACCAAGAAGAAATTTTCCAAGTGTGTCTCCTAAAGTATCTGAAGAACTGTTCCTATCCAAAAGATCCGCCAGTTTTGTATCATAGCCATCATCAGGCTCGCTAAAGAGGTCGGTAAAGGTTGTTGTCTCCAATAGTCTTCTGTTGAGCCGGTTCATTCTAGACTTGATCATGATTCTCAAAATTCGATACCGTAAAAAGTTCGCTTGAGTGTATCGCATGACTTTCAATTGTCCGCCATCGACTGACTCAATGCGTAAATGTGGAGAATGGGATAATTGCGGTAAGCTATATGACGAACCAATGCCTTCCAAAATAAATCCTTGACTAGATTCGTCGTCAGATTGATCTGGTAGAGTCACTAGAATATCGAACAAGTGTGGCTTTTGCTGAAATATCTTGTCTGGCGTACAAGCGACATATCCTCCTTCAATTGTTTCCATTTCATCGATATCATTGATGCCAACACAGAACAATGGCTGTAGCTTCGATTTGCCTTCCAATGTAAGTGTGAGTTCGTGAGATCGTGGTAATGTGGCAAGTAGGCAGGTATTGTACACTAGAACAAAAATAATGGTTAACAAATGCTCGATTCATGTGCAAGTCGATTAATTTCAACTGACCGAATTGACAAGCTTTTTCGACAGGTGTGGATGTTAATATCAAAATTCTCTTCTTGAGGATGGCAGCTTTCCATAGCAAAAAGATATTGGGTCCCAATATTCGCACGAAATCTGGAAAAGCGTGCGCAGGATGGGAATCTTCTACCTGGAGATATTCCATGTTTTTTGCATCCGTGCCGGCCGGATGACGGATGACGTTGTAGAGTTGGTGATTTACACTTTGCTGTGCTGTTTCGTCATTTGTCAAGGTGTGTGCTAACGATGATATGGATGGTGAGAACTGGCTCAAATCGGCAGATGCTTGGTGGTGCAATTTGGACGTATCAATGGAAGATAATGATGCAAACTTGGTCATGTTCGGAACGTCAAGACTTTCTGTAGATATAGATGGTAGCCCGTCGTTGCTTTGCGGTTCTTTTTGGCTGTTATTATTGTAATATTCAATTAAGTTATCATAAGTAGTGCTCGTAATTTCGTGCTGTTCGATCAATATTCTATATGTAAATCAATCGTCAGATGCTTTTCATATTGACTGTTGTACATAGTGTTCACTTTAGCTTACTTGACTTCGCTCCGGAGGAAATCGATATGATGCCATAATTGGCCGCAACTACCAGTTTCTGGTGTCGGAGTCACCAAGCAGCCCACCGCCATCATGCGAGCACCACGTTCTTCAGTGTTCTCGTTAACTGCTTTGTTTTCAAACGCACTAATACCAAAGTTTGATCCCTTTTTGAAGTATCTATAGGATTGTTGTTGGTATTCGAGGAAATGACGAGTCAATATAGGGCAAGCTGAATTGCTTACATCGTGTCTTCTGAAATACTATGAAGGCCGCTGCAAATTGCTTGATATTCTACTCCATCTAAGTTCATATCTGTATAGTCGTATTCTTCATTAATATCACCTTTGAGTCCATGGTTATGTCTTCTTAGACTAAAACACGTTACCTGCTGGGTATTGCCATTCAATAACGTTTCCTCGGTGGACGTCAAATCTTGCTACAAACACAGCAACAATGTTTTCAGAGCTTTGTTGAGTAGTTGAACTAACACTGGGGGACAACTGTGATCCATTCTGTTCTTGTTCCATCCCTAAGATATTAACACTTGTACTCGGTATGCTGCTGTATGGGTGAATGGTGATTGGATCAGTAGTCGGCTAACAAGGCCATAGCAGAAAACGGGGTCTGGCTATTTTTTGATTTACCTGTCATGCAGTTCGACATCGCCTACTTCTGCTTGCGCAGGAAAGCCGTCCGAGACAGTACTCATTTTTATAGCTGTCAACGATGAGTCGAGTATGATTCACCAAGTACGGAAGGCAAATGTGAACACCTGGAGTGAATGAAACGGGCTGTATGGTCGGGATTTTGAGAGCACCGATGTCCGAATTAGGATTTTGTAACACAGACCAGTTTCACTAAAGTATGCGGCTCATGGAAGGACGCGAGCTACAGAGTATCGACAGCTAGTAAGGCCAAACAACTTTGGTGTAAGGACAACCGATAATCAGCTTTGATAATGTATATCCTTTTAAAATTTTATTGCTAAAAGTGCTGCGCTCTAGAACTTAAACATACAACATTTCAAAGGTAAATTTGAGCGACTGAATAAAAAGAGGATAGCAGGAATCTTCATGCAGTTGGCGTCCTGGAAAAGCATTTGGCCCTTTCCTTCATTTTGCCTTCGATAAAAAATAAGAGAGCATGACCATTTGTTACTTTGCATGACAATGCGGGACAAATGTATTGTCACACGAGTCGTTTACAATAGTCTAAGGATGGACATCCACAATATGTGAAAATATTTTGCAAATACGAAACGGTTTGGGTGAGATTACTTTAACAGCTGGATATATATCTCATGAAATTTTGGCCCTGGTAGCCAGCCCATGCTCGGGATTCTCAACCATGAGTGACCACCCGTTTTGCACCCATGACCATGCAGTTCCGAGTGTAGTGTGGCGAACTAAGCTCACAAAAGTGCGAGACTAACGAAAACGCAAAGCTCACTAAGGATCTACCCTACCTGGGTCCACACAGGCGTAGAATGGTGGTTAAAGAGACCCTTTAGATAGTGTATAAATTTAAAGTACGATCGGCATACCAAAGGGCTGGTTTAATGAGCTTGTTTCTACTTGTGTGCTTTCATCTGTACCGATTACGGAGCCGCGTTGGTTTTCATGTGTTTGCTGTTTACAAGCACATCACATGAAGTGTCGGCAATCTGAGCTATAACTAGGAAAGTTTTTTCCTCAGACTGAGGCTCCTCAGTCCTCTTCGGCTCATAACCTTCTGTTCAAAGAAACTACCATACCCCACTTCAATACATAATCCTTCATCCAACACGAAAAAGCAACAATCATACTTCATCATGGCGCCACAAACAGCATCCGAATTAAAAGTAATGGAAACAGCAAAAAGAGGAATGCAAGCTATTGGTCTTGTATCTCTTGCCGTCGTATCAGCACCGGTGGTCATAATAGCGTGTCCTCTCTTGGGTGCTTATGAATTCGCCACCGCCTACGATGCTGAGCTATACTCTGGTTCAAAATTTATCGACGGGGTTATCGGCGGCCTCTTTGGAGTCGTCACATCGCCTCTGGCTCCTTTCTATATCGCATGGGGGGTCATAGAAGAGCTTTATAAAGAACCTCCCCCGAAACCAATATCAATTTCGAATACGTTTCAGGAACAAGCACATCGAGATATTGGCCTGGACTGCCTCAATTTCTACAATATCGCCGTGGTTGGTGTCACGGGAACCGGCAAGGTAAGCATACACAGATATGGTCTTTTTTCCGTCTGCCAAATATTTTCTTCTCGAAAGAAAATAGCTGTCTTCGGTATGTCTACAGCCAAGTATACTGACTCCACATCAAACGTTTAGTCCTCTGTTGTCAACGGATTACTAGGATACCGAGATAGTCATCCATTCGCGTCAAAGGTTGGTGAAATAGAATCAACCGCACAACCACTCGGCTACCGCCACCCAGTCCTTCCAACGCTGATGATCTGGGATATGCCTGGTGCTGGCACCAAGTCACATCCTGCGAAATCTTACTATGAGGACAAGTATCTACAGGCTTTTGATGCACTTGTTATAGTTACTGGAGACAGGTACGATAAAATTAATTTGATTTTCCCCAAGTGCTTTGAAAAATTCAATCTAATGCGTCTGTACCGCAAAATAGACTGATGGCAACTGATGTACACATTGCTCGAGCTGCTCATGCGCATGGCCAACCATACTACATTGTGCGAAATAAAATGGACGTGGTAAGTGGCTCAAATAGTCGTCGGGCATATGTGGTTATATACTACCAATGCGATGTAATGACGGCAAAAATCTGACCCCCCAAATTCTCGCTGACTCGAAATAGGCAATACAGTCTAGACTGCGCAGGCAAAGCGTGAAGGGATCCATTGGTCACAATCAATGGGCAAGCACTGTGGGAGAACTTGCGAACGAAATGCAAATCCAACGAGATATGAAAATGTTCAATTTCAATACAGAAAACCTGTTTCTTATCTCTGCGTGGGATCTCCAAAATTTGGTCATCTCACTACGAAATCATCAGCCCGTTGGTGATATGCGAATTATTCACGAAAAAATTTTAATAACGACATTGTTAGATACAATAGCGGAAAAACGTAGACAAGAATTAGCATCAGACTCAGGAATAAGCACTGAGCATGGTAATGAATAAGTGGTTGTGTAAAGAAGATTGATGTAAGATGGGAAATAATGGATTGGGAATATACTTAGCATCGCTATATAAGCAAAACATGCAATATAAAGCATTCACTACTTCACTTCCCTCTATTTTGCTTCTGGTCCATATGTTTCAGTAATGTACTCCTCCCAAGTTTGCAACCAAGGATATTTGGCGCGCAAAGCTTTAACATCACCGCAGTAGCCGGGGTTTTCCCAAAACTTAGCCATCTTGCCGTACTTGCTTCCAATCAGGGTGACGACTAGTGTTGAAAAAATTGAGTTAACATCAGCTCTTCATAAAACTTCAATAGGTATGAGAATATTTATGAGAATATTCAAAAAGGTACTTACTGCCATATTTGAAAACCCACATTTGCTTAGCCTGCCATTTTGTGCCAGTAACCTTTGTGAATATTTCAGCGATCTCATAGTGGTCGAGTTCTTCAGCTGACAGCTCGATGACTTGGCCGCTGTATTCTTCGGGATGTTGAAAAGCTTCAGCAGCAATTAAACCAATGTCCCTACAACCAACAGCTTGGATTCGCTTTTCAGGGGCGTTGGCAGAAGGGAAGACACCATCCTTTGGAGCAAATGAACTATCCTTAGCATAATTCTCAAAAAAGTTGGCGGGTCGAATGACAGTATTGGTCAGTTCGGACTTTTTAGCGATATATTGCTCGATTTCGTACTTGTTGTAAAATTCAGGAAACTTAGCAGCTCCGGCGTTGCCAACGGATGTGAAGACGAGATGCTTAACATTCTTAGCGACGGCAACATCAGCAGTATTTCTTCCCTTCTGTATTTCTTTCTGTACGGCATGGAAAACATAGTATGGTTAGCAATCTCTCTCCACAAAGATGTTTAATCAATGTCGATCATTCCTACCTCAACAGCACCGCTTTCACTGTGATCTGTGATCAAGAAGACACCGTAAGCGCCGTCAAAAGCTTTTTCGAGGCTCTTTGTGTCGTTGAGATTAGCTGTAATTAATTCAGCACCTTTGCCAGCCCATGCCTTGGATTTGGAGCTGTTAACATCGCGGGTGACGCCACGAACTTTGAAGCCTTTGTCAAGTAAAGCCTGGGCTGCTGCACCTCCCTGCTTGCCGGTGATACCGAAGACGACGATGATTTTGCCAGTAGGATCGATTGATGGAGAAGACATGTTTTGTGTTGTGTTTATGTTGTGAGTAAAAAATTCAATGAGAATGAACAACGTTATTTATATAAATCAGCTGCGCAAAACTGGTTACAAAGAAACTGCTTGGCGCATCGCATGAAACACGCGAGCATTGAGACAAATAGTATCTGGGCAAAAAATTTTGGGGGGAGGGAAGTTTTTCTCACTGACCCAACATTTCGTTATCTCGATCTGCGTGAAACCCTGATGTTGTTATTCCGTTGCTATTGTTAACTTGATAATTTTTTTTGTAGCACGCCATTGCGTCGAAGCTATGTTGCTGAACCCGAAGCCGGTTGCACAACTGCGGCTTTTCATTTACCAACATTGCCAAAGGTTGCGTATACTTTCTTAGCTCTGCCCAGGATTTCCTTGGGACGTAAGATGGCGATTTTTTGTCTTGGCTTTAGCTTTGAGTCATACCTTTTCCAAAACCGCTACTGTCCTGGGTATGCTCCATCGGCAATAACCCAAAAATGATTTACGCACCCTCTCACACCAATTTTAGAGCCTTTTCAATGAACATATGCCGCCAAAAGAAAGCTATACTAAAATCAAGCATAAGTACTCAAGTTGAGGCAGGATATTGCACTTGCTCGTTTGTTGAAATGATACCATTTATTATGTTGATACTCAGAATCGGAAGCAGCGAAGTGATCGGCCAAGAAATGGTGTTTCTGTGCCAAGAGCTTGGAAATTTTAGAGTTGTTACTTTATTCTTATCCTTTTTACACGTGGTGTTTAACCTAACCCCAAACATCTTCATTGTATCTTCCCTCTTCTACCCAACGCTTGACAGTTTCCTCGGCCTCAGGCTCTGACATACCAGACATTTGAACAATGATTCTTTCCCAGGTACGTTTAACGTCCTTGGCCATACTACCGGCCGATCCACAAACGTATATGTTGGCACCTTGCTCAGCCACAACATCATACAGCTGTTGAGCATGTTGCAGAAGGCTGTGTTGTACATAGCGTACAACTTGACTGGATCGAGAAAACGTAGTGAACAACTTGGCAAGGGTACCGTCCTCAACGTATGATTCTAGTTCTTCCTTGTAAATGAAATCTTGCTCCGGGTGACGGCAGCCAAAGAACATAATGGCATCAGAATTGCCACCTTTCTCATGACTCTTCAGTCCCTTAGCATGACGCTCTTGAAGGAATCCTCGGAAAGGACTCATTCCAGTACCAGCGCAAATGAAGATAACCGGTTTAGAATCGTCTTCTGGTAACCGGAAGGTTGATTTGCATTCTTTGATTTGGGCATTGATTTTGGTTCCAGGTTTTAAGTCTTTCAGATAGCCGGAGCAGAGACCATGATATACTTGTTTTCCATCTGGTCCTCCCATATCTCGCACTATGCCAACGCTCTAAAGAAAATAAATATGTTTAGCTTAAAGGGATTACGAATCAGTTCATCACAAAAAAAAAAAATGATAGTGTAACGTACCACCGAGGGATCGTAAGGATGTTCCAGAGGACCACTTGAAATACTGTATTTTCTAGGCACGATGCAGTTGACTGAACTGATGAACTCTTTGAAGTTCAATTCTTTGATCTGGAATGCTGTCATGATATCGACAAAAGTCCGATGGGTAGCTAAAAATTCTTTGAGACGTTCAGTCTCTTTGCCAGGTTGAAGAGCGACTTGTAGCCTTTCAGCAATATCTGGACGGATTGTTGCAAGCTGCTTGGCCAGAACTGATAGAGTATACCTAGTAGGAGTTCCAGTCAAGTCAGCGTAGTAGGTGAGAGCGTTACGAATAGTGCATGGCCCTTTGATGTTTGCAGCCATGGAACGTGGAGAAAGGTTTGTGATCTCAAGATCCTTAATCTGGAAGACAGAATCCAAAACAAGCCCCAAGTTGAAGGCAACTCGTTCGACTGTCTCTGAATCGTTAACGGGCGTAATTTCCAAATGATCTCCTGCTTCATACAATGGCTTCTTGTCCTCTGATTCATCGAAAGCGACTTCAATGTGTCTGGTGCTTCTCTGACTTTTTTCAACGTTCTGCAACTCTCGGTTTTTCTTGATGACAACAAGTGCGCCACGTTGATTTCGGTTTTCACCACCAGCTAGAACCTCTGGGGACTTGTTGGCAGGTAGGAACTCCAAAGTGAAGTCTTTTGAGGGATCGGCCATGGGACCACTGGTAGACATGATATCGGCATTTTTTCCAGAAGCAGACTGACCATATCGCTGCATTAAGGCGCTCCAGAAATTGGCGGACCATACATGGAAATCACCGTCAATGTCCTCTGAAGCATCGCCAACACCAGCTGGCAAAAGCCGGTCGGCTCCTAAAAGCTCAAGGCCATTGTCTATTTTCGCGGGGAATTTTTGGAAAGTGCTGGACCAGTCACGATTACCACAACCGAAGACAGCGTACAAGACACCTTGAAGTTCATTTTTCTTGGTGTCTTCTATATTTTCTGTTTTGGAGGTGAGCCATTTGTCAAAACTGACTGCGTTGTCCGGTGGATAACCGTTATATGTGGCTGTTACAACCACAAGTAGCTCAGAAACTTTGACATCGTCCTCGCTAGAAGGAGCGCTGTCGTTCTTTTGGAGTTTGTTGAGTTTTCCTCCTTTCACTAACGTCTAATTATCGAGATCATCCACTTTGATGTTTGTAAATCCAAAACCTTTGGCTTGCCCAGAAAGCTTTCTGGCGTATTCCTCAGAAGTATTTGTTTGTGTTCCGTACAAAAATGTGACTGGGGGAAGAGGAAACTTGGCAGGAACATTCAGCCCAGTGGAGGACTCGGATTTAGTGGCCTCATGCTTTGTCAACACTGCCTCCTCGGTCGGTTCCGGTAGCTCAATGGGAGATACCCTGACCATAAGATCCACTGGCTTCATGGCAATAATAACTTGATAGCCAATTTGTTTGTTGGGGTCGTCCATGCTAAACTTGAACTTACTCAACATCATGACGAGGGCCAACTTTCCTTCTTGTAACGAAAATTGTCTGTTATAGATGTTTAATATATATGTATGCAGCATTGGGGCAAGAAAAGTATTTCAATGTTTCCTTACCTTCCAATACAGGCTCTAGGTCCATCGCTGAAGGGTAACCAAGCATTGGGATGTAAATCGGGATGGTCGGCGAATCGTTCCGGGTTGAACACATCTGGTTCTGGCCAAACTTTTGGCTCGTGGTGAACGGAATAAATGCCGCTTTGCAAAAGTGTACCAGCTTTGATTTTATACTCATCCCCGCTGATTCCAGCTTTGATAGTACAATCCTTCTGGCAATATTTTATGACCGCGAAAATGGGAGGATGCATTCGCAGAGACTCCTTGATGACAAGATCAAGGTATTTACACGCACCGACTTGTTCGGGTGTGGGAATTTCGCCAGGTTTCACTCCAGCATTTGCGATTTCTTGGACAATAATTTCGGCAATTTTTGGGTTACGGCAAAGCTCAAGTATGGTCCAACTGAGGAATGCCGAAGTCGTATTGTGTCCAGCGCTCAGAAAAGTGATAATGTTGTCTCGAATAAGTTTATTGTCCAGCTTTTCACCTTCCTTGGTCTCAGCGGTCAGCATGAAATCAAGCAAGTCAGTCTGGGCGTCCTCTGCATGCGGGTGGCTTCTGCGCTCTTCCAGAACTGAATCAATGGTGGTGCGAAGTGTACTCAGATCACGTTGGAAACGGACATTGGCGCTGGTCTGCATCCATTTCATCCAAGTTGGGGTAGATCCTCGCTTCATAATCATGGACTGAACATAAGCCAAAGCGACCGTGAAGGGATGGCGCTCAGCATTAGGGTCTTTGAGAAGGTCAAAGTCGTAATCGAAACCGATCTTTCCAATAGATTCGAGAGCCAATGCGATCATCCATCTAGAAACGTCGAGTTCTTCTCCTGATTTTTGGAAAGTCTCCATGATATTCAATAATTCTTTGATAGTTTCACCCATCTTATAATGATAAGCTCTCATGGCTCTTGCCGAGAAAGCGGGCATAAGCAACTTGTGTGCAAGAACCCAATCTGGATCTTTGGTACTAGTGGTGACAAGTCCACTGCCGTTCATGATTGCCAAATCCTGATATAGACTGTAGATTTCTTTGGTAAAGTATTCACCATCCTGGGATATGGTTCGAAGGCAATCTGGATCGCAAACAGATAAAATATCGTGCCTATTGTTATGGAAAGCCATGAATGGAAGAGTTACCGAGATTGAACGTCAGACATGAAATGACCACTCCGTTCGAGGAAAAAAATATTGAACCTACCCTCCTAAGGACAAACGAATAATTGGTCCGTACTTGTCATGAAGCTTGCGCGTATTGCCGACCATATCCGGATACACGTCTGGCACATTTCCCAGCAGAACACTGCAATAATAGCCAGTTAGTACCACTAATGTCACAGCTATAAGGTTTGAAAAGCATACTGGGTTCGTGCTTACTGTGGCTCTGGTCCAGGAATCTTATCACTTTCGTAAATTGTCATTCAAAGAACTGAAGATAGAAATAATTGATGCTTTGAGGATCAAACAATACTCGGTGAGTTGAACAGTTTTATAATGATTTTTATTTAGTGTAGTGAATCAATATTTGTTACATCACCTTAATCAAAACGATTTAGCAGTCCCGGTATTGATTTGAAATTTGTAATGAGCTTTGAATTTGTACATTTCAAGGCCTCGCAACAGCGATTTATATCCAACATTTAGCTTCAAACACTATCAAATTACACAGATTCTGTTCTTTCTGCTTCCTCAAATCATGCTTGTATTTTATATTTTTGTTCGAAGGAAGTAGTGCTCAAGGCAGGCTTTCATGCGTATATTCGCGGTCGATCGGGGTCCAAAAATTTCCAAACTTCATTGCCGTGTTTCTCGGTAAAACAATCGGGCAAACGGAAAAGCCCTGTGTAAAGCGAAATTGTAAGCAGAATATGCATGCATATACCGACATTGATGTGCCAGCGGCGAACGTTACCAGCCAACGTCCCCTCATTTTCCCGAATATCTCCTGCACTCCCGTTATTCATTCGTCAAAGAGCAATGATGACAGCGTCGCATAATCCTATTATACGGATTCACCCTAAATGGTCAAATTAATGTCACGCCTGAAGTTCGATCGCATCCCCTATTATTAGGCCGACCTATCACTTTGAGGCTCCTAATTATTGCTCGAGAAGTAGATTCTTTGATGCGACGACTGATTGTGACTAAACCACTTTACGCATATGTACTCCGGTTTTCAGTTATTTTATGCTATATGCCACGGTGCGTCCACAATAGAATGCGTTTTTGAGCGAGATGGCACCGTCAACCGTAATTTGACATTCTGTTTTTAGCTAATGCTTTCCATTTGCATAACGCTATCATGATGTATTTTTTTTTTCATTACGCACCACTGGAAAAATTCTGAGCATGCCAGATTTAGTCACGCTATACATTTAAAAAAGCTAACCTATGTTAAGTGAATTCCGCTGTTGGCGTTGCGACCGGAAACCACAGGCTTTATCACAACGCCGAAAGAGGATTCCGTAATTTTTGCTGTTCGTTTAATTTCCAAGACCTGAGAGACATCAAAAGTAATGCATACTGTACAAACTTGCAGCATGCTTAGCATGGGTCACGAAGATGGTTTGTGTAAACATATTCTTATATTATTAACATTACTCATTGATGTCAGTATCATACAACTATGAAAGAGGTAAAATAAATGCAGACTATATTATGCCAAATGTGTAGTATTATACGATATATTTTTTTGCGTCGAGACGATAGGAAAATCAAAGTCAATGTCTGACAATAATGAAGCAAAACGTAAACGTAGTATATGTAGATTCACTCGGGCAGATTGACGCAGCTGTACGTTGTCACTTGATTGGTCTGGACTTGGTAAGGAGACAGGCACCTACTATACTGATGATATTGAAATGTTATCAGTAGGGTAAACTGAACCATTTGATACAGTTATGAGCATCATAAAGTTAACTTTCATACATTGTGCCTCCAGCTGCCCATCATCTTTTCCTACATCTCATCATACCAAGTACAACGATAGATAATAATGGCATGAATAGAGAGAGAATTGGAATGTCAGTTGGACGTTGAACTCTTCAGCTCGATCAATGACAAATGCTTGCAGATATTACGCTCTTCCCTGGATTTGAAAAATAAGATTGGCCAACCATATACTTACCATAGTTTGATCTTTAGACATGATATGAAGCTTTACAACATTGAAGCCTGTAGAAATTGATAGAAGAGGTATGCCAATGATTCCTTCGGGAAGGATATCTACTCAATTTGCATTTTCAGCCAACGTTCATTCTTTAGCGACTATCCTTCAAACACACCTATATCTTCACAATGTTATCTGTTGAGATATCTGTTTGAATCTGTGTCTCCTGCCATACTTAACTTACTGATAATAACGTGAATAGTTCTGGGCTCACGGTTCTAGTATTTTGATCTAATTTTAGAAGTTTATACGATGTGTAATCAAATTGGCTCTAAGTGAACAGTATTGGAAGACGAAACAATTGCAGCGGAGCTTAACAGCTTTTACGCTGAAGGCGGACTTCCTAATAGCTTTTGGTGACCGGGATATGCCTCATGCAGCAGCATTATTCAAAGCGGCAAAAAATTCAGACTCGTGCCTAACTTCAGTGACAGTATACCTCACCATCAGCACAGATGGACAATGTACTCAAAGCAGATAATATATTAACACCTGCGGCAGAGGTACCAGGTATTGGTAGAAATAGCCTCCAATCGCCACCATCAGCACTAAATACCGATCCTGCATCCCAAAGCCAAGCAGACACATTCGATACCATCCCACCAACTCCTCAAGCGCAACGACCTCCAACACTACCTTATCAAATTATAAATTCGCTGACAAGCACAATTGGAGGCATGGCAAACAGCGCTTCTGCAATGCCACAACAGCAAGGCAGGGAGGCTGCATCACCTACCAGCAGCTACTTTCCAGACGCCCCCCACTCAAACGAATCCTCGTCTTCTGGAGAACTTGGTAACGCTGGACAAGCTGCTAAAAACCACGGTGTTGAAAACAGAAAGCGTGGCTACTCAGGATCCAGAGCTAATCGCTCTCTTTCCAACGCCTCAGTGGGTTCCGGAGGTGTCTCTCTTGGTTTGAGCTTAACGAACAGCACGTTGTTTTATGATATTCCAATGGTAGGTCTGATGGTTGAAGTATAGCAAATTTTTGAGCACACAATTCTAATGAAACATTACATAACTTCAGTCAGATGCCTTGTCCGATTTAATAGAGAAGCATATCTCTCCAGAGAAGAGGCCGAGAAGAGAGTCTGTTGAATTGTCAGACGTTGAAAAGCTAAAAACGGCGGATGCACTTCAAGAGTTAGTGGTAAGTTAACCCTTATTCATATGAGAAAGCTTTTTTGTGCCATGTGTATAATGTTATACTCTAGAACCGAAAATCATGGCGTTCAGTGGCCCGATTTACTCGCAACCGTATCGTGCAAACAAATCCATCCCATCTAGCCGAAATCTTGCAGGTAAGTGTTAGCAGATGATCAGAAGATATGTAGGGCTATGAATATTGATACATTGGCAATTGTGTGTTGCGGCAGCTTTGGTACGTCCGACTGCAAGCACTAGTCAATCTACGACTATATCAGCTTGCATTAGCTGAGCTTGACAAACTTGGAGATCTAAATCGTCAAGAATACACATTCGAATATCATCAAGGTCTCTTCCCTGGAAAGTCTGGAATAATGATACCATTTGAGCTCCGAGTATTGTCGGCCAATTTACCAGGATTGATGAAGCACTACAACGCAAGTATAGAGCGTTTAACCATACTTGCAATGGAATGCCAAAGGGTAAGTAAGAAACCATTTGTTCTAATTGCTTACAGGCTCTAATTAAAGATCAACAATCGTACTCAGATGCAGTTGAACAGTAAGGAGGACACTGAACTTTGGCGCAAACGAGAAGTGTCTCTCTATATCATGCTAGCCAACTTTCTACTGGAAATCAAGGATTTCCCTCTCACCATATCGATCATGACAAAAATAGTCAACACATTTTCTAATGGAGCTGCTGAGCCGGATGTTATATCAACTTTGGGTCGACTGTATTTACAGGTATTTTTTTTTTTTTTTGCACACCTTGCTGCAGATACATGATGTCTATGATGCTCATCAGTTCGAGTTATCCAGCTTGGCAATATCCAAGATGCGAAGAAAGTGTTCAAAGGGCTAGAAAGTCAAGAAGCAAGTGATCCACACGTCAAGCGGCTTGTACGAATGAATAGGTGAGATATATTCACTAAACACCGTTCTCGCTTTGGCTATTCACTGGTTAACCATTTATCCCAAAGTGCTTTATGCCATGTTGCTGCAGCCGACTGGAGCCCGGCAAAAGAGGAGTTAGACGCAATTCTAGCTGAGGATCCCAATGACTATGAAGCTGTTAACAACTTGGTGGTGTGCTTGATCTATCTTGGTGAGCTGAACCAGGCAATTGCAGTGATGGAGGATTTGATTTCAAAATCAAACGATCAGGCACATGGGCTGATAGAAAAAGCCGTCTTTAATTTATGTACATTATATGAGCTGCGCTCAGATACAGCGATGGAGAAGAAAATCTGGAAATTACAGCAACTTCATCCGTATCTTGGAGACGGATTTCATGTAGAAAGTTTTAAAATTTAAGTAAACACCACTTTTTATGCGTCGACTCCATGAGGTTTATACCTATCACCTTGAACAATCCCAAAATCTTGGAGTATCCTCTTTTTTACATGATTCCAGAAACTTTCAAACACTTCACGTTGTTTCCCTTTTGTCCAAGTTGCAATGACATTGGTGTTGTCTCTGTCAACTTCTTGAATATCAAATTTGAAAGTAAACAGTATTTCCGCTGACACCTCAGCTATGTCGTCTTTTTTGGTTGCATTTGCATTATGTGCACGCTGACGCCGTGCTTTGCGTGACCATGTATTTGACACCATCGATCCGGAAATACATTCTGACGTAACAGCTAATTGACTGGCATTTAGATCATTCAATATCTCCAATATGTCTTCCTGTGCTTTGGCTGCATCGCACGGCAGCTGGGTAGAAAATTGCGATTTGGGTGCTTGTGCGAGTCGTATTTTCTTTGTTACTGGTCCATCCTTATTGTATGAAAACTGAAGCGTCAATACTGGATGTAAATGGTATTTTTATCAACTAAAGTTGGGATCCTTACATGATTTGCAACTCGCTCTTCACCGAATGACCATGCAAAACCCCACCTTTTCGTGCGGCCTTGATTGAATTCGGTCACAGTAAAGTTGTCGATCTGTTGGATAATCAGGTGGTTTAGCGTGGTTGCTGTCTTCCTTTCCCTTCCCATTACCACAATAAGCACTTGCCTTGTTTTCCATTAATTTTTGTCGAATCTTGCCCAGCGTTTCTCCTTTTCCTATCATAGTGGTATACCACCTGGTAAGCCGGAGACCGGCCACATGTTAATGCCTATCTCTGAAAATTACATTGCATATATATGCATGCTTACTTGATTCGATTTTTCCATTTTAAACTTTCTTCAATCATATTTGTAATGAATTGCACTTCTCCGCCTTCAGTAATCATTTCGCTCTCTGTGCCAGTACAAACCTAGTAAAATAATAAGATGTTGCTCTCCAAAGTGATCCCATTTAGTTATACTTACAGCTGCAGGATCGTCTATCTTATTGTCAATACCAGCTTGTATTTCATCACTACTCCCGTAAAATGGTGGATTGCACATGCTGAAGGCAAACTCGTCATTAGGCGATATAATTCCTTCACTCTCAAGTTTGTCCAAGGGGAGTGTTCGTGACCTATCACGATTATGATATATTGTGATTTGACCATGCAAATCGTTTCGATTCACATTCCTTCTTGCCGATTTGACACTTTCCGCGTCCACCTCTAGTAATTCATTTTCATCCTGTAAGCTTATATAGTATCGCTTTGAGCATGTAAATGTATTGCATACCGGTTCCAATGAATTGCCATGATTTGTTAGTTGCGCACCCAAGCAAAGGATACACGCACGATGCCCCAACTCCGCTGCAAATGTCATATAAGTTCATGTTCCAGCAAAATGGCGGACGATAACATTGACATACATATCGATACCACGCACCGCAGTCAGTTTGATATGCGATTCTGAGAGCAAGTCCTCTATCCATAAAATATAATTCAGTCTGAATCAATCGATTGTCAGTAAAACTTGATATGTAATTGCAGGCACCCATAGCAGTTTCTTGCACTCACCGATTCGGGATAGGAGGACATAAGGTATTTTCGGGAATCTCGACATCCAAATTAAAGTCTTTTTTAAAAAGACACTGGGTCAATGCCCTGGCAAAGGGTCAATAGAGTGCGCGTCTCATCGCGTATATTTAAATAATTGTACCTTGAAGCTTCGGCATTCTTAAAATCGATATAGGCGCTACCGTTTTCTGAATAATGTACACTTTATTAACGAAGAGTCAGTCTCGTTTCGGATGCACTTTTAACAGATGTGCGTTTCAAAACTCACAAGTCCTTAATACTAGGAAATTCCTCCGCAAGTGCTTTGAAATCAGGTCGGTTATTTCGATATATGTTTCGCTCATGCATGTTTTCGCCAAGGTCAATTGCAACATACTGCTCTCGTGTGCGTTTTGGGGCGGATGCCAAGGCAGTAGAATTTGACATGTTGGAATGAGGTGTCTCAATAGCGTAAACCAAAAATTATCAAAAATGAAGGGTCTGCAAACCCTTCTGGGCAATTTTTTTTTTTTGTTCCTACCGCTTTGACCATGGAAGATCTACGAGCGCATGGTGACTTTATGAAGCATTCTGAGCAGATCAGACAGGATCATAAGAATGTGTTAGTACTCTTTTGATATATAGTGCTCTTTAGCCTTTGAATCGACTCTGATAGTTGTCCGATCTTACAGTTACAACAGATTGAAATCCATAGAAGAGGATGCTGCCTTTGTTCACGAAATCTCGGCTTTATTTCCGCAATATGCCATTGTCGGTATGGATCCTATAATTTATTATACAATGACTGCATAACTTATGGGAACTTCCATACGATAACGCATACTGATTCTTTTGACAGCCAACGAACGATGTGGTTCATGGTACATTGAGCCTCAGCCGGTAAGCCTCATAGATGCGTAGAGAAAAGTTTTTTTTTGGCTCTCACAATACTCAATTCGTTATCAGGAACGTAAACATGTTTCTGCTTACTTCAAATCGACGGATGGGCATACTGGCGAATGGAAGTTCAACCTAAGAAGATTGAATTTGCATTTGATAGATGTCATAGCAGCTACAGGAGGGTAAGATCATTGGCTCAATGTACCACATTATCTCGGCATCTAAGCAATATCATCTAAAAACATTCCATGTTTTATCAGCTGCATTATCGTGGATTCTACCAGGAGAGGAAAACGTTTACCAGATGCATTATCTAAAACGATTCCTATATGGTGTGCAGTACTCAATCGTGCCATCAGTAAAAGCGGACTTGGTGGTGCTGGATGGGACGTGGAGCTTCATACTTTACCAAGCATCATCTCGCGATCTGAGCATGCACAAATTGCGGTTTTGATAGACGGATTTGCTGATAATTTGTTGGTTGGTATCTCTCAAAAGAATGAATTCCAATGCCTACAGCAAGGATCTATCAACTAATGCTCCTCGCCTGTAGCGGACTAAAATCGACTTGGCAGAGATTCGGAAAAAGCTTACAAAGCCTTTACGACCTCTTTGGTATACACCACAATCCAATATAATATATAGCCCAGACTACTCGGATTCGCCATTTTTCCCTGTTATCTGTCTCAGTGCTTCTCAATTCATAGAAGGTGGTTCGCAAGCTCGCAGTGGATACATGTACGTGCAAGGATCTGGAGATGACGAAGAAGCATGGTCACTGGTAAGAACTTCTGATAGGTTTGTGGATAAAAACGTCAGGAACTAATTGCCGGGAATCGCCTACCCAGGGTCTGACTGCTCCAATGTTTTGGCGCCATCGGAAAGAGTTATTCAGTGGTGGTGCAGCGACTTGCGAACAGCTGGCAATGCAAATTGCGGCTAGAAGTAAAGACATATCAGAGCAGGATGTTGCCAATAACGAGGCTTACACTTACGTAGGAAACAGCAAGATTGCCATTGGAACTTGGAAAAGCGGTAAGATAATACGGTGCCGAGCTTATGGACAGTATCTGCAACAAGTATCCTCATGCGCTGTATCACTTAGGTGAACCTCCTTCGTGCTGGCAAAATTTCGACATTGTCATCAATTGTACTGACCAAGAATATCCGGAAAACAAGAATGAAATTTACAGCAAACGCTATCTTCATTTAAATATACCCTCCGGCAAGAGAGGTCAGCATATACTCTTTTCATATATACCATTGGCTCTACAATTTTGTCAGGAACCAATGGCATCCGGAAAATCGATATTGGTACATTGTATAGAAGGTAATGAGGTACAATGAAAACCAAATATCCGGGAGTAATACTGACAGTTTTATAATAGGTAAAGATAGAGCGGTAGGAATAGCGCTTGCATTGCTTGTGCAATACTACGACACACATGGCGTACCTTATACAGAAGTTTCACAAAGACCTGATGGCAAGTGTTGGTGTTTAATTATTTTCCGCCGCTGACGATCTTATAATTGACGTTTTGTACAGTCGATAAGATTTATATACAACAGCACTTAATTAATATCATGAACAGCAGACCACAGGTAAGTTTAGCATATGTCATAGACGTCTGATACACCCTACTCAAACACATGTCACTATATTTTAGGCAAAGCCATCGCGCGCAACCCTCAAAAAGATCAATACCTACTTTATGAGCTGAACAGACTACCATGGTCTGTTTTTTTTTTGAGTCCTACGATGCAGGTGCTGGCTCCATCAGATGAAAAGTAGCATCTCCGATTTTGAAACCCATACTTTCAATCCCACTCTGTACGACTTTTTTCTGGAGAAAATGAACATTCGGGGAAAACGTTGGAGCTTTGACCATCTACTACACACACTTTTCTTTAGAATGTAAAAATATAAATTACCAGTCATTCTACTCATACTTTGCCTGTTGCTACTTCCTACAAGTCTTATGGTTCTGATACCGAGAGGCACACAATGGAACGGATGGCGTGCGGGATATTTGGCGGGGACACGGAAAATATGGCCTGTTTTGGTAACAGACTTCCATTTCATAAGCCCGCCGCCTGGTAACCACGATTTAAATATCAGACAAGCCGTGGAAATGGGGAAAAACCATTTCGCATTTCTTTTAAATCCATAATGGCACAGAATCAATCAGACTTATACCTTGGCTTGGATCTATCAACGCAACAGCTGAAGTACACTGTCATAAACCATGATCACGATATCATTGCTGAGGCTGCAGTCCATTTTGACAGAGACCTTCCCGAGTTTCATACCACTAACGGAGCTATAGCTGAAGGAGACGTGGTCACTTCTCCAACATTGATGTGGGTCAAAGCTATAGACATATTGCTCGAGAGGCTCTCAAAGAACACGGATATCAAGATAGAAAACATCAAAGGCATTTCAGGAGCTGGTCAGGTACAGTCTTATCACGTTGTCACGCACGAACCATAGGCTGAAAATATAGTAACATCTTCCTTTTACAGCAACACGGAAGTGTATACTGGAACAAGGAGGGACTGGAGACTCTTGCTTCTCTTGACGTGTCAAGGACTTTAGAAGATCAGCTCCAAGGAGCTTTCTCTGTTAAACAATCACCAATATGGCAGGATGCCAGTACTACATCACAATGCAGAAGCTTGGAGAATTTGGTGGGCGGCCCACAAGGTTTGGCGGATTTGACTGGCTCAAAGGGCTATGAACGCTTTACAGGAAATCAGATTGCAAAAGTAAGCTTTCTTCGTTCGTTCTTTAAATTATTGGGAAACTGGATTCTCACCACCTGTGATTTAGCTCTACGAACAAAACCCATCTGCTTATGACGCCACAGCACGTATTTCGCTCGTGAGCTCTTTCATTGCCAGTGTACTGCTCGGTCAACTTGCCCCAGTTGATGTAGCTGATGGCTCAGGCATGAACATGATGGATATTCACACTCATAAATGGATTCCTTCCATTTTGGAACACTGTGGTGGCAAAGACTTGCAAAAGAAGTTGGAGTCAGAGCCAGTAGAAGGAGGCACCAATTTAGGCGCGATCAATTCATATTTCGTTACCAGATATGGATTTTCATCAGGTAAATGGCGTATGCTTCTTTTCTGGGATGGGGGAATATGACACTAACGAAACATTGTTGTATTAGAATGTACTATTGCACCTTTTACCGGAGATAACCCCGCTACACTAGTGTCAATGAATCTGGAGCAAGGAGACTGCGTCGTTTCACTTGGTACCTCTGACACTATGCTCATGTATCTACCAGAAGCAAATCCAACCACCGAGTCACACTTAATGTCGCACCCTACCAACCCGGAAGCATATATGGGTATGCTTTGTTACAAGAACGGCTCGCTTACGCGAGAGAAAATTCGCGATGAGTATGCTGAAGGTGATTGGACAACCTTCAATAACCTTCTTCATCAAGCTCCGCCCGGCCTATCCAACGGATGCAACAGACGCGGTTATTACTATTATATGCAAGAAATTATTCCTTTTGCGAAAGGCTTCCACAGATTTGAAAATGACATAGCAGTAGACGAATTCACCGGAACCAAGGAGGAAGTGGCATCTTACAACGTGAGAGCTATTGTGGAGTCGCAGTTCTTGTCGATGAAAGTCCGTACTTCCCGAATGTTGGATACTCACGGCAAGTCATCTGACGCAAGTCACCTTAAACGTATCCTAGCAACTGGAGGAGCAGCATCCAACCCCAACCTTCTCCAAGTGCTTTCCAACGTGTTCAACATTCCAGTGTATAAAAAGCAGGGTATGAATAGTGCTAGTCTTGGTGGAGCCTTACTGGCCAAGTTTGCAGTTCGACGGCTGCACGGTTATTCTGGTACTTTTGAGCAGATGATGGAGGATGAGCAACGTGACAAGGTGGCTCACCAATTGGTGGCAGAGCCTCAAGCGGAATATACTGAAGTGTATAACGATTTAGTAGAAGGTTTTGTCAGACTAGAGCAGGTTGTTATTGCAAATACTCAATAAAGAACAACAAATAAATCTGCTGAGGTACGTAACCACGACCAACTTTCCATCCCGTCTTGTTTCGTCTCGTCTCATGAAATTGAGCACGTTTCAATACGTTGAGTAACAGCCAATTTTAGCATCGAATCTTTACTTAGAGAACACTGGACTCATTTGGTACTTTCGAGTGTCATACTTTGTCGTCTACATGATGGTGTTCTCACCGCATTGCTCACATGAACAAATTTTCCTATTTTACCCTCGTAGATGAAAATGGACTTTGTTATGTTGACTACTCAATCACAGTCATCATAAAAGCAAAGAAGTCCTAATTTTTGCAGAGGGATCTCATAGGGGTGTATAGTAAGGATTTTTTTCGTGAACGAGTTTTTTTTTTCATTTAATGGGTACTATCATAGTATCACGGATGGACACGGAGCCCCACGTTTTCGTATCATTTTCCAGTATTGGATGGTTAGGAAATGGAGGATTCCTACACCGCAGACTGGAAATTTTTGGGTAAGCGGGATTCAGGAATGGGCGAATTTACACCACCTGACAGTCAGAGATCCTCAAGCCAAGCTCGTAACGCTTGCTTACTTGCTTGTCTCACCCTGAGTTGCGTATGATCTTGTGTGCCAGAGTTTTCCACATCCGATGCACGGTCCGCTCTAACTTTACCCTTGCCCTGGCTCCCTCCACATATAAAAATCCCTTCTCATTTCGTCGAACTCCCATGGAAACTTATTCTTGTAGATCACCTCCAAAAAGCTTTGTGCCTATTGGAACCGATCTATGCTCTCTTCTCCAACCAGCATCTACCAAAATCTATTTTTGACCCTCCAATTTTAATTATTCTAACGTTCTTTCATCTGAACGAATTGGATTATTGTATTTACTCCACTTGGATCCACAGTAAGTGAGTCATCAGTTTCGTCAGAAATGGCTGGGTGGGTATTAAATGATAACGAACGCGGCAAACATTTTGCGGCATCAAAATTCTCAGCTTGACCACCACCATCCGGTAAGCACAACCCGCAGAGATTATTCTAATTACTGGTCGAAAATCGGATGAAACGTCGGCATGCGTATTCCTGTGAACGCCAAAATTGGCATCCGACCTAGGTCATTGACGACAGAGACCATGACCTTACATCATTCGAGTAATACTTCCCCAAATGCTCACCCTTCACCTTTTACTTTTAATTGTTTAGGCTTGACTTAATTTATCCAAACAGATAAACTCCTGTTAGGCCATTTAATTAACATACGACAACTTCCACCAGCTTGCTACTATCATTGGTTTCTTCTTTGTCTTCCCTTAAAGGAATTCCATACAAAACTCTCAACGTTTTCTAGAAGCAATCGTCATCTACAGGTTTTATTCACCACCGCTATATGTCAGTCATCAATTGGGTGAACACATGGTTAACAAAAGATGGTCAGTCAGACATAGTGTCGAATGAAATTTCTCAGGATGAACAAGACGGTTGGGTACACCTGGACGTCAACCCGCATATTACCATACTCGAAGATGACTCGATGAATCCTCTTGGCGAATCGGTTCTCAATGTCGTGTCGCTTGGAGACCAGACACTTTCTCCCTCAAATGACAATAAGGTCACGGAGGAAGTGAACTCCGTAGACGTCATTGCTAAAGCTATCACGTCAGATCGTCCAGTCCCCCAAATTAAGGACGAAAAGGAGAATGAGGTGACAAGAGGTGATGGAGCAGTCAAACAGACTGCTGCATCTGAGCAAACGAAACTGTCTCGACAAGAACGTCGACAGGCAGAAAGGAAGACGAAGAAGATGATTTTGAAGAATGTGAAGGCCGCTAGTTCTCTGCAGAAATCCAAAACTCAGCAAAACTGCGTATCTGTAGCTCGTTCCGTATCTATGATATGAACTAGAGCTAATCATTTGTGCTACCGGAAGCACTTCCTCTCCACATTCAACATTTTCTGTATTTCTGTTTCACAATGAGTTAATTTAGTGATCCGTTATCTTCAACACGCAGAGCTTTTCTATGCTGCTAGTAGGAGATCACACCATTTATATTTTATTAATTAAAGCCAGAGCCTGTATTCAGGACATTCGCTGCACAAACAGGCCAATTATGTACGTGTTTGTGATTTGCTGATGAGGGGTTTTTTCTAGAAAAAGTCGGTCGGTGAGGTGCATGTGAATACAGCGCGAAGAAATTGTTACACTGCTATGTACAAGATAGGATACATATCGGATATCTTTGAAGAATCATTGACTTTGCATACTAATCTGGTCGTTTCCGTTGTTATTGGTATTGACAAATTCGGATGCTTCTAAGTGTAGGTCGGTATTATTGTCAAGCGATGGCGGCACACCTTCAAGGGTAGGTAGCGATTGGTCGCCTTGCGTCTCTGTTGCTGGCTTTCTATAGTACATCCAGTGATAGTATTGTGTTTTGTGAATATCTTGCGTTCGCTCTGCGGTGATCACATGTTCGCGGAATTGGGCATGCTGCAACAAATCTAAGAAGTGGAGTGCATGGGGATATCTAGAATGACCCAGTGAGTGGAATGACAGACTTGTTCGTACGCATAGCGGATGACCTACACAATGTATTTGGCATATTCAGGCGATTTCCAATATTGAAGATACTTCAAATAGTTGATAAACGCGGGGTCCTGAAAGTATTGTTGCTGAGCGAGATCTAGAACAAGCCAATCAGTAATTTGTCTGCAAGCTTCTGTGTACAAAGACAAAAAGCGTACAGTTCAAATACCAGGGATTAGCCAAGCATTGGACAAATTCTAATTCAATTCGGAACCGTCGCTGTTGCTCTTCGTCAGATAATTCCAGTGGTGTAGACATTCAGGATTTTGCTGCGACTTGAATTACCAGTCGTGCTTGCCTCAAATACCAAAGCAGTCTGTAATTTTTTTTGGTAACCCATTTTCTTTTATGCCCGTCAAGGCTTGGAAAGCATTGACCATTCCCAAACGATTCAAGTTACCATATAACTTGAAGCTTTCTGAAAATGAGAACAAGCTTCCAGAGTCTCTACAATCCCGAGTGAATGAGCTTTCTGAGAAAGTTCAGCAAAATCCTTATGGTAATGGAGGCATAACTTAAAGCTGACAAGCATATTATCGTCACTAACTTGTTGACCCGCGCTTTTTTCGCTTTAAAGCCGCGATGCTTAAATCACCGTTAAGAAAATGCACCTTTCATGAGCGTGCTATGCCTTCTGGTAAGTTGCACGTCAGATAGTAAACCGCAACTTGAAGCATCCAATGTAGAAAGGGTCATTTATATTTGTTCAACAGCCTTCCTAACCAGGTTTACTGTCGGTGTTGATTTAAGCACCAATTTAACGTGGGCAGTACCGACTCTTGGCGCACGACATGAACGTGGTCTTGGCCAAGGTCGATATGTAGCGCAAAACCAACCAGCGCTGCACAGCTTTGAAAAAACAGGTACATAATTTTCGATTCGTCATTAAACCCAAACTTCATACTGGGAGCTTATGGTGTATCATTATGAATATAGCTCGCTACAAGTACGCATTTCGGAACAAAGCAATATACCGTTCGGATATGACGAATCTTATCAAATCCAAGCTCTTAGATATTGCACTCACTAATACCAAAGCAAATCTGGAAAGAAGTTCGTCGATGACCACTTTACGGTTTGATAACGACGCATGGATTGTTCAGAATCATGTCCAGACTGGCAACATCAGCTTTGCTCTCTTGTTCAACCAATCATCAGCAGCTGATTCAAAGAAAGAACACATTCGATCCTTTCAAAACGTCGCAAATGGTCGCTCAACGACCGCTGTTCCCTTCTATGATGTCGAGGCAATATGGGGCGAAACAATAGCGGATAGTTTGAAACAGCAATTGGAGAACACCCATAATGAGGCCCCGGTAGCGATCGCATTCACACTTGACCAGATGGTTTCCCGAAATGCAATCGCTCTGTGGAAACTAGCTGGCTTTTTCCGAACTACCGAGACTCTCAATTCATAGGTGTAATATATAGAACAAGCGTTGTGATCTCTTCATCAATACCCTTCCTGGCAACACTATAATTGTAGTAAATCGCACCGTCATGATGGATTCCATGATTTTTATTTTGGAAAAGTTCACAACAAGTCAACAGGTTTAGATGTTGGAGGGGTACAGCATCTGGTAAATAGAAAAGAAACCTGATTAATATCACTGTCTTATAATTTGCAAAATAAAGCTCAGTTTTCATATGTTACTTACAACACGGACAGAGGCACCAAAGGTCTTAGGGGGAAGGTTGGAGCGGAACTTAGCCTTGACGACACCATTGCCACCGTGGGTGCGGGTAACACGGCCCCAGATGACACGGATCTTGCTGCCGTTGACCTCACGCTTGGCACGGTAGACGTAAGCGATACGCTTACCCAAGTAGAATTGAGCATCCTTGGGGGTTTGAACACCCTCAACTTGAATCAAAGAGGTGTTCTCGTTCTGGTTACGCTTGGCGCGCTCGTAGCCCAAAACACGGCCCTTGCTGTACAGGCTGCATTGAATGAATTTCGATTAGTGAATGTCAATTGGTTGGGTAAGAAATGTCTACAGAGGGCATTTTTTTCGATTCCGGTGAAAATGTTGCTTTCATTGAGTCATGGTCGAGTTGCAATTTCAATCCGAGAAGTCGATACAACCATCATCCGATTCATACATCCACATCCATCTATCCATCCACGATGTCAATCCATATACTCACCGACTGGAGGTCATGACTTTAGCTAAAGAGAAAGAGGGATTTCTTTTTAGGCCATGGCCAATGGTCTGATACCCTCCTCACATCCCGCTGGACTGGCGCTGTCGGGAGTATGATGATGTCAGCACATTTACTGATTAGCAATTTTATCATCGAAAATAATTTTAGCTAAAATACTGAAAGAATTAAAGAATCGAAACGATAGTGGCGTTCGACATACGAGACGATGCGAAAATCAGATATTTCGCTTGCCTGCCTCAGCAACACCCGGAGCTACATGAGCGAATAATCAAATTGCTTATTGGTGATGGATATGAAGTTCTATGGCTTGTTTTCTTGAAACCTACTATGAAGAACATAAAAGAAAGATGCCGCCTATTGGATCAACTCAAGCCACCGCTGATTATTAGCCATTTTCATTCCCAAGTTATACATGGGGATTGCCATTGCGGAAGATAAGCCACGAGATGCATCTGACGCCGAAGCCCAAGTGGTTGCCAAAGCTCTTACGGTGGTTCAGCAAGAAAGATGGCTGGCAAGCAAACCGATTTTCATACTGGGTGTGCTGAAAACCGACATCACGTTCTATAAAGCATGCCTCACAAGGACATTGTATCGTCTGTAAAAGCGGAATCCAGACGACATAAGCCCTTTGTAATCACAAGGCATGAGCATCGCAAACCATTTTACCAAACAATCCACCAGGATACGATATTTTGAAGAAAGTCGAATGACAACCAGTAGTGCAGATGATTAGCCGTATAGGGGAGCCGTATCACAAACATGTTCGGTGAATGACACCATTTAAACCCCCAAAAAATACAGTCAATTTGCTTGTTATCTATCTATCTACTGCAAAATCGAAAGCAAATTTCCAATGAAAACCAAAGTCTGTGGTAAAGCTCAACTCCGACTGTCAATCACCGCAGTTTTTACAAAAAACCGTGCCTTGGTCGCAGTCAACTAATGCTCCCAACGACTACTCGAGTCATCAGCAGGAAAATGAGACTTATTGGTAATTTTCTTCCAGATAGTGCCAGCAAAGCACTTTTATTTCGCTTATAATCAGTTGTCATATATATCTTTCCACATTGCTTCTGACACCTTCGCATGAACGACTGATTCAGACATTGGAGTTAACCTCACCGATGGAATGTTCCGCGGGGAGTATAGAGGAAAGAGAGCTCACGCAGGTTAGTACGTGGAAGGATTTTGGTGAATATGGTGATACAGATATTCATCTTCATTATGTCCCTGCATAGACGACTTCGGATCAGTTATGGAGCGAGCGCGAAAAGCAGGAGTTGAACGTATGATCATCACAGGCGGATCTCTTAGTGAAAGTATAGAGGCGCTGAGCCTGGCCGAGAGCGATCGTAAGCAGGAGTACATTAAAGTTAGTGAGCCTATTACAACCTTATACCTAAACGTATTTCCTGCAGCACACCTATATACAACTGTCGGATGTCATCCCACTCGATGCGGTGAATTCGATAACGATGAGCAGGGACCAGATCATTATTATGACCAGCTGAGGGATTTGATAAAAAGTCACTCTCTAGCCAAGAAAATAGTTGCTATTGGTGAATGTGGACTTGGTATGTCATGCGATTGCGACTGTGATGAAACTGGTTCGCTACTAAGATGATCTTCTTTTGCAGATTATGATCGGACGCACTTCTGTCCAATAGATGTTCAAAAGAAGTATTTCTTGCGACAATTTGACCTTGCAGAAGAGACTGGTTTACCCATGTTTCTGCACTCACGAAATACCGGCAATGACTTCAATGATATGATTAAAGCCAATCGAACGAAATTCAAGCATGGAGTCGTTCATTCCTTTACTGGTACCGTTCAAGAAATGCAGGATCTCGTTTCAATGGACCTTCATATTGGAATCAATGGCTGCTCAATGAAGACAGAGGAGAATGTCGAAGTAGTAAAAGCTATTCCCGCAAATCGATTAGTGCTCGAAACGGATGCACCATGGTGCGACATTAGACCGACACACGCATCTTACCAATATTGGAAAAACTGTTCAAGTGATTTGAAAGAGCTTTACACGCCTGAAGGCAAGAAAAAAGAGAAATTTGAAATGGGTCTAATGGTCAAAAGCAGAAATGAGCCTTGCACTATGGGGTAATTATCATTTGAGTTCTAATCGCAGCTTACCATTCAAATGACTATGCTAACTTTTGATTCAGCCAAGTACTTCACATTGTTGCCGCTATTCGAGGCGTCGATGCGAATGAACTTGCGGAGCAGGTCTGGGAAAATACCTGCAACGTATTTTTTCCATGATTGTCATATACCTTAGACTTCTCTGTCCCTTTTTAGACTCTGTTGCTTCCATTATTACCATATTCTCATAGAGTGCATTTAAATAGTTAAGTAATTGGAGACTTTTAGTTCAATCTGAGAGGCAGAAGCATGCTCGAATGGAAATTAATGGCTAAGCCGATATCAAGTCATGTGTCCGTCTGGGGCAGCAGAGGGAAGCATACGAACGGGCACTCGATTAATATTATGCATGGAGAATTACACCTAGTAAATTGTTAGAGAAATTCCATCGGTTACCATAGTAAACTTATGCTATACGCTAGTAAATCAGCTGTGTGACAATGATCGAAAGCAGATCTTCTGCATACTAGCGGACTTCTAAACAATACTTTCTGTCGTTTAGGCTTTCAAGTCAGCCAGTGTAGATTGCATAGTCAATATACCTTCATATTTCCATAGTTTTTCAAAAGAAAGTGCTCCTAGAAATTGTAGACGATGTAAAATTAAGATCGTAAAAACTAATGTACGAAACCAGAAAGTTTTTCAAACGCACGCGGAAAATATTTAATGAATACGTATTAAGATCTTATGATTATCGAACGCTGTCTGGGTTTGATCCTGATGAAAGTCTGTCACTGAAGCAAAGCTATGTACATGAGCACAATTACACAGATGTGTATAGGAAACATAATATAGAATTTCTGGATGAGATATTGTCAAATACCATAAACGCTAACCATCCTAAAAACTATAATTATTGGTGAATTGCGGAAGCTTGCGTCATTAATGAACCCCGATTTCTCCACATGAACAAACAGCCAGCTCTTTCACTTCTATTTTTTTCACCATGGCTCAAACCAAAATAACAACCCATTCCACCGATGGTCATACTGCTGTAGACTCGCTTCCAGTCACACCTTTATCGCTGAAAGTGCAACGACAGTCAGGTAGCTCTAACTTGATCGAGATCTCCCGCAAGATCCTGGAGCAACCGATCGATCTGATCATCAACATGTCACAAGACGTTTTCACACAAGAATCGAAGCTTATGCCAAAAAGCACTATTGGAAAACACATACGGTATGTTTTTTGCTTTGGAGATGGAAGGCATCATTGCTCAGGAGATTTCTAACTGGTTGATCCCTCGTTAGTCATATGTCTGATCACTTTCGTATCCTACTCTCCAATCCCGACTTAAGCTGCAATGATTTGAATTACGATTTAAGATCTCGAAACGTATAGTGGTTATTTTTCATATCGTCTTACGGTCAAGTTGGCCTTACTCATGCAGGTTCATGCTTCTATAGGTTGCTGCTGAAACGGATCCAACCGCCACCATCCAATTGCTTAGAGACTTGGAATCCCGTTTGTCTACTCTTGAAGATATACCATTCAGCCAGAAAGTTACACTCACAGCTACGATAGACCCCAATATGCCACCGGAACAATATGCTTCTAGCCTCGGACGCGAATTATGGTATTGCTGTATACATGCAATTCATCATTATGCGTCTGTGAAGACCATCTGCTTGGAGCACGGATTGGATGTGCCCGATAGTTTTGGTGTCGCTCCCTCAACGCTACAGCATGCTCAGGAGTCACACCACGACTGATGTACAAATTCTTCTTAATCTAGGATAGTTGTTTTGAACGGTTATGCTTTTTACACAGCTGTGTTCTGCCATTGATCACAACGAACATGACATTGGAGTAATCATCAATCATTTCTTCGGCATCTCTTTATATGTGTAATTTACTCGAACTTTACCCGCTATTTTCATTGAGAAACCGCCTTACGTGATTTTACATAATTCACTTTTTCTAAAAGCCAACGTTCACTTAACAATAATGCGATAGTAAGGAGAGGTTGACATTTCCTTTTTTAAAATCCTTGCGTGATCTTGTTTCAGTGCATGTGACCCTGTATTCATAGGACATCCACAGTGAAACCTTGACTTTAGATCATCTGTAGCCCACACGCCAACGGACAGAATTGTCACCCATTGAGTACTTTGAAACTATTCATCGCTTACGACCTTATTCAAAGCCCGTAAGAGCATGATTTGCATACGAAATTACAGTAGAAATTTTTTGATGACGTTGGATTCTTCATTGGCTTTCTCGGCGTGACTGCCATTTGTACTCAAAAAATTATGTTTTTTCAGAAAGTCTTTTGTTAACCCGCAGACACCTTTCACACTCGCAGAGCCTAGTTATGAGAGAACGACGTGCAACAACTGGCTTCAAGGTGGCTGGAATCGCGACCGGGAAGAGTAATGGCGCCAAATCATCTCGCAAGGAGCCGATTAAGTCGGTAAACCCTAAGCAGACTGCCACAAAGCCCAAGAAGAGAGCAGCTCCAGCTCAAGAAGAAAGTGACGACGACCTCGAAGACTTTGGAAACGTTGAAATTGATATCAATTCCGATGAAGAAGATGAGGAGATTGACGAAAACGATGCCGAGGAATCTGACAATGAAGTGGAAGAGTTCCCCGAAGATCAAAGTGAAGGCGAAGAAGAAGACGTTGCAGCTGACGAGAATGAAGACGAAGACGAAGATGACGATTACATGGCAGGTGATAGTCTGGATGAAGAAGATTGGAATGAAGAAGCAAAGATCAGGTATGGGTAGTTTCATCAATCAAGCTGCTACAACGGATATAATATTGACATTTGAAACTTTTCATCAGTAACGATAGCCAGCGACCTACCAAGTTGCCCGAAATTGAAGCCAACTATGATAGTGATTCATCTACTGAAGATGTAGAAAATACTGTTGGAAATGTACCAATGGAATGGTATGATGATTTCCCTCATATTGGTTACGACATTGATGGAAAGCGAGTTCTTCGCCCTGCTAAGGGAGATGAATTGGAGAAGTTCTTGTCAACCATGGACGACCCCGATTCCTGGAGATCAGTATCTGTAGATAAGGAAGGAAAGGACATGGTTCTTAACGACGAAGAGCTTGATATCATTCGCCGTATTCAAGGTGGCGACATTCCAGATGCGGATTACAATCCATATGAACCTACTGTGGAATGGTTCAGTAGTAAGAAGGAAGTCATGCCTCTATCAGCAGCTCCAGAGCCAAAGAGAAGATTTATTCCTTCCAAGTGGGAAGCCAAGAAGGTACAGTACTGAATTTATATGCTATCATTTGCTGTTCAGGCGCTAATTGATGAACTATTCCTCAGGTCATGAAAATCGTCCGTGCTATTCGTACCGGGCGAATTGTTCCCCGAAAGCCTGCTACCGAAAAGCCTCGCTTTTATAATCTTTGGGGAGACGAAGACGAACCTCGTGAAGATCATATCATGCATATTCCTGCACCAAAGATGAAATTGCCTGAACATGACGAAAGTTACAATCCACCAGAGGAATACCTGCCAACTGAACAAGAGATTAAGGAATGGAAAGATCTCGATCCTGAGGATCGACCCAAGAACTATCTTCCCACAAAGTATGTATAATACGTATTGGTTTGGAAATTCTGCAACGTTAGCTAATCTGACATTTTGGCGATTGTATAGATATAACAGTCTTAGACAAGTGCCAGCATACGGAAGATTCATACAGGAGCGTTTTGAGCGATGTCTCGATCTTTACCTTGCACCCCGTGTACGCAAAAACCGACTTAATATCGATCCAGACTCGCTTATACCAAAACTCCCTAGCCCGAAGGATCTCCAACCTTTCCCTACACAGCAATCAATCAGCTATGAAGGTCATACTGGTCGTATTCGCTGTTTCTCACTTGATCCAGTTGGCTTGTATATGATTTCCGGTTCGGACGACCAGACTGTTCGTCTTTGGGAAATCTCAACAGGACGTTGCCTCAACACTTGGACATTCGATGGTGTCATTCATTCCATCGCTTGGAATCCTAATCGCGAATTGTGTTTGTTTGCCGTTTCTGTTGGCCACGGCAACGTTACATTGATCACACCTCCTCGCATTGGCTCGCCAGAACAAATATCTCTTACGGACGAATACATTCAGCAAGGATATGCCGCCATGTCCACTGCTGGAAGTGACGACAAGGAGGCACGTAATCCCATACCGTGGGTTAAACCCAATGCAGCTGACCAGGAGAAGCTTGGATACAGAGTACACCTTTCGCATACACAAGCTGTTAAGCAAATTACATGGCATAGAAAGGGAGACTACTTTGCCACTGTCGCTCCTGATGCCAAGAACCTTGCCGTCCTGATCCATCAAATTACCAAATATCAAACACAAGCACCATTCCGCAAGCTGAAGGGTTTGGTCCAACGAGTTATGTTCCACCCTACCAAGCCATTGTTTTTCGTTGCTGTAAGATATAATCTTTTTTTCTTTTTTCATCAGATTTTAATTGATGCTGACCTTCTACTTCTTGAACCTCTTTTTAGACACAATTGTATGTTCGTGTATACAATCTCATGAAGCAAGAATTGATCAAGACTCTTCAGTCCGGAGTCAAGTGGATTTCAAGTCTTGATGTTCATCCTGGAGGTGACAATGTGATTGTGGGCAGTTACGACAAGCGACTCTGTTGGTTTGATCTTGACCTTAGCGCTAGACCTTACAAAACCTTGCGTTACCACTCACAAGCCATTCGCCAAGTCACTTTCCACAGACGCTACCCATTATTTGCTTCGGCCTCCGACGACGGATCTATCCAGATTTTCCACGGCATGGTTTACAACGATTTGCTTCAGAACCCCTTGATTGTCCCTGTCAAGATTTTGCGTGGCCATCAAGTTGTCAACAGCTTGGGTGTTTTGGACATTGAATTCCATCCTACTCAGCCATGGATAGTTTCCAGTGGAGCTGATCACTCTTTGCGCCTTTGGACGTAAATGTTTACCGCCTACGGTGTGATGTTCATACATTTTATTTTTTTCAAGTAACAATAGATTATAAATTGCATTTTGATTCTAAGGTGGTGGAAGACCTGGATCGGTTTTTTCTTTTTACAAGTGATATTTTTTTCTTTACATGTTAATAACAGCATTTCATGAAACCAAACCTCGGTAGTCTTTGTAGCTTTATGTTTAGTGACTTTTGCGAGATTTCTTGTGACTATTACTGCTGCTTTTCTTTAGCTGATCCTCCAACATCTCTTGAACGCTTTGCCAAGCAGGTATAACAGAAGGGTATGTGTGGAAAATGAAAGTTTTTAGCTTCCTTATCAGTGCGATGTTCTGCTTCATGACAAAGGGTTGCAAAACTGTAATCAAAGTCTTTGTTGTTGGTGTAATCGATCGTTTTTGAAACTCTCTCTTGAATACTTGCAAGGCTAAATCGTGATGGCCAGTTCTTAGCAGTGCTTCCAAATACGAATTGATGAGGTTTTCATTGTTTAGATCGTAACCATCAGCCTCCAAGCTTTTCCATAATTCAACAACTGTGCTTGCTTTGCAGTTGTGACCAGCCGAGTCTATGTACAAGCTGAGTGCAACACTTCGACTAGCTGAATGCTTCAACTCAGTGTCCCAGAGATGTTTGACTTTGTCGTGTCGGCCTTCTCGAGAATGAAGATTAAGTTGAAGAGTGTAAAACGTCTCCTTACGCATCTCGCCTTTCTTCAAGAATGCTTCACACCTTGATAAAAGTATCTTTGCTCGCGATAAATTGTTGAGCTTCAACGCACTGTTTATTGCCAGCGTGAAGAAAGGCGGTGTTATTTCAAGATTAATCTCTTCCGCTCGTTCGAACAGTTCGCCAACTTTCTCGTGTTGCTGGGCGTGGGCATATGCCGAGGATAGTATTACATGGCATCGACAAGAACGTAGTAATTTATGCGAGTCCAACAGCTCCAGTAGTTGCATTGCATCCTTTGGGCCGGAAGCATATAGTATAGTACTGATCAATATACGCTGTATTTTGTCGTCCATTTTGTCATATGTCTGTAGCAGTAATTCGACCATATCCAACGCTTCATCGCGCATTCCACTCTTCATGTACGCTGAAACCATGATGGAAATGATGGGTGCTCGAGGTTGAATTTCTTGGTCAACTAGATATGAACACATGTCCTGCATGCGTGCGATATTTCCTGCCTTGCTGTAAGCATTCAGCAGAAGTTCCAGTAGGCGTGGATCGGCCGGCTCCATTAAAACATTGCAAAGATCGTCGGCAACCGTCTCTATGTTTTCATAAAGGCGCTCGCGCAACATTGCTCGCAGGAGCAGTTCAGCAGACTTCTCAATTGGTGGATCGCTTTGCTCTTTCATGACAGTATACATATGTAGCGCTTGATCAACCTGCCCAATGCCGATGAACTGCTTGATAGCCAGCCTATATAGCCAAGGTTGTGCAGGGGTGTCATATGTATCCAGATGGTTCCATAGTCTGAAAGCTCCATCCATGTCATGATTTTTCAGCATAACAACAATAGCAGAATGCAGGAGATATTTATCAGCAGGCCGCTTAATGGTCTTGCGAAGCATTCTAAAAACCAATGTTGTAGCAGCATCGCCTCCATATTTAGTCCATATCTGCTGTAGCATCCACTGAAAGTTATTAGATGAAAGGGAACACAATGCTGTGCGCTTTTGTGAGCTTTTCATGTCGGCGAATCTTGACAAAGCTCTGGAGGAATCCCTTGCAGTACAAATTGAATCTAGGCTTTCGTAAGCTCTATTATGCTGTATTAGAGCATCAATTTTTTCATATGAAGGATCCATGACATATAAAGGTGCGGTATCCGAGGTGGCTAAAGACACTTGTGAGCGAGATCTCCTCATAACGAGATCTAGCATTTCCTTTATTCGTTCGTCTTTGCAGCCTTGTACAGGTGCCGTATCTGAGATGACTGGAGGAGCTTTTGTGGGTGGTTTAGTCTTTAAAAAGTCTAATATTTCCATTACTGGCCCTTCGCTTCGGCTGAGGGCTGAGGATGGATCTGGCTTCCTGGTAGCGGTCTCTCGAGCGTTATTTAACATTGCATGAATTCGAGCCAGCTCTGTTTCTGAATGCCTCAATGAATGTGTGGGAGTCGTCATGGCGCGAATTGAGCATGCCGACCGAGCAGTGCGCAAATTTTTCAAGAAAATGCCTCTCATGCTATGGACATCCGAAATGTAAGTTTTTTGAGAACAAAGAAAAAAAAATGATACCTGTGTCAAATTTTTATTTTGTTCAGGCACGAGTAATTTTGAAGGTATCGTTTGCAACAGCAACTTCAATAAGCTCAAATATCTTTTGACTATTTCGCTTTCTTTTCTCTCCAGGAACACCCTCGTCAGCTTTCTTTATCCACTCTTCAATTCGTTGTGCCATCCAATAATAAATTGTCTCTTCTTGCGTCCTGCCCGTATCCTTTGCTGTTTTCTTGGATTTGCCCGTACTGAGGGAGTGACCCGCTTTGGCAATTCTCACCGCTGTTAATGAGCATTTGATCTTGTTCTGAGTTTTGGTCATAAGCGGCAGTTCTCCAAATGGATCTTTCGTGCCAGATATCATCAACAACTTGGTGGCTTCCGGCAAATCAAAAAGTATTTGATCGCGTAATTCCGATGGCTTTCCCGGAGGATGAAGGGGATACGAAAAGGTAATGATGCCATGTATTTTGTTCTTGAATGCTTCATCCACAGATGCTGAGTTATCGCTTTTGACGTTCGACCCTGCCGATTTCTTTGCGTTGGGTGATTCTGTATCATCTTTGAGCTCATCTCCAATGCTCACGATAACCCTAGCTCCAAATGAGTGACCGCCAATGTACACTCGAGACGTAGAAGAGCGAAGCGTTGCAACCGCTGGATCCACAGCTTTCTCCTCTTGGTCATTGAACAAATAGGCTAAAACGGCCTTCATGGCATTGATTCTGACGTTTATCACGGTTGTTACGAGCGTACATCGGACTACTGTATATCCACGCTCAGCCAAAACTCGAGCTGCCATTGTACAGTTAATATATTATATGGTAAAGAGTACATAGCTGTGCTGCGGCGCAACGCTCACCTAGCAAAGGTAAGTATCCTGTGGAATAATCCCCACTAGCACCGTGTGTAAGAACAATGGCGGTATCGGACTTCTTTTTGTCATCCAAGTAGTCTATTACGATTGGAATGTTGGATTGCTTGCCGTTCCTGCTGTGGGGAACGGAGAGTGTGGTTGTGTTCATGAATTTCTTGTGAGAGAGCGGAGTAACAAAGAGCAAAACTTCCTTTGGGAGATCCTACAAAAAATTGAACCGTACTATTTTATGGCCATTTTCTGAGATACGCGTAGATCGCCGTACAAGAATGACGGTATGGGAACAGGAGTTACCGTGTATCTATTAACCCATGCCAATGTTGACTAACTTTTACTCTTAGGATTTTCAGGACAAAGGAAAGGCCTTGGAGCAAAAGCATCGTGCTTTAGCTTCTCAAGGTATGGATTAGTGTCTCCAGAATGAAAATGGCACCTTGCGTCCCAAAATTAACGAATCACCATCGTGATTACAGATTCTATATTAGAGCCTAATATCAATCAAGTACTATCCGACTTTTTGACTCTGGGAGGACGTCCAATGGATGTTGTTTCTTGTCTATCAGAATCATATGTCGGGTTGCCCACGCTTTGCAATACTGCAGGAGAATGGGGTAAAGACCTGGGGATAAACAGTCAAGACTTGATGAGAGATGTTATCAAAGGAATGCTTTTGGATCGCTTCGATTCTGCTGCAGTAGATACCAAATTTATGGGTGCTGAGGTATGCAAGCGGACCGTGCCGATGGCTATGATGAGCATGCGACAAAAACTCACCTTGCAATATACTAGACTCGACCACAGTGGCTAGATGCTATGATACAAGACCCTTATTGGCGTAAAATACTATATGAACTCTCTGAAAAGCACCAGAGATGTGATCTGTTAAATCTCGCCATTCAGGTACCTGAAATTTGCTCACCACTGTGCCGAAACATTTCATTATCTGATATAATGTCCCTCAATAGATGATCGCCGATGCGGGTTACCAAGGAGAAATAGTGAAAGTTGCAACAGCATCAACATACATTGGTGTCTTTAATGACGTTTTGAAGGACTCGCTTGAACGATTAATACAGGAAGACGACATTGGTTTGGATGAAAATTTACCAGATTTAGTCGTAAGTCAATCAATCATCGATAGGTCTCATATTTTTTTTTCGATCTCCTTTCTGATAGACTACTTAGCGCGTTTGCTGTCAACATGAGCAAACGTACCTCTATTCACAAATACTTCTAAAGCGGCTGGCCGATCAACCAGGCGGAGAAGCATTTCGTAGAATTTCTAAAGCTCTAGAAACCAATGCACTGACAAAGGGAGAGTAAGTACTGTGATGTGATATAGTACACAAGCGAATGTCTGGCTGACGATGTCTACCAGTGATCATATGATAAGCACATTGCGAACGTACCTTTGGGAGCTGCCACCTGCCTTGACCTCCCCGATAACAGCCATCCTGCAGAATAAGCACGCATCACCAGGAGATGTTATTGCAGTAAGTTCAGTTCTAGTACGATTTCAATGGAACGCAGCAACTCAGCACCAAATACCCGTTATTTAGCTTTATAGGCAGTACACATCTCCTACTCCTCCATCAGTCCGATTTCTATGTGACTCACAATTGCTCGGTAAGTGGCATAACTCTCATTGATGTACTGCATACAATGTCCTCACAGCTATCTCCCATTAGATATTTTGTTGAAAGCAATATTTGTTCCGAAATCTGGTCAAGCACCGAAACTCGAAATCCAGGAAAAGATAATATATCTAATCGCTTATGCCGTCACTGTACTTGACACAGAGCCGAAAAATGTTAGGATTGGTATTTTGTTTTGATAACCGAAAAACACAATGCTAACGTTGGATTCGTAAAGGGTGAGGAAATCGCCAGTATTTGCGAAAAGTTAAAGCTTCTCTCGGTCGCCTTGACTAAGAAGTCAAGCGGCGCAACTTTGTCTGGTGCGATAGGGACAATCTTAGAGCTCATGGAGTATGTATTGATGGCAAACTGTGGAAGCACCACATAGATCAACTAATATTTGACTCTGTTCTTAGCACACCCATAGTATCTATGGCATTGTTGTACTGGACGTCTTGGCTGTTGACTGAAACGTCTTGGTATGAAACTTATTATCGTTCTGCTGTTGTGCCTGTACCACACCAGATCCTGGAAGAAATTGCCTATCGACATCCTCTTCAGCGGCCATTTGTCTTCCAGGTACTTCAAAATAATCTGACGGTTGAAGTTAAGAACCTCAGCCCCGAAATTATGGTAAGATGAAGAAAGCGGACGGTCTAGGTTGCGAAAACAACAGATAATAACAAGTATTCTTGTATAGATGGCCTTGCGTAGGACTTTATTGGACCGGATGATATATCTTGTCCAGCTTGGCTATGTATTACCAGTCCTAAAGTACATCAAGCGCATCAGCAGCAGCGTTGACGAAAGCTTGATTGTACATACCATAAAAATGGTATGTCGCTATATTTTCTCCATTGAACTTGCCCCCGTTAGACTCAACTTCTCATACGACGTTTTTTCTTTTCTCAGATCCTGGATATGGCCGAAGCTCCATACTCGAACGAATTTATTGACCTGATTGTTGAAATTATCGAACCAATAGCGGAGTCATTGGATAAGGCTATGGAGGTGAAAACCGTAGTTTGGGAATTTCTTAGTAAGTAAAATGAATGCTTTTGTTACCTCGCATGGTAAATCAGTTCGTAACTTTTATTTCTTCATTTTAGATACTGCGCTGAACAGAGAGGACCCTATCAACCCCGATACTAGAGAGATCATCATATCATTACAAAGAAGATTCTAGTTGATGTTAATGAAATAATGTATATAGTTTTGTCCTCTACGTCAAATGCATAGGTTAAAAAAAAACCGCTATATTACAACTGGTGGTGGAATGAAATTAGAAGTAGTACGTTGACTTTCTTAGCGCAGGTGACAAATCTGCGCTTTTGGTGATTCAATAGGTATAACGTGTATCAGCGCAATGCTGATTGTAGCACCACGGAAGTTACCCTTCGGCATCTAACAAAGTGCTTGGCACTTCTGTTCCAGTATTTAGTTTCATTTTGTATATAAAAAAAAAGGGAGAGAGATATGAAGATCCTCTCTGGTACAAGTTGTACTAGCATACTATATAAACAACTCTCTGATTAAAGAGAGCCCTATTGCCAGCTGTAAATCGCAAGTATCAAGAGCGAGTTTGAATATCCCTGTGAGCCGCCTGAAGAGGCAATTCACCTTGATACTTGGCCAGCTTGACAATTGGCGCGCTATCAAGGATAAGTCATCGGTTTATAAGCAGCGCAAGACATCACTCGGTACACAGAACATCATTCTTTTCACACAGAGTCCAGCACACAAACTATCTTCGGTCAAGGGGATTGTTTCCGGGCAGCATAACCAACATATAAAGCCAATCATCTTTTGTTTTTCCCTTTTTGTTTTGATTCTTGGGGAAAAAAAAGAATGAAAGAAAAAAAAAACCCAAGAAAAGCGAATAGATCGCTTGCTAGAGGTCCAATGAACCTCCAACCAGTTGGAATTTAGGGTTAAAGCGAAACGGCATAAAGTTGGTCAGCTGGGGAACCCTTGCATAGATTGAAGACTAGCGGCAGAATCTGAGGAGATGTGAAGCGAATGATGAGGAGCCAAGAATGGCTAACCAAGATCTATCAAAATCTCGTGTTATGTACGTTCGCCGCTCGACTGATCATTGCAGCAGAGGGCTAACGTTGCGTTTTCTCGTCTGTCAAGGAAATTGAAATTTCTACTCCTATCATTTTTAGCCAATGTGACGTCGGCAATTTAATGACAGCTACGACGGGCTGAAGCCTATCTTGCACACAGTCTCCCAAAGACATATCTGTAAGCAGAAGACTATCATGATTAAATAGCTTTTATTATCATAGCGTCAAAAGCTCATGTTATCCACATGTCAAATAGAATATTGACAAATTACGATAGCGGCAACTCATTTTAAGGTACGCAAGTGTGCGTGTGATTAATACAAGTGGCCACGGTACTAATTCTTTTTCTATGATAGCCATGTGTGATCTAATACCATCAGTACTGTTCCTCCTTAGATTATAGAGCAACATATAAATAATTTTTGGATGGATGATGACTCTGAAGTAACACAGCTGTTCGAATAAAGATGCGCCCTGAAGGGAACCCTTGACCAATTCGAGTGTCACTCACTATTTGGGAAAAGAGCGACAACGCGTGAGTCTCACATTTGAGAGCAATGTCTTTAATTGATTTGGGACCTGTACCTGGACTTAAATCAAACACTCTAAATAAATGACTGAGACCTTTTAGAATTGAAGTATTATTGCCACGAAGCATTATCGAAGACTAAGAAGAGATTGAAAGTCTAATTTTTTTCGTGGAACCGTATGAACATCTCAGCAAATTGCCCATGTCCATTTTTTTTTTTTCCTCTCTATTGCGTCTCCTCTTACTTTCCTCTCCTTTTCCTATCCTTCTCTCTTCCACTGATTCTCGCCTGGTTAATCTTTAGTAGGCGTCATCTCTCGAAAACAACACTCTTTCCTTTAGTTCTTCCAGCTGCTGATCTCTAGTTCACTTTTGAAATCTCAGCTGTAAGTAATGCGGAAGCAATTTACTCCTCAAAATCGTACCTTAAATTAGAATCATCACCCGCTGACTCCATTTTGCACCGGTATGCGCCGTTGACAACTATTCACTTTCAGTAGAGATTAATTTTGAACTTGTTGAAGAAGCACTTTCAATCACTCCAGCCGAAAATATAGAACATACATGTGGATTATATCTCGAGTTGTAAGTACTAGCCTTTTTTGCCGAGGGTCAAAGTCGGTGATAGCCCATTTAGCGCCTTGCTAACTAACGATATTTGATAACTATCGTAGTTTGGAGAGTCCCGATGGACCCGAGCTATCTTTGTGACAATATGTTTGCAAGCCGTTCTCGCCATAATATTTGAAGCCGTTGTATATTCATACCATCAAAAAATGCTCGACATCCTTAATCAACAACATTTGAACCAAGGAGCAGACAGTATCACAAATGCATATGCCAATGCCCAGTCACTGTCAGTCTATTTCATATTATTCATTATCGCGCAAATTTTTACTATTGCGTTGGTTGTGGATGCGGTACGTGCAGCCCTATTTTAATCACCTTCTGGAAAAAAAAAAGACTAATTATAACCGCCCTGCATGTGTGTATTTAGATATACCAAAAGAACACCATACAACTTATTGCACTTTGTGTATTCGAATTTGGCATTGGTGCTTATTCAGTCATTCAGTACCATCAATCAACAACACTATTTAGTGGCGACGAAACGGTGATCGTAGTAGCTGTACAAAGTGCATACGACGCTGGACGCTGGGCAGAAATTACAGTCATCGTTCTTATGGTGCTAGGGGTGATCACCTTTACATTCCTTGCATACAAACTTTATCTAGAGTTTGGGTACGTGCTGCTCGCAATATCAGCATACGTTATATACTTCACAGGTGAACTAATATTCGAACTATTTTATTGCAGCTGGCATATTTACAAAAAAATTGGGGCTGATTTGTCAATGCGAGGTAATTGAAGGATATATTTAGCATACGTAACAAAAGCTCGGAGACACAAAAGAAAATGCTAACGGGCGAATGTAACAACATAGATCGCTACAAGATGTATCAAATTTTCATCATGATGTTGAAGTTTGATTTCTTCTTTTTCTTGGGCTTTTCAGTTCAGTACCTGGCTCTGCTTATTTTGACATCTGAGTCAAACCTGACGACAGCAGACGCAAAATCGAGTATAGTGAAACAGCTAATTGAACATATTGTTCTCAGCTGTGTTGTTACTATTGCTATGCTTCTGTTGGCATACTGGGGGGTAAGTGATCCTGGTGTTATTACTAGATTGTTCCGGCTCTGTACTCATGATTTGGCTTCCTTCCAGCTCATTCGGGAGAAGAAAAACTACATATATGGATTCATATTGGGTTCGTTTGCCAGTATGGCATATTTCATATATATGTTGGTCGAAATCTCGCAGCATCCTCAAAACTATCAAGGAACAAAAATATTTTTAACGTTTTTCTGTAAGTCTGTTTGCCGCTTAGTCGTAAACATCACTCGACCACTAACATTGTGATGAACTCTTCCATAGTGTGTGTTGATATGGTGTTGATCATCGCCACAGTGCCAGTATCCATTATATGCTTAAGAAACTTTGGCTTGGGTCTGATGAATCATAGTAAGATTTTAAAAGGAATTATATATTGCATTATGTGAAATCCAGTTTTGAGATATTGATGTTCCTTCTCATTAGTTTCACATAGCAACTCCACTGCAAACTCCACACATTCCATGACACCAATCGGTCAAGAGAAGCATAGCAATCGACGATGGTCAATAGAATAGTTAGTTCTCATACCACATTAACCCCACAAGCATCTTACACCCTGTATCTATCGTAAATGAAATATTCAAGGCTCTCCGCCTCTCTCTCCATAGTGTCCATATTCGGTAGAGGATTTTTCTTTTCTCATATCCAAACTACCTTACTAGTGCAACCAAAAATCTTTTAATTCTCATACTTTATTGCTTCAACTGACTGCATGGAGATAAAATGATAGTCGCTCTGTTATCGTTAGCATGTTGACTATACTACTACTACAGTAGCGTACGGCGCATTAGTAAAGATCAAACTTTTTTTGAAGACTGTGCAGTTTGGGCATGACTGCTTTCAAGACGAGCGGCATTCAATTTTTTTTTTATTCCATTGAGACACTTTTTTTTTTTCGAAGAGCTTTTATTCTTCTCGGGTTGTTGAGCGAAATGACACAATCGCCCTACCACCGTGTTGAATTCAACGTCCATAACAATAATCAAACCACCTCAATAAAGCTCGCGCTCAAACCTGAGTTCACTCTCAAAGATGCGTTGACCCAAGTTCGTAATGTCTGGACTGCTGAAACTAAGCACAGTGCCAACCTTGCCGCTATCAACCTTTTGTCCGTAAAAGATTCTGAAGGCTTTTGGTTACCACAAGACAGCGCAATTAATTGCGTCCTCAAGTTGAACGATAAGGTTGATGTCTTCGTAGCCAACAACAAGAGAAAGCCTGAACAGAGCGAGGTAAATTTATGATGAACGTATTTTCGGTAGCTATGTGCGCCAATACTGATCTCGGTTGTTTGTTTTTCTAGGGAGCTCCTCCAAAGAAAGCTAAAGTCGACAAGGGTGCCAAGACGAATGGTTCTACTGCAGCAAAGCAAACTTCTCCCGCCAAGCAATCAACTTCCTCTGCTACCGTGCCTGGAAGCCCTGCAAAGGGTGCAGTCAAAGCTCAGGACAAGACTCAGCCTCCCAAGGTTCATTCTCACAAAGGTGAAGGAAAGAAGGCAGAGAACGGTGGTCAAAAGAGGAAACATGAAGAGATTGCCGAGAAGTCGCCAGAAGATAAAAGTAATGACAATAATGTGAAGGCAGACGATGGCAACATGCAAGGTAAACCTGATAACAAGGCCAAGCAAGCCGATAACAAGAAAGCAAAACAGGGACAACCTAATGCCGGGAAATCAGCGAAATCTAATCACCATCAAGAAAAGCATGACAAAAACAAGAAGAAGAAAGGTAACCAGGCCGAGCAGAACAAACACAAGAAGCCGGAACATAAGACCGGAGAGAAGACCAAGCAAAATAAACAAGCTTCTAAGACTGATAAAAAGCCAAATGCTAATCAGAAGAAGCAAGCAAGTCTTGTTGAAAAGGCAGAACCCAAAGCCGATAACAAAATAGAGCAAAAGACTGCGCAAAAAAAGCAGAAGGCTGAGCCTAAGCCAGAAGAGGAGAAAGATGTCACACCTAGAGAGTTGACTGTAAGTGATAATTGACAGAAAATACTCAAAAAATAAAGAAATTCAACATAGAAACTAAGATGAACCAGGAGGAATTCAATTTGAACAGGGAAGGGCAAGCCGATGGGGGTCACACTAAGAAAACCAAATACCAGCAGAAAGAAGGACTCCAGGACGAGTCTGAACCTGAACCATTTTCGGATATGACAGTCGGTAAGACATCATAATCATAAAGCGAAAGAGGCTGCTGTTTGGACAACTTGTGCGAGTGCTAATGTCGGTTCATATTGTAGAAGAGGCAACCACAGCGAAATCCAAAACCAAGAAGCACAAAGCAGAGAAACATCAAAAACATAGTCACGATCTTTCAGCATCTGCCGCCGCCGAAGTGCATACTGAATCGAAGAAGCATAAAAAGAACAAGAAGAACAAGAAGAAGAAAGAGGAAAAGGAAATGCATAGAAAGCACAGCCATGATTTATCCGCAACTGCCCCAATAGAAGAGCAGACGCAAATCGATACCACATCGCAGAAAAAGAAGGAGAAGAAGCAGAAGAAGAAGGAAGAGAAGGCTAGAAGAAAGAGCAAGGATCTGACAGCAGATTCTCCTTTAGAGCAACCGTTGCCAATGGATACCAAGCTTGAGAAGGAGGAAAAAGCGAAGAAACACAGTCAAGCTAAAATCACTGCATCTGACGCTATGACACCGCCAGCAGTTGAAGCTGCGCCAAAGAAACATAAGGCTGAGAAGAAGCGGAAGTCGAGTCTGCTTCCCATTGCTTCATTCGAACAGGATGTACTTTCTGTCGAGCCTGAGACAACGGTTCCTGTAGCGGCTGAAATAGCTTCTGGGCCCGCTATCCATACCCAAAATGAAGATAAGGAACCAGCTGACGAAGACAATTTTATTAGCGCACTCTTCCCAGAAGCTGGGTCAGCATCTTCTGATACCACTATCACTCCACCTACGGCAGATGTCCCTGAGGAAACTACGATGTCTCCTGATGCTGAAACGGAATCTTCGCCAGAAGTGGAAGCAACTGTGACCCCGACCATAGAGGAACCTAGCTTTTCAAATGGTGCAGACTCTGGCTCTGATATTGAGGAAGAGGACCCTGAAGCAACTGTGACCCCAGACAACGAGGAACCTAGCTTTTCTCAAGCTACAGATCATGGCGCTAACTCTGATGTGGCGGAAGAGGAAGTGAATTTCAATGAAGTAGAGGAAGCAGAGGAAACGAATGTTGCTGTCAGTGAGGAATTACCAGATATTCTAGCAAGTAATTTACCTATTAGTTCGATGGAAGATACTCCTGAGCCTGATGTAGACGACATAGAGATGCAACCCTCTCCTGTTGTGGAATCGCGCGAACTATCATTTGAACCTCAAGCATCAAGTACACCTATCATGATAGATTCGCCAAGCACCAATTCTGTTCATGAAATGGAAATTGAAACACAGCTGGAGCAAAATACTGAAGCATCTTCTCTTGAGCAAGACGTGATGAAAGACGAAGGATCCACCGTCGAACAGGACGATGATGTGTCAGTTGCACAAGTCGAAGAATCTGAAGAAGTGATATCTTCTCAGGCTATACTTCCAGCTTCTGGTATAAGTACACCTACTAGCCAACTGGACATTCAGTCGACCAAGGAGGCACAAGAAGATCCGGAAAGCTCCTCTGCAGAATCGTCTTCAGACGATGATGATGACGATACTTTTGGATTTGGTGCTTTCACAAAATCAGAAGCAGACAACCAGGAACAACCTGACGGAGGCTACCTTCAGACCACCATCAATATACTTGAAGACATATCCAATGAATCTGCCAAACCAGTCGACGTCAAAGCGGTGGAGGCAGCTACAGAACTTCGCAAGGTATGTGACGAAGAATTCAAAACGCGGCTTACAAGAGCTATCAAGAATGGAGGAGAGACTGTAAAATCTGGAAAGGAAATGCAACAATTACAAGCTGCACAGTTAGGAGACGAAGATAGCGAAGATCACCCAACCTCCGGCCTATTGCCAGGCTTCATGTCCAAATCTAGAGCTCCCACTCTTTCTGAAATATACGCCAATAGCCAACGCTATATATATAAATCCATCCACGGTAGATCTCCACCACCGTCTCCATCTCGCCGTTAACACTTTTGCCTACCAATATTGTATTCTTCATTCCTGTAAATTCAGCTGTCCAACCAACGTTTTACTGATGCTTTCCAGTCTATCCAATATTTGCATCTCATTAGTAGGGTAGATAGATTAAGCGCTTTCTTTAATACATGTAAATTCAATCCCCAGCTTTGAAGCAGCAGACCAAAAAGAAGGGCTGGACAAAACGTGAATGCAAATGACCCCCGTGAGAAAACTGTGACGGTCAAGTACCTCCTAACGCTGTCCTTCTGTGGTTTTTCTCGTTATCATTTTATTCACCATGCCTCTAGAATACGCTCATGAGCCAGAAAGAGACGTAAAGGGTCTTATCATACGCAAAGATAAACCGTTCAACGCTGAACCACAGGTCTCACTGCTAGTTCAGCATTACATTACTCCGGACCCTTTGTTCTTCCATCGCAATCACGGCCCCATTCCTGAAATTGACATTCAAACACATGAAGTAGACATTGTTGGCCTTGTTAGCAATCCCCTTCACCTCACCGTAGCTGATCTCAAGTCGAAATTCACCAAGCGCACTGTCATGGCCACCCTCCAGGTAACGTAATGGATTTCGCGGACCTTCAAATCATGACATTTGGAACTTATATTTTCTTGATCTAGTGCGCTGTAAGCTGTCCTAACTACAGAGAACATGATGCAATTGATCTTATTTATACTCGAACCATTTTTATAGGGTAATCGAAGAGATGGATTGAATAGAGTCAAGAAGACAAATGGGGTAGGTCCCAGCGTGACATGGCTCGGTTGATAAGAAAACTAAACACCTATTATTAGGTTGTCTGGGGCCCAGGAGCCGTGGGTAATGCCGTTTATACTGGATGCCTACTTCGTGACGTACTCAAGGCCGCCGGCGTAGTATCAAACCCTGAAGATGTTGCAAAATTACATGCATCGTTTTCTTCCGTCGAACAGGTACGTCAGTGAATTCAACTTGGGGTTTTTACGGCAGCACATCGTACTGAGGACCACTAGTGTGAAGAAGATAAGAATTACGGTTCATCAATACCACTTTGCAAGGCGCTGTAAGTACATAGTGTAGTTTGATTTTGGTTAGCGTTATTGAAACACTTATAGACACTCCAAATGCAGCGATGAATATGGGGACGTGCTTCTGGCCTATGAGGTAATTTTTACTTTTTGGCTTTACTTGATTGGTCTTCACGTGGCATTTAATTCATGATTTCACGCACTAGATGAACGGCAAACCTCTCACTCGAGACCATGGGTATCCTATAAGAGTAGTAGTACCTGGTTACATCGGTGCTCGGTCGGTTAAATATCTAAAAACCATTAGTATCCAAAGCCACGAGTCCAATGCGTACTTTCAGCAGAAAGACTACAAAATTTTACCATCCAATGTAAGTTATCACCCGCGCCATCAACAGCCAACGCAAGACACTAAGCCATGCTTTATAGATCGAAAGTGAAGAGCAAGCTTGTAAAGTATGGTGCAACTTCCCAGCGATAGGGGAATATAATGTCCAGTCGTACGTTTGCGAGCCAGCCGATGGCGTGTCTTGTAAGCCTGGTCCATGCAATGTGCGAGGCTATGCTCTGTCTGGGGGCGGTCGATCCATTCAACGGGTCGACGTTTCCGCTGACGACGGCCGTACGTGGGTTACCGCCGACTTATACCAACCTTATTGTGGAGGAACCAAAATGTGGGCGTGGTGTTTGTGGACGGCTCAACTTCATGCTAGTACCAAACGTATTCTGAGCAGAGCAGGTCAGTGAGCATAACCTTATTTAGACTTTCTCATTGTTATTTTTTTTCATTGTCCTGACATCTCCTACTTATGGCAACCTCATTCATTGCAACCTAATAGTCGACTCGGCTGGAAACGTTCAGCAAGAATATCCTATTTGGAATTATCGAGGTGTTATGAACAACAGTTGGCGAACCATTGAACCCGATCAATCTCATTTGTGAACATCCATCAATGAAACATTCTATATTTCGCACTGCATTGTTATAAAAAAGAAAACTACAAAATGGTAAAGAAGTTAATAGCAGAACAACCCCACACTGGAGTTGCAGCAACCAAGAAAAGTAAGGACGGCATGTCTGCAACAGCAAGCAAAAAAATCATTGGGGAAAAAATGGTGACAGATGCGATGGTGAGAAGTTAAAGAAAAACAATGTACAGCGAAAGACTGTGAGAACAGCTTGAATAAATGAGTTACTCTTTCCATACTGGAGTACTTGTTACCACTGTGAATTCCAGACGGTGTTATGCGTATTCGAGCACGCACATCAAAGAAAGGTGTCAGGGCGGGAAAGAGTTAAACATCGAAAGCAAAATGGAAACTGGTATGTAGGACAGCTAGAGGTGCTGTGTTTTTGCTTTTGGGTTATTGTGAGATCAAGTGAATGAGCTAGCGAGTTGGCTTCATAGTGCTGGTGAAGGGCCGCCATCACCATCGCGTTCAACCGCAGTGGAAACTGGTGTATGTAGTGGGGGCAAGCGCGACGGGTTTGGAATCGAGTCAGACCGCCGGTTAGATTGTCGTTGGTACATTGCTGGCGACGACCGTTGCATCATACCAGGTTTGGACGTCTCCAACATGTCACTGCGATCAAACTTTGAAGGATCTTTGAACGGCGGTCGGACATTGCTGGTCAGCGGTAACGAGTCATAAGGAGTTGACGGCGAATAGGAATTGGAGGTGGAAGAACCCGTAAATTGACTATGATCCGAAGTACTTCGCGATTCCGAAGACTCCCCAGATTGTATTGGCGGTCGATGATGACCCGACTGGCTAAGTTTGTGTGGATGATGGTGATAGCGACCTTGTTTATACCATCCATTTGAACCCATCGATCGAGTATCACCAGAAGATACCGAAGTCGGCCCAGAAGAAGAAGAGACGGCTTCGCTATTTCCATAAGGTTCAAAATTGGAGGAGTTTGAGAATATACCGGAATCGGTGGTGGAGCTTGCTATATCGCTTCGACTCGATGATGGTTGTAATATTGGTGTAGCGTGCTCATTTGAATTGGCTATAGAGTTTCCGTTGCTACTACTGCTCGTGTCTCCGTTGTTGCCATTTGAGTTATTGCTGGCATCTGCGATCGAGCCACTAAACACAACACGAATATAAGCATGGAATCCATTATATCGATGGCATACACAAAAATAATTTTACTTGCCTACTCGGAGAGGCCATTTTCGGCCGTTTTCTTGGCTTGCCCACGGCGCGAGCTGCGGCTTGTTGCTTCACTTTAAAGTCGGCTAAATATCTTTGATAATCCTATTATTCATAGCCAATCAGCATTAGCAAAGTAAAAAGATGAAAGGGTTTGAATTGACTTTGTCATATCAATCATACCTTATGTTCATCCGTTTGTTCATATTTTGAAAGCGCCTCCAAATACTCTTCTTTTGCTTTTAGCGCCGTTCGATCATATTGATCTTTTTCTTCAGACGAAATCGACTTCCATCGATCGCCAACTATTTTTGCGAGGTCTGTGAATGACATATTATAATCTTTCAATTCTGATCTGACTTGATTGGAAAACATCACATAGGCAGAAGGAGGCTTGATAGGCGCGTTTTTGTCAGCTTTCGCATGTCGACGATATTTCCGTTTGGATCTTGCAAATTCACTAAAATTATCCTCCTCCGTGCTTGAAACTGTGTCGGCTCTGATATCTACAGGCGAAGTAGCGACAGGTGGTAGATGTCGTCCGTTGGGGTTATAGTTGGGTGAGTCTGCTTTGAAGTGGCGGTCCATCAGGTTAGTCAAGGCCGTATTTAGAAATGAAAATTACAAAATACATACTTGATGATGTGGCAGAAGACCGTGATGAAGCATTGTTTGTAGTTGGCAACGGCAAATTAGGATCATACCCTTTTGCATTGGCAATGGCTCGCTGAAGTAACTGTAGGATGAACATGGCGTAAAACACATACAATAAGGGAAAAGGGAAAAAAAAAAATGGAGAAAGAGGATCAGCAAGTGGCCACACAAATCGAGTAGAGAGATTTACCCAAAAAAAAAATGGGTAAAAAAATTAATTGGAAAGACTGTCGTTCTTGGCAGCCAGGCACACTTACCCGTCGATGGCCACGTTTGACATCTAGAGCTTCCAAGTCGCTTTCAATAATCTCAAAAAGCTATTGATAATGAAGTAAAAAAAAAAAAAAAATGTCAGTCAAAGTAGGTGGTGTTTTGGTTGAATAACAATTTCGCTGGCTAAATATAATAGGCGATGGAGCCATAAGATGTCACTTGTGCCCACATGTAAAGTGTCACATTGCGTGATCAAGTGGATAGTCGTTGAGCAATGTTGATAGAGCTTGATCATATCCCATTCCCCTGACATTCAATTGGAATTTGCCCTTGTTATTTAGCTTACCGATTTCAACTGATCGAACCCTTCTGCAATCAAAGCATCGGTATACTGTCCAAGGCCGCAATTGCGCAAAAATTCTTTGAGTTCCAGCTCTGAAGCTGCTTGATCGCTGCTGTTCTCCATTTCTGTTTTCAAATGTACTAGTTTGTTGACATGCAGTGTATCAGGCGTATAAGAAAAAAAAAATAAGAGGAGGTAGGTATTACGGAAAGCTGTCTTAGCATTTCTTGCCCATCGAAAATTTGGCCTCGTACGACTCCGACCGATCCTTGATCGTGTGCTGTGACTTAAATTTGTTCACCCAAATTACCTCAGTGGCTAAATCGTTCCTTTGAGAATTAGGCTCTGGTCGTTAAGCCAAAAGTAGGTCCAGCATCATTGTGCAGAATTGGATTAGTTCCTTGTGCGCGGTTACCAACATGGAATATGCAAACATACAGCTTTTACAAAAAAATAAGATTTGAGACTCATGTATGACTATTGCCTCACACAGGTCAAATCAATTTTGTGGAGAGGCGAGGTTTTCTCAATTTTTTCGAAGAATACTATAGAAAACTGCTGGCTCATGGACAAATTTTTTTTTTTAATAAAAAATTTATTACAATGCCCACTGGACAGAAGCTGTTTGGCAACCATGGCCGCTATAGATATCCTCTTGGGATTTTTTTTAAGCTTTTCCGCTGCAACGATGCCACTTCCGAGTAATACCGAAAATATGGTATGATATTGAAACATAGTACGCTTTATAGGAAAAGAAAGATTAAAAAAGTAAGAACCGGGAGTCTATCGAATAGGTAAAAATATAGAAATCCATCATTAGAATTAAACAACAATCTCATCTCAACAGTCATGAATTCCTTAGAACAAATCGATAGAACAAGGTTGCAAATGACGCAAACTTACAGGATTAGCGTTCCAGTAAATGGGTTCAGTCAATTGTACTTCCACTTTTTGTGCCCTGACTCCTTAAACTAATGCACTGCTCATCGATTAATCTTCTCACCTAACCGCAAAGCAGTCTACCAGCCAAACGCCTTGCCATCATTGTATAACTACGTCGATTGCCAGATGATAGGTCGAGTCCGTATAGGTCACGGTCGCAGTCATCTATCTAAACCGAAGAGACTGTTACTTCGTTTATTTCGATGAAGGAGCTGTATCCGGAAAATCATGATTGTTCTTTATTTCAGCAGTGCCAACTCTTGTAAAATAAAAGGTCCCGAGTGCAAAGCGTTTGGATCGTATCTTTCCACAAAAAAAGTTCTTTTATTTGTAGAAAAAAACCTCTTCGCGCCTCCTCGTTTATTTCAATTCATTCATCTACTTCTGGTTTTTCAAAATATTATCTGGTAGTATATTACAAGAAGTAGGATAAAAAAAAGTTTTTACTTCTGTGCTACTTTACCATGAAGGCGTGTCGAGTGTGACAGTCACCTACAAGCACGTCATTGCCATTTACGTACAGAAGTTGTGATTTAAGATTGTAAGGAACGAGAATATAAGCTTACCTAAATATGAAGATCTTGCTTTTGAAGGTAACCTAAAGGAAAAAGGCTGGGAACGCAAAAGTACTAAGGTAGGCGCAGGCTTATGGTTGGCGCCCCTGTCCACTCAAAGCCTCAATCTGGAGGAGCATAGTTACTTCCTTAAAGGCTTTTCCCTTGCAATATAACTTCCTTGCACGCAGCGGTGTCGGCAATAGTTCACTTGTTATGTCATAAACTGAGTTTATATTTTTTTCTTCGAAGGCTGTTGGTTTTGCTAAGTCGAATTTAATTGGCTTATTTTCTGCTTGTGATAACTATCTCTGCACTTTTTCCGATGGAGGGCTATTACCTATATCTGTTTGATCATATACTTGTCGAGCAAGGTCCTGAGGACGCTTGATACAAGGCTAGCGTGCAATCCAGTACACTTTGTTGGGGGTGGTGGTGCAGACGTAGTTCTAGGGAAAAGCTCTGAAATGAATCCCAATTAACGCTGTTATTCAACACAATTTTTTTTTCATGAGCGTCAGTCCAATTTCCCCAAGGAAGGATAAAACACTTATGTACTTGGAACTAGGAGATTGGATGGAGACACAAGAGGCAACACTGTCAAAGCCGTACATTTTGCCTCTAAGCTCACAAGGCGGAACTATATAGCATACAAAGCCAAAGCTAGCCTCGGCACCATAACAAGTAGCTTGACCATTCACGACGGGAAGTGAAACTTTGTGGGATCGCTTTAATAGCGGTATAATGGGTACTTTGACAATTTCTCTCCTTGCTATTGGAGCTCGCCAGGATTCACACACTTTTCAAATTTACCGGACATTGTCCTTCTATGTCGATTGCTTCTCTCCACATGGCATGGTACAAGACGAGCATTTTGGTTTTATCTCATTGCTGAAGCATGCCTACCTTGAGAGTATGTGGCCATATATGAGGTGTTGCGAGTCTGATTTCGATTTCGTGGTTCTACCAACCACCATGAGCTGCTCGTTACAACGCAGTCAAACCGCATACTGCGCTCTACCGTATAGAGGAAATGAGTTTGAGCCTTTGAATCCATTGGTATGAGCTGCCGATCGGGTATTTTAAGATAGCGATGGGAACTTTGTGGCTTCGGCTAGAACATTGTTTTGCAAAAGAAATTTTTCATGTCCGTTCCCTCGGTAAAGTTGCTACAACTAGTTCATTTGTTGGAAATTCAATATAACGAGACTAATTTTATAAACATCATGGTATCTCCAATGTATCCAAATAATCAAGGATAGCACCTTTAGATTGAACTTAACACTGTGCATGAAATAGCAAGTATTTTCACATTCGGACCAGCCAAATCCCATCTGTCTTACTGGTTGGTATTGAGTGAAAATGGATCCACATCTTCAAGAGATATCAGAGTTACACAAATGTAAATTTGGTTTCGTTTTCTTATCCGGCTGATAACGGGAAACCAGTAAAGCTATATCTCTTTGTTTAGCGTCGTCAACCATGGCTTCTTTCAGGTGGGTAAACATACACATTTAAACCAAAGCAAAAAACGGTTCTACCTTTTTCTCAGGTGGCTAATTACAACTGAGATTTTTGGTTTGTTCCAAATATGCCTTGTGACCTCAACCTTCTACTTTTGATCAGGTATGAACTCAGCCGTATGCTTACCCCACCTGGGTGCTGCCTGAGAGATGTTGGCAGTTTAGTTTTCAGCAAACGGTCAACGTAAAGATATTCACCCCTTAGCATATCGTAAAGAAGTTCACCATTGCTTCTCGGCTCACTTCCACGATAGCAAACTGTCACCTACTACAACTTTGGGCTTCAAACTCAATATTTTCTGGGCGTACCAAATTCGGACTGTCCCCCCGTTCATACATTTCCTAACCTCAGACCAGGAACTTCCTAACCTCAGACCAGGCATATTCACGCTGTGAAGACCATCACTTCGTTCATCCACTTCCAAACACATGATCCGAATGGACAAACTTCCGCATTGGAGATCATACTCCGTCTTTATGTATAAGTACCCGTCGATTCCTGTGGATGTTTGAGGTATAAACCTCACTCAAACGGCTGCTTAACTTCAAGCGTAAAATCTACCTTTGACTTATTGGCCCACAAAACCAAACCTGAACATCAATCACTTCCCCACTCAGTCAAGCTGCTCGAATCAATCCTCACCCGTTTCAATATGACTATCAAGAGCCATGCAAATTCTAATGAACCACAATCCAGTAGTGAGAAACTAGCCTGGACAGGCCGTCAACAGACTTCCGATATTGCAAGACCAGTCATTTTGGCTAGCTATGACAATCCTCTACCCTACTATAACCATTTTGAAGAAAAGGACAAAAGAAAATGGGATGATGATCAGGAAGCAGCTAGCAACATTGCCAAAGCTTTACGTGAGTGATAGAACAAAGGCATCCCAAACTAGAAGTATAGTCTCAAAAGTTTACTAACCTACCCCCTACTATTTCATTTTCCTACCTGGTTTATTTTTGTCACTGAAATCAGACACTCAAGCCTATGAAGATTCGCTGTCCAATCATTCGCAGGACGAAGATAGCCTGGGTTCGCATTTTTTTTCTTTTTGGCTCCGCTTATCACACGCCACCTGAAAACTAACGAATTAACTACTGTCCTACAGATGGTGAAGACGATTACGGCAATGGTCCCAGAAAGCCTGGCCGCAAGCCCATGGAAAGTGGCTCAATGACAGTAAGTGTTCCACACTCCTCTTTAAAACTTCCCCTTTACCAGGCACTCATTGGTATCTTATTTTACGCTTTGACAGCTGGAACCTGATATCAAACAAAAACGCAAAGCTCAAAACCGTGCTGCGCAACGGGCCTTCCGAGAGCGCAAAGAGCGTTATGTCAAAGAGCTTGAGGAGAAAATCAAGAGCATTGAACATGCCCATCTCATGAGTACGGCTCAACTGATGAAGGAAAATCAACAGCTCAAAAGCATCATTCAACGCTTACAGTGCCAAAATATCAATGGGATGTCCGCCATTGGTTTCGAGTTTTCACTCCCGCACCACCCAATGAACGCTCCCGCCTTCCAAGCTCCAAATCAGGCAGCGGAGCAAAAGCGTATTCCAGGCAGTAAGCCAGGTCAAAAGAAAAACGGACAGCGGAAATTGGTGCCAATTGCCCCACATCCTGGCAATCGAACAGCCACCGCCTCAACAGGACGGGCTCAACCCAAGCTTATGCCAAAGCCTTCCATCATCCAAGGCATCCCACTCCAATCAAGTTCCAATATCTCTATCCCACTACAGCGGCTCACACAACCTACGCCTGACGGCACTGTATCCATGATCATCGCTGCCAATTCATCTCCCGAATGGTCGGCCTCCCCCGCCAGCAGTGTGACCGGCATGTCTCCACAGCTTGTCAATGTAAATAATTTTCCAGAAGAAAACCCGCCACATTCTCCTACGGCCTCTTCCTCAGGCACTGAAAACAACCACTCTGAAAAAGGCTCACCAGCAGCTGATCTCGATACAACATTTTTTTCTGCGGACGGACAGGTCTGTTTTCGTCTGGACGATGGAAGGTCATTTTGTGAATTGTTGAAGGATCAAAATTCGAAGGAAGCCGTTGATCGCTTGTTCGCAGAACCTATATTTGACCTTTCTGGAGCATTGAATGATGCCAGTCTTGACCATTCATTGCCTTTGACTACTGAAGCTCTTACTGAGGAGAATCTTAAGGCTCAAAACCAAGATCTTCAAAAAGAACAGCTATCCAATTTCATGGTCGACTTTGAGTCCGAACAGGTTGGCAGTGATCATACCAGCAGTGACGAAGACGTTGTAAATAGGTCCAGCGACCGCAAAAACTCCTCCAGCATGGAAATCTGGCAAAGGCGTATATAGAGGCGATGAGGTTCCTGAACGGGGACTATACTTTTTTTCTTTCTGCCACCCATGCCATATTATAACATAATCCATTGCTTCGCATTCCACCACATCTTCTTGTTATTGCATTTCCTACTCCCTCCCTTTTAGTGTGTTATATAGTATATAATTCTTGCAACAATGAACTTATATTTTCATTAAACTTTTTTCTTTTTATGAAAACTGTGAAACCGGTTTTGGCTTGACTCAATTGGATGAACCCAGGAAAAATGGCTACTTTACGTGTGCAGTTCAAATGATCTTCTTTGCCATTGAGCCCCCCACCTTGGCACTAGAAAATTCAAAAAACTTTTTTCCCAGACTTTTCGATCGCAGTTAGAATGACAGGGGCTTGCAGGGTCTTGGAGGTCCCACGTTGTCCATTGCATTCCCTTTATCGGCATGCAACCGATGAGTACAAACAGGCTATGTTTGACCAAATGAACTTAATTTGCGCTTGCTGCTTTCGAGAAGTGAGATTACTACAAGCGCTATTTGCCCCTCATTTCACCCCACAAACACACCTTTTAGTTAACTGAAACATGTGACAAATGCATTCGGAACTTGCGAAGACGTCGCGGGGACGAAATAATGTCACTAATGAAATGCACAAAATCAGATCCCGTCGGTTCCTTTATGGTGGGCGAGTTAAAAGAAGTTTAGGAAACGTTCACTCGTCATTGACCTTATAGGGCCAGACCATTACATTACATCGGTTACATAGCTATTTCATGTCATTTTCATTCGGATTCATCCTAATTCGAAGAGCTGATCGCTCTGCTGGACTATCAAACCGGGCAAAAGTTTTTCATGTCGACGGGGTATGAGTGGCTGGGATGGATAAACCAGTTCCTCCCGTTTATACGGGAACGGGTTCTCATTGAGTAAATAGATTATTCAGGGTTCATTCATACACTACGCAATGTTTTTTCAGGGTTCAATGACCTTAGCGTAAAACTTAATCTGTCCTTCCCACCGCCCTAATAGAGAGAAATTTCACCGCCATGGTTTTGCTATTTGAGTAAAGTTTTTTACTCCAGTATATTTACGGTTACAACCAAACATCCAAGACACCTGCTAGGCTGTTCAAGTTGCTTCATTCATGATGGTAGTTGGACCATGACCAATAGGGTTCTCAGGCTAATTATGAAATTCTCCGATGTTTTTCAACCACGCTTCTTACGCCAGCCCAGTCTCCGCATCAGACCGAAACATGGAACACACCTTTCAGGGTAATTTAAATAATCTGACTTGTCCAGGTTTTTTTTTTTTAGTTATAAATCCTGCAGCATCCCATACGTTTTATTTTTTATTTTTTGTCCTTCTTCTTCACCCTACTCACATCTATTAGGCATGCAAAAAATCAGATACAATAGTCCTTTGGTGCAAATCATACTACTGGGCTTCGTATGCTTCTGTTGTCCTGGCATGTATAACGGTAAGACTTCATACATAATGTATCACCTTGCGTTACTGTGGCGAAAAGGTCCTCATTTTTGCATTTGACATGTAGCACTGTCTGGATTGGGAGCTGGAGGTCGTATCGGCTCGGATGTCTATCTCACCGATAGTTCCAACGCTGCACTTTACGCTTGTTTTGCCGTCGTTGGTTTCTTCGCAGGTTCTGTCAATAATACCCTTGGTCCTAGATATACACTTTTGGTAGGAGTCGTCACACAAATGTATAAGCACGTTGTCTTCGACTTGACATCTAACTTTGTATGGCATATAACTAGATTGGCTCCGTCGGATATGTGTTGTATTCTGTATCGCTTTGGGTCTACGATACTAAGGCTAACGCCGCTTTCGTCATTGCTGCCGGTGCTATCCTTGGTTGCTGTGCCGGTCTTTTGTGGACAGCTCAAGGTTCCATTATGATGAGTTACCCAGAAGAAAAGAACAAAGGAAAATATGTTTCTATTTTCTGGACTCTCTTCAATCTTGGTGGTGTCCTTGGTTCCTTAATTCCCCTAGGTCTCAACTTGACCAGCAGTGGTGAAGGCGGTGTCTCAACAGGAACATACATTGCTTTCGTTGTTATCATGATCATTGGTGGGCTGTGCTCGCTCTTGATTTGCAAACCTAACTCGGTTATCAGAACTGATGGAACCGGTGTACATATGGCTCAAAACACCACCTGGAAGCAGGAACTGAAGGGTGTCATTGGTGTCTTTAGTCAATGGAGAATCATGGCTCTTTTGCCTGCCTTCTTGGCTTCCAATTGGTTCTACTCCTATCAATTCGGCCTTAATGGTGAGTTAACCACGCCGAAAAAAAATTTGCCGCTAAGAAAATTTTTTCTAATTGCTTCATATTCATTAGCGCTGTATTTCGATGTTGCCACAAGAAGTTTGAATGGTACCATGTATTGGGCTATGCAGATTGTTGCATCTATCTTCCTTGGCCAAGTCCTCGATTATGCCAAACTCAAGCGTCGTAGCCGTGGTCTTATCGGTCTCGCTATTACCTTTGTAGTGTGTATGGCAGTCTGGGCGGGAGGTTTCGTTTTCCAGCTTGGTTTCGATCGCTCCTATTCAAACCCTATTCACTGGACTGACCCTGGGTTTGCTGGTCCATTTGTTCTCTATATCTTCTATGGTTTTACCGATGCTCTTTATCAAACCTACCTCTACTGGCTTATGGGTGCTATGAGCAATGACCCTGGAATGCTTGCTCGCTATGCAGGTTTCTACAAGGCTGTTCAGTCTGCTGGCGGTGCCATCTCTTTTGGTATCGATGCTGTTCATACCGACTTGCGATGGGAGGCCTTGATCTGCTGGCTTCTCGTCTTTATTTCTTTCCCTCTCATTGCCGTTGTCACTTGGAATATTTCCGACACTAACATCACTGTTGACGATTTCGTTGACACTGATACAACCGCCTCTGTCTCAAGCCATTACCAAGAAAAGAATGAGGTCTCCCATGACTCCCAAGCCTAAAGCGGTTTGGGTTGTATATCCTCTCTATGAAAATAATCCGCGTCTATTTACGTGGGATGTACCATTGTATTCACCTCCCTCGTTTTGTTCCATAACTTGTCTTTGTCAACATTTACAAAGGCGTTTCCCCCACATTTCCCAGCTACAATTTTGACAAGATATTATTATATCGACACTATTCTATAGTTTCTCAATGATTTTTTTTTTCGTAGTAACACAGGAATATCGCATTGTAATATTAGAAAATTGGATATATAAAGATGAATCCACTGAAAAGCTTCTGAGGAGCTCAAAAGAATGATGATTGTGAGAAGTGTTAGTGTCTATACTCATTCGTCCATTTAATTGATATAATGTGGCTTAAGTCATGTTAAGTCGTGTAAGCAATAGGTATGTAACCAATTTTGCTTGCTTTGCATCCAGGGACCCAAACTTGGGTCAGAAACATTTGGTGTAAGTTGAGTATTATCAGTGTACCTATTTCACAATGAGATATATAAAGGCGGCACAGTTTAAGCAATGGTGTCAGGCGACTGTATTCAATTTCTTGAGTCTTTTATGTGTGTTTGTACCATGACTGTCTTTCACAGGTAGGGCATTCCCAATTTTTATTTTCCTTCAGCTGTCGGAGCAGCGCGCTGAATGACAGACGCTACTGGCCATCTGCTTCGAGGGCGCTGGTACTAACGTCATATTTTGGCATGATCTTATCGACAAGAGAAAAGAAATGTATACTTCAACTCAATCTTGGGTTGATTATCTAGAGTGCACTCCAGCTTAGGAGAAGATCAAAAAGACTAGGAAATAAATCGCAGGGATGCAGCCCGCCCAGGTATTTTTTTTTTCTTTTGTGCCCCATATTTGGGTACAATACCGAAACCTCTGTATCGTATGAATCTCGACTTTGCAATCAATAATAAAAAGAATACATTCCAAATAACTCAGATGTTTGGCTTTTCACGTTGCATCAAAAGAAGAGCATCTCCTGATGAAGTACTGAATGTACCGAACTTTTTTCCCAGAATCACCAGAATTACACTTTGTTGGTAATCCGCAACGCTGAAGAGAGTTTATTACAGGAGCGGTTCGGTTGATTTTCTCCATAAGCAGCAAAAAGGTCATTGATCATTTATGACGACTATACTTCTGAATCTAAGAGCAATAGGCTACTGCGCCCATGTTCGTTTGTAGTGGGTCGCATAGCCCAGCTTCAACATGCGCTAAATACACCTATTTTTGGATCAAAACATGGCACGAATGTGACTAAATATCGAATACTATATTGCGAGGAATATAATGTGGTGCAAAACTATATGCCGCTTAGCATTGTTGTTTCAATCAGAACCGGATTTGCACTAGTATTAGTACACTGGTATTCTCAAAGTTCGAAAACTATATCTTGCCATTTGTATTGCTTTGTGAGATGCATTGCCTATGTTGATCCAATTATAGCTGTACATCAATCTAGAGTTGATCGAGAAAAGTGGTTTGGCTTAGCAAATCGGCCCAGTCCATAAAAGTCAGTCGGCACACTGCTATTTTCAGGTCAGGCACAAAGACCACCCAACTTGAGGGCGATGCAATCATTACCAAAAACCAGCCAGCCAGCCACACCATGAACATCGCGGCTTTAAAGCATGTTCTTGGCATGGACTGTAGTTACTTACAGCGAAGGATTGAAACTCCTCTTATGGCAAAGTTCTGATGGAATAATGGCCGATGAAAGTCCAATGAGAAAATTTCGTGGGGCACGAGTTACAAAAATAAGTCAATCACCTCCAATATAATATAAACCTTGGACGATCATTTTCTCTTCTTCTCTTTAACGCCTGTTCTTTCCAGCTCGGGAGTATAATATTGATGCATTTTACACGCTCCCTCGCTGTTCTCGCATCCGTTGCATTGGTCAACGCAGTCCCAGTTCCTCAAGATGCAGGAACTACTACAGCTTCTCCATCATCTGGAGACTCGCCATCCAATGCTATCAAACTTGTCAGCGAAAGCGATTTTTGTTTGTTCTTGCCTCCTCAGCCCGGTCTTGAGGTCGCCACCAACGAGGACAATGGTATCCCTTTCTGTAGCAATGGCCCTACCGACGTTCCCGGTGCCAAACCTTTCCCTGATGGATTCATCACCGTCGCCCATTACCAACAAAACGATACTTATCAGCAAGTGACAGGTTACATGAACCCATCCACTTATCAACTCAGCAGTACTGATGAGGGTGGTCAGTATGATAATCATGTAAGTTCCCAATATTTTCGAGTATTTGTTATTGGACCCCGAAAAAAGATATAATTAGTGTATATTGACATCATGTTCTCCGAAAATAGGGTAACGGCAAGCCCGTTGGCGCTTCTTGCCAGGGATACAGTTATTTTGTATCCATTATTGAACCTGCCGACAATCGTTTTTGTATTCGTTGCTGTCAGAATGTGGTATGTACCAATACCGAGAATTGTATACAAGCCTGATTCAGAAGAAAATTTATACTGATTATTTACACCCTTTCTTTTAATAGGACGACTGTAACACTGGTCGCTCTGGATACGGCTGTTTGAGAGTCGTTCCCGGCGATTACACTCAAGCAGATGGTACACAGCCATCTGATGCAGCCTCTGCTTCTGCTCCCATAGCCTCCAGCACTGACACTGATGCTGGTGCTCAACCAACCGACACTACCACTCCCGCTGACCCAACTGATGATGGCGATGACACAGCTGATGATACCGATGATCACTCCGACGCAGGCTTGTCTAATAACTGGGCTGAAGACGATGTCTTGAGCCCTGGTGTCGATGATATTGGCTCTAACCCATCCACTGGCAATGCTGATACCGGTGATGTTACTGGCTCCGACCCAGCCACTAACAATACCGGTACCGATAATGGAACCAACTCCAACAGCCCAGTTTCCGGCATTGTTTCTTCTGAATTCCCTACCGAAGTCACCTCTCTTCAGGAACTTCTCGCCAACGGTACCTCTGTTCAAGACATTCAACAAAGCTTCCAGCAGTTCGTTCAAGGCATTGAGACCAAGTATCCCAACGCTGCTCAACCTTTGCAACAATTGGTTGCATTGACTAGTGGCTTCACAACCACTGAAGAATGGCAGAACTTTGTTCAGACCCTTCAAACAAAGATTGCCAACGCTGGCAATGGGGGTTCTGGTAGTGATGCTGACATCGCCAGCCTACCTCCTACTCCCTCTTCTTCTCTTCCCGTTAGCGATGCGTCCGTGTCGGGTGGTCTCGCAACGGATGCTCCTTCTTCCGCACCTTCCAGTGATGCTCCTATGCCCACCGCTACAACTGACCCTACCACCGATGGTGAGACCCACGATAACGTTTGGATTGCTGAAAATGATGTCTCAGGTGATGACTTGAGTGACTCCAGCGTTCCTCCCTCTGATGCTCCCACCGCATCTCTTCCTACTAGCGATCCCGCCAACACTTTGATGCCTTCCTCCGTCGATTCAGCTGCTCCATCTGCCACTCCCACTGGCAACGTGGATTCTTCACAACCCTTGACTGCTGAACAACTGGACCAGGAGCTTAACAATAGATTCGATTCACTTGAGCAGAAGCTTATGGACGAGCTTCGTACATTGTTGGGTAACAACACTACCTCAACAGAACATAATGACCATAACAACCAAGCTGCCTGGTAAAATAAATGCCGTCACGCGAAGCGTTGAGGTGTCACTGTGAAATGAAACAGCCTAGAACAAAAGTATATCAAAATTTTGTGAAATTTGAGTACATTGTATTATTTTTCTTGTATAAAGACCATATAAACAGCAAAATGCGAAGTGAAATGGAATGAAATGCAATGATATGATGAAACATGCATATATAGACTACGACCCGTGTTGATAATGAAAACGGTATTGAGAGAATTTTGATGGATTCATCAGAAGAATTTTACGTTCTTAGATCAAACCAAGAGGAAATAGCAGTAAGCAAAGAGAACATATATGCCTAAACTCTTAACGCGAATTCGCAAAGCAGATTCCTTGAGAAGAAACTTCCTTCTCATTCGCTTGTAGAACTCGTCCTTCCGACAGTAATAAAATGAATAAGCTTTACAAATCATATGTTCCAATATTTTCAATGTTTCCTTCTCTCTTCAATGGCATTTTCAAAGAACCCCATACTCTGTTGCCTCTTATTACATGGCTTTATAGATAGCACATTCTATACTGTGCATTGGCAATTCTTTAACATTTATAACGGCCGATGTGTGCAGCCAAGGGTATCTTTCTACGTATATGCAAATAATGGATCTTTCAAAGGCATGTCATGGTAACGCCTACCGTGCCATAAAATGAAACTTATCTGCGTAGTCTGTATGCGAGAAAAAGCCAAGAGAGGAACTCGCATCAATCAATTCTACACTTTTGTCTATGGGTACGTTCGGTGAGATGCCGACTTCGCCCAGTGGTCTGCTGCCTCCTAAAATAGCTCGAAGAAGGATGCCTAATGTCAAGTCTTTTCCAGAATAGTAGATATTCGTCTTTTCCTTTGCCAAACCACCTGTTTCAGGTTTAATGAGTCGTAATATGTCCTCAGCTAGTAGAGCTGGAGCACAAAGGTGGACACTGTCGGGTCTAGTTAGAGCATTGGAAAGATTAGGCATAGGTTCGTAGCCATGGTACAATGATTATAATCTTTCAAACCTTTCGTCAGCATTTAGATTCGATATGGCTTCCACTACATGTCGACAGCCAAGGCTATGAGCAACGATGCGTACATTTTCGTGCTCACGTCGTAGTCGCAAAAGTCGAAGAGCAAATATTTCAGCTCTCTGTTTGCTCTCCGTGGTCGCTGTATTGAACTGATATGCTAATCGACCAGCATGCAAACCAACATCCACCGCAACAGCACCTAACATCGTCGCTGGTGTTGGCAATCGAAGTTGGGATAATCTGCGGATATTGCTTGCTACCAAGTAGCCTGCTGACGCGAGTGTTGCCACCGGTACCGGTATGCTGGCGGTGCCCGATGGCCATGAAAACCCTAAGGCGGCAGGAGCCCAGTTTTTGGATAAAACCAATAAGCGGTGAGAATGCATCCAGTCTGCAAAGTTGTCGGGTGTATCGCCTTCCGCTAGAAATCCTGCAAGTGCCGACCCAATGGTGGGATGAGTAAAAGTCGCGTTTGGCTTCTAGCTTACCGTACGTACCTTTTACATAAACCGTAATCTCTGATCTAGCATCGTGAGGGCGGGACAAGACTTTTATCTTTGGTAATTCGACGAAAAGTTGCTTCACCACTGGCTGTTGAATGAGTTTTGACATTCAGCTTGATAACACAGACGGAAGCTGGACTGGTGAAATGGAAAGCCAGCCTTCCCGTTTTGAAGCGGACATTTCCATTAGAAGGCTGCTTTTTCATTATTTTCCAATTCATCTGTGGCGACTCAAAGTCGATACATGCTTTTGTGTCTATCAGAATGGAAGTCTCAGTAAAATTGCAGAGTTGATGTATGTTTAATGTGAATAGTGTATAAAATACAGTGGCGGTGGAGGGGAGAGGAGGAATAACGGAGGGCGAGGAGAAGAGTGTGCACATGATGAGCATTTGAGTACGTTACATCCTATAGCTTAGCTGATAGGACAAGCAAAGGAGCCACTAGGCATGATTGAAGCTGAAGTAGACCCTACCATTCCAGATATATAATGTGTAACAGTGAAAGCAATTCGTAAAATTTGCTGACTGTAATTACCAGATTTCTGTGGTCCACAGGCATTATATAGATTTTGAAAGGTAGGGTCGATTACAGATGTGGTATTATAAGCAATGTTCATAGGTATGGTAATAATAGTCTGTGCCTTGGATGCAAGAACAAAATGGCCAGTGTCCGCTGTTCCAAATGTAGCTCCAGTCAGTGGGTCGTAAGCGAGAAAGTGCATGTTTTGAATTTGAGTGGGCACCCAATTGACACTATTATCAGCTGTGAAATTGATGTTCCATGATGTCTCCAGCGAATAGACCGATGAAACGTTACTCCACTGCGGATCTGAGTGCAATGAAGCTCCTCCAACATATAGTTCTGGTGTGCGGGGCCATACAAAGTACCAGATGATACCAACAACAATGATGAAACCAAACCACGAATAAACACAGACTCTTCTTGAAATACCGCAACAACTTCGTTTCGCTTGCTTTCGTTTTGAGGGCAGAGAGAGTGATAAATGGTTGCTGCCATGTTTTGGTGCGCTGGTTAGATGATCCATAGACTGAGAGTCGTTTGGCAAATAATCGACCGCCTCCATGGCAATTGAATCGTGCAGCGTACTTGACTTTTTGTTCGTTGTCTGATCAACGCTAGCCAGATCGTCTTCAATATACATGGGTTCATTAAAGGGTGCGTAATGATTTTCTGGATGATTGGAGTATGGTAGATACGAGATAGCTCTGCTTTGTGGTTCTTTGTGATGCCTCGATCTCTGACCGGGCACAGCGTACGGATCGTCGACAAATTCATCAAGCTCCTGATACGTATGTTTCTTCGCTTTCGATTCCTTCGCTACCCCCCTATCATTTTTATGCCGTCGTGATGAGCCATCTATCAAACAAACATATGTGTTAGTTAGTTTAACGTATTCACGCACTGGGGTGGTATTTATGTACTCGATTTGACACCGGCGTTATCCTTTCCATTGAGTTGTTGCTATATGCCGATTGAATTCAGTTACGAGTGCAATACTGCTCTGATTTCTTCCAAACTTGCAATGTGACATTCCCAAATGGCAAAAAAGAGATGAATTTTGAATGGTACCTGAACTTGACTTCACTCTGTATGGATCACCTTCCGCGGACGGTGTAGGAGTTGCTATTCTATGTGGTCTGTGATTACGGGCATACGGATCTTGCTCCATGAGTTACGGCTGCAAGTGATAGCAAAGGTATACTCTGGTGACAGAGCAAAAGGTGAAGACAACGGTGGCGCTTGGGAGAAGGGCTGTTTCCACCTGGATAACCTTTTTGCAATGGCTATTTTAGGAAATTCAAACTCCTACTCGTTCTTGCTGAGCGCGGAAATAAAGTGGTGTGTGGCCAACATGGAGGTATTCGCTCAAGTAAAACACTCCAAACATCATTTGCATATCCAAATGAAAAAACAAAATAGACGTTACTAGCCGAGATGTGAAGATTGTTTGTCTACATCAACTTTCATTTGCTCGCTCAACATAGCTAAAAGGAAAAAAGGTATATTTTTACTGAACATGTGCAATTCGTGAAAGTCTTAAATAGCCACTGCTGGCTATTCTGTACATGAAGTGTGGACCAACGATTGAGAACGTATTCCACTGAGGGTTTTTTTCTTGGCAGGAATAAGGTTGTACGGCCAATATGAAAAAGGCGATGGGCCTGTAAACAATCAAAAAACGACACCGATGACGGAGATGAAAAAATTGTGCCTGTTCTAATGAAAAGTTTTAACGTCGTTAATGTTTTATGCTGCAGGTGCATGAGTGATTGGCTATGGGGATTTGTTGCGGGAGTGATTGACATTCTGGATGACCCGGTGGTCTCTTGGTGTGAAAATTTGAATGAAATGGTATACTCTGGCATCAGAGCCAATGTGGTTACTAAGACCAAAACGACGCCCAGAACCTGCGCTGTAAGATGGAAGAGAAAGAAAGTATTTTGCGTATTAATAAATATAACTCCACTTTGCATACAAAACTATGAATACCACTAAGCCAAGTTGGATGTCAAACCTTTTTTTTTGTTGGTGGGGAGATTCGCAGTTCTTCGACGCGTTTTTTGACTTGTTCGATATTTGGTCGGTCATCAGGATTTTCTCGTAACATGGAACTTATTAACTGTTGAAGTGCCAGAGAGTAATGTGGAGCTTTGGGAAACGTGTATGAAACATGCAGGATATTGATTTCGCTGTTCTCTTCAAAAGGTGTGGTATAATAGCAAAGCTTGTACAACAGAATTCCGAGTGCCTATTGCATGAATTTGCACGTCCGTCAGTTTGGTTGACCTTTCCTCACCGTACATTGCCACCGCTTGAACACATACCCAAATATCAACCTTTTCTGAGATCGGCCGATGCCGCGATACGTCGATCAACTCTGGTGCCCGGTATTGTAATGTAGTTTGTGTACTGATATCGTCTTCAAGCACTTCTATGCGACCTTGAGAGATTATAGAATCCACAGTATCCACAGTAGTTGCCGATCCGTAATCGCAGAGCTTGTATACTCCATCCTCGGAAACTAGCACATTCTCTACCTTTAAGTCTCGGTGCATAATGGCGGGCTTACAGGAATGCATCCAAAGGACTGCCTAAGAACGTTGCCGTTTTCGTTACTAGTCGCTCATGTGTGCAGAGGGGGAATTCACGAAAGCAAAGCTTACCTCACAAACGTCGGCAAATATATTAATGATTTCGGATTCGGTCATGCGATTATTGTCTATACGGCTATTCATTAAATCCACCACTTCTCCTCCTGTAGCATTTTTTGTTATCAACCAATTCAAATGGAAACTCGTGAGATGCAGCACAAACCTGAGCTGTATTCCATAAGAATCAGTACTTCATATTTATAAGGACCAGCATCTTGTTCCAGTTCCGTTATTCCAGATGCAAAATACTCTACTATATTTTTGTGGCCCGTTAATCGCTTCTATTTGAAGAAAAGACGATTAAGATTGGCTTACACCTATGGAAAATTATATTGAAACAATCACTTTACCATAACATCAATTTCTTTTTTGAATTTCTCAAGGGTTGCTTCATCCTTGACTAGCATCTGCTTCAGTACAGCTTGCCGTGTTTTTATATTTGGGTCGTCTATATCCAGCGTCACAAGATATACTTGAGAGAACCCTCCTATCGGTGAAAGACTGGTGAGCGACATGAGGTTGATCATAAAAGTGAATGTGGGACTCGAACCTTCTGCTAACAGTCGTACAACTACTACAGGTATGTCACCAACATTGACTAACTTCCCAGGAGCCAATGTAGGCATTGGGCAACTTTATTGACCCTGACGGACTTTGTGGCAAACGAAGTAAAGGAATGGCCTGACTGCTGATCTTGCTCCAAAGCCATTTAATTATGTCATTTAAAGGTACCATTTTGGGTGCTTTTCGCTACGCTGGAAAGCCGGAAGTAGTTGAAATGATTGGAAATAGTTCAGTCACACTGTTCAGAACGTATTAATATCTACATAACTATATTAATTTACGTTGGATGCTATGATTCGATTCCTATAGCATAGCGCCATTCCGTCTCGCTGTATAATCATACAGCCCTGGTCCAGCAACTTGTGAATATTGATATTAGCTTGACCTATCTATTCACTTTTTCTACCACGGAATGGCTTGGAAAATGATACATATCACGCAGATGCATAAATGCCGAATTCTGGCTGTTTATCCATTGTTTACTGTCATCTTCGCGACTGCCTCGTTTACATTGCTATGTTGTATTGATTCGAACGAGTAATTGTTAGAATAATGATATATTCCTTCTTACTAACAGGCTGTAGCTAGCGCATAGGCAAATCATATGTAAAAACTTAAATAGGTTTATATTTATGAGAGACATAATTGCGCAACAGGGACTACATTATGGTTGTGTGCATGAACAGCCGTGCACCATAAAGTTCAAATGTCTATTCTTTCCGACAGTTCGAGTCGAACAGGTATCAAGTGGTTACATACCACTTTAAAATGATAAAGCCGCCCATATATGTTACCATCAATGCTAGAACACTCCACCTCATTCCACTTGGCGTGTGAGGTATACCTATGGTGACGAAGTTCGATTACCAGCGGGCAAGTGCCACAAGATTTGTTCTCCTCCGATGTACGTCAACGAGATAAATTTAAAATTTCAGGTGAAGCTCAGACGCACCGGATCTTCTGACAATCAACAGTATAACATAATGTCAGACGAAGGCGCTTCCAATAGTGAGTAATAGCCAACTATCAAATGCTGGAGTAAAATGTTGCAGTAGTTGTTGATTTCCGGATTTTCGTCTAGACGAGCTACTCTTGGCGGCATGCAAGAACGATCAGGATGATATGGTTTCTGACATCTTCAAGGAGGGATCATACGACATCAACTTTAGAGACGGTGCCGGTAATACAGCTGCACATTATGCGTAAGTGAAAAAGCTATGTGATAATTTAAGGATACTGCAGACCGTATTGAACGCCTCGTAACTTTTGACTTGCATAGAGCGAAGCATGGATCGTTAGATTGTCTCGAACTGCTCGTTGGCCACGATGGTATTGACTTGGACATCAAAAATACTCTTGAAGGAGATACACCTCTACATAAGGCTGTCGAGTTTGCTGACGATCCGGATGTTGCTATAGCTATGGTCGAAATACTGCTTGAGGCCGAGGCTGATCCTAGGTATGACTATTGATGACGACCAGAGTTGCACTGAACAACGCTTGATATAAACAAACTTCTCTTTCTCTTATCTTGTAGGATAAAAAATCGAAACCAGCTTACTCCTATTCAGCTGGTCAATCCAAATAACGAGGAAATGAAGGACCTGCTCGAAAGTGCTGTGGTGTCTTATCAAGTGGTATGTGGGATCACGCGGTATCTTTGATTTGTCTTGCATGTTATTGATGCTATTCACACAATAGGGTGACGATGATGTCGTCGATGAAGACGACTATGGAAGCGCTGATGAAGATGAAATACCCAGTGATGATGAATAGATATTCTAGTTTAGACCTGTTCGTTTATGCATATGTTTAAGCTGGCGTGAACTTTTACCATCTAACGCAAGTGTCACTATCAATGTAAAAGATACAGACAATCTACTCGAAAACTTGGATAAGGTTCCAAAATGGGATGCATTACTGTATAGTTGTAAGGGATTTATTTAGTAAAATGATGAATATCGCTTCAGAACTTGACCACAAAATGCCAAAGTTCATTTGAGAACCACGGCGGCATTTCGACTTCCCAGATATGCCTGCACACTGGAAACTCCCAGGCCCTTTATGAACTGATACACTTCTGCATTATGATACCGTAATCCAGTCTTTGGGTCAGTGTATTTTGCGTCTAGGCCGGTGATATCACAGTACTTCTTCGCTGGCCGTATGGATGGGGGGCTTTCAATATTCTGATCTAAATCAGGAACTCTGTGGTTAGTTGCAATATACAGTTGTTCTCATATGTCTCTTATACATACATGTTGGAAGATCTACGTCAAAATCAGGCTGCTTTTCTTGTGCAAGTAGCTGCTTCAAGCTCCTTGCTTTCTTAGGGGCAGAGTAATTCTTATTCTTGAATGGTCGTGCAACCTGTAACAGATTCATCTGTTGAACACTGAAACTATCTACAGATTGTGGTGTGGCGGAGCGAGAACTCGATTCTTGTATACTCGGTGTTACTGAAGCAGCCTATCATAGTCACTTAGTATATGGATGCATGGTAGTCAGCTTGGCTGTCAAAGTCAATGTACACTCACCTTTGCACGCGAAGGAGTTGCAACCGCCGCTCTTCTCGTATTACGCTTTGGCGCCCTACATGAAAGCGTTGGTATGGAATCTTCAAATGCTCTGTTACTTTCACCTTCCAAATCTTACATGGGCTGAATCAACTACGACACTAAACAGGTATAACAGACAGCTCGTTGGTGGCGGTATGTCGAATTTCTTCTTTGCGCTCCTGCCATCTCAAAAATCACATGACTCCATTATTCCCATAGCAAATTAAATTCCCAAATTCTGATATACGTCACTCACCTTCGAGTTTCAAGCGTAGCCAGCTTGCGTATACGAACGCGCACTGAACATAGCACTAACTCGATTACTACACAATGGTACGAAATGCTTCATCGGCATTGTAACTTATAGCGATCCTGTTATTTCAATCGATACTGAGTCTGTTTCATTTGTAAACTAGGGTAACGCACAATCTGGACTTCCTCCGGGAAAAGACAAGAAGGACGATAAGGTACACCTCAGCACTAGTTAACGAATTAGGTGCTGGACGAGTCATTGCAAAACTCAAACTAAACTGATATTCTTCTCTCTAGGATAAAGATAAGAAGAAGAAGTGGGAACCTCCTGTTCCTACACGAGTAGGCAAAAAGAAGAAGAGAGGACCTGATGCAACTGCAAAGCTACCAGCAGGTATGAATGTCGCCGTGATTGCCACCTTTGAGTCGCCTAGCAGAGATACTTACAAACACTTTCTCAACCGCAGTCTACCCTACTACAAGATGCCGCCTGAAGCTTCTCAAAAATGAACGCATCAAGGATTATCTATTGATGGAAGAAGAGTTTGTGCAGAACCAGGAACGATTAAAGCCTCAGGATGAAAAGAACGAGGAAGAGCGAACGCGAGTAGACGACTTACGTGGCTCACCCATGGGCGTTGGAACGTTGGAAGAGATTATTGACGATGATCACGTTATCGTTTCTTCTTCAACGGGCCCAGAATACTACGTTTCCGTCATGTCATTTGTCGACAAAGATCTGTTGGAACCTGGATGCAGTGTTCTCCTTCACCACAAGGGTATGGCTGTTGTCGGTGTACTCAGTGATGACACAGATCCTATGGTCAGTGTCATGAAATTGGATAAGGCTCCAACGGAATCATATGCAGATATTGGTGGACTGGAACAACAAATACAAGAAATCAAAGAGAGTGTAGAACTACCATTGACTCATCCAGAATTATACGAAGAAATGGGTATTAAACCACCCAAGGGTGTCATTTTGTATGGTGTACCCGGTACTGGCAAAACACTGCTCGCAAAGGCAGTTGCCAATCAAACCAGCGCTACTTTCTTGCGCGTGGTTGGTTCTGAGTTGATTCAAAAATACCTTGGTGATGGACCCAAACTTGTTCGAGAACTCTTCCGAGTTGCTGAAGAAAACGCACCTTCCATTGTTTTCATTGACGAAATCGATGCTGTTGGTACCAAGCGATATGATTCCAACTCTGGAGGTGAAAAGGAAATTCAAAGAACCATGTTGGAACTTCTTAATCAACTCGACGGTTTCGACTCAAGAGGTGATGTCAAGGTTATCATGGCTACAAACAAGATTGAATCATTGGATCCCGCCTTGATTCGACCAGGTAAGTTCATCATGAACACCTTTGTCATTCACATCAAGATATTCTTATAATTTACCTTTCCTTCATCTTCCTATAGGTCGTATTGATAGAAAGATCGAGTTCCCATTGCCTGACGTAAAGACAAAGCGTAGAATCTTCAATATTCATACCAGCCGAATGACGTTGGCAGATGATGTGGATTTGGAAGAATTCGTCATGTCTAAGGATGATCTTTCTGGTGCTGATATCAAAGCCATTTGCACTGAAGCAGGTTTACTAGCACTCCGAGAGCGACGTATGAAGGTTGTTGCTGAGGACTTAAGAAAAGCACGTGAGAAGGTTCTATACAGAAAGAATGAAGGAACACCCGAAGGTCTTTACTTGTAGACGACGATGTGAAATAAATATTAAAAAAGGCTTATAACAATCATCACCGGGAATGCATTATTCAGTATGTTTGTGGCATGCCGCTACAAATGATCGTCTAACACGTATTCAGTATATACACCTACATCATGAATCTTTAGTATACACCAAAAGAATGAAAGATGAGGCTATCTCTGAAGATATATCTGCCAATACAAGCAATCAATATGTACAGAAGTTAAATTTTAAGTAGTTTAGTGAAAGCTCTTTCTTATATAGTTGTGCTATGTGTGTAGACGAGCACGGTATATCAGCATACCACAATCTTTCATATATTGGAGTTCAAGGTCTTTCAAAACCTCTCTATTCACCATATACATAGCAAAAACATAAGCTCGAAGCTAGAAAAATGAATGTTGAACAAATTGGTGCAAAATTTATGGGATAAGCGGCCAGCCAGGCAACAGAAAAAAAAAATGAGTTTCAAATTTTTTTGGGAACTCCTACGCTACAAGAATCTAGCTGCCATTCGCCTCTGGTTGAGACTTCCTCTTTCCTTATATTAGCCATGGTGAGCATCGTCTATATCAGATACGATGGAAGATGGGCATTGGCATACATCAGATGATAATGGATGGATGATATTATTCACGAAACGATACCTTGCTACAACCTGTTGTTGCCAAATGGCATTCGGCAAATTTTACCTTGACGACATTAGGGATCAACATTGTCACAATCACAGCACAGTCTTCAAGAGCCACCCCAACTATTGACGACATTCGACTTTTGAACGAAATAACTTGCCTCTTTCTCAATCGGCGTTGCCCTGCCCATGCTTCTTGACTTGAAAATGCTGACATTTGGCTAACTCTATTTTGTCGTAATTTTCAGAGCGCCGAAGATCAGGCTGTTGCTAAGAACCCCATGCGCGAGCTCCGTCTCGAAAAGCTTGTTCTCAACATTTGCGTTGGTGAATCCGGTGACAGACTTACTCGTGCCGCCAAGGTGCTTGAACAGCTCACTGGTCAAACCCCCGTCTACTCCAAGGCTCGCTACACCGTCCGTACCTTCGGTATCCGTCGTAACGAAAAGATCTCTGTCCACGTCACCGTCCGCGGTATGTATCGAATTACTTTTTACAATGTGAAAAATGACCTGTCTTTTCCTTTTATACTAAACGTACTCGTATTTCTATAGGTGCCAAGGCTGAGGAAATTCTCGAGCGTGGTCTCAAGGTTAAGGAGTACGAACTCTTGACTCGTAACTTCTCTGAAACTGGCAACTTCGGTTTCGGTATCCAGGAACACATCGATCTTGGTATCAAGTACGATCCCTCCATCGGTATTTACGGTATGGATTTCTTCTGCGTCATGGGCCGTCCCGGTTACCGTGTTGCCCGCAGACGTCGCTGCAAGTCCACTGTCGGCACCCAGCACAAGGTCAAGACTGTAAGTGTTGTTTCACAAACTTTGTACGTTGTGTCAATATCTTCATGTTCTAACAATAATATCTTAACAGCAAGAGACCATCGACTGGTACAAGTCTCGTTTCGATGGTCTTGTCTTGAACAAATAAATCAGTTAGTCTGCTAGCTGTATTGTTTTTCATTACAACGTCTGAATATCCTTGGGTTGATTAGCATCCAAGCAATAAAAAGCGCCATAACATCCATTACAACTGAAGAGAAGGTTGCTTTTTGCATGATTGAAAGTGGGGATTACAGGAGGCATGTTGCTGAGCGTATACAGCATTGAAAGCCAAATTTGTTTAAAGGCATTGTATTGATGAATGTAATAAGAAAAAATTGGGTACGTGGTATTTTAGGGCTAAGTAGGTATGATGAGGTTTTTACGACCCATAACTGTAAAATCCATATCTTGACCAGTCTACGACAGTATTCATCAATTGTTCTGGAACAGGTTTGGCTATGGCTTCAAAGTCATCGTCAACCATGGTATGTCCAGTTGACTCGGGGACGGGGAGCAAGTTGAATAAATCCACAATGTCTTGGGGCGGGATCACTCTCTCAGGTCGTCTTGAAGGGTTATTGATCGCTGTTGCTTGCTGCACAGTGGTGTTAGCATCAGCGACATCACCGAAATGAGGAGACTCATTATCATAATCATAGTAGCCAGTACAATGATCGTATTTGACTTTGGGCAAAGTGGCATAAAAGTCATCTTGGTCTTTGCTGAGAGCCTCGGGAAGAGATTGAACTCCACCTCTGTCATGAAGAACCTTCCAAGGGTTACGGCAGTTACCAGCCTTGCAGGACTTTAAGACAAGAAGAAGGGCATCCAATCTGTTAATGAAGCGATCGGTTGCTTGATTGTAAATGTTTTGAGTTTGATAAGGGTCCGACTGTGAATATTGCCGAAGTTAGAACAAATGACACTTGATGTAAAACAGCTTTTTATGCTTTTTTTTTTTTTTTTCCAAATTATACGTACCTTGAGGTTGAACAATTCATGTTCACCAGTACACCAAACGGCGTAAGAGTCTATACCAAGAGTTAGTACTTCCAAATTTATCCAGACCAACTCTCAACAACATGTAAGAAACGAGACTTACAATCATAGGTAGGACCAATGACACGAAGAGTCTTGTAAGTGTTTACTCCAGGGACAAAAAGGTTTTCGTCGTTCTCCCAAGCAATGTTATCAGACCAGAATTCAACAGAGAATGTTTCTGTAGAAGCTTGAAGAGGATGGTTTTGCAAAGCTGGAGTGATTGGCATAACACCACCATCAACCCAAGAAGGCAGTTTGTCTTCACCATTGGCCAGTGCTAGGAAAGTCGGAGCTAAACTTTCATGTGTGCTTACAAGGTCGCTAATAGCTCCCTTGGGAATACCAGGGCCTCTGATGAGAAGTGGAACACTAGATGATATACTTGATTAGAGTATCTGCATTTAAAGAATATAATAGCACTGCCAATACGTACTTGATGTCCTCCTCCATGTTGGTAGTCTTTCCTGCCAACGCGCGATGGTGACCAAGATGATAACTGCATTAAACTTGATTAATCACCCGCATTCAATTTTATAACGTCAGAACATTTCTTACCCATTATCAGCCGAATAAAATACGTAGGTATTATCCAATTGCCCTTGCTCTTCCAGTTGCTCAAATAAGGCACCTTAAAATGCTATTAAAATTTAAGCTACATTGAAACCACACTGTATGAAATTCACTTACCAACCATCTCATCTACTGCCTGAAGTGCACGCAATCTTCTTCTATACGTGTGATCAAGGAATTCAACTTGCTCATCTGTCAGCTTTGGCATATCGTTGAAGTAGGATGCTGTCTTTCCTTGAACATCAGGGTTGAAATTTGGAGTTCTTGGAACTGAGGACACAGGAACAGTCAATTGTCATGTACAGATGACTACACAATAATTAAGTATGCTGAACATACCTTTCACATCTTCAAATAAGTTCTTGTGTCTCTCAGCTGAAATAGGAGGCTCCGTTGTGATGTTTATGGGATTCTCACTGTGTATTTGGAATTGTCCATGAGGAGCCATTGGGCTTACTATGAATGAGTGATAAATATTAGTTCCCGTCCAATGCCCAAACTTTCAAGTCGACTAATGACTCACCCCACAGAAAAAATGGTTCTTCTGTATTGTTCAATCGCTTAAGAGCTGCCTTAGCCTTTCCATGGATAATATCAGTCTGGTAGGCATTTTCGTAAAAGACGGGTGCTTCACCATCTTTGCTGAAAACCGGGGTATTGTAGACATAAGTATACGGATCTAGTAACTGATCCTGATAATTCCTATAAAATTCCCAAATTTTTTAAATTCTACAGTTCCAGCAAGCACTGCTACCTATGTCCATTTGCAACCCTTACCATCCTTTAGGCGCAGTTTGCCAATTATGAACGGCCACACCGTTCATGAGCTTGCCAATATAGTTGGTAGAATAACCAGCCTCTTGCAACCATACAGGTAGATAGCTCTCTCCCAGCTTCAGTCTATTGAACCTATCGTAGCCACCATAAGGTTCCATGACATGAGTGATATTGGTGTTGTGCGCATATTGCCCTCGCAAAAGCGAAACTCGCGAAGGACAGCATACAGAGACAGTGGCATAGTGATTGGTATACGTGGTGCCTTGCTCAACAAGATATTTTTGAACATTTGGCATATACGAGAGTGAATCCATTCTGTAATCCTGATCATCGGTGAAAATGAACAGAATGTTAGGTCGCTTCTTCTCAGTTTTACCGGAAAACACATTTTGGTTGGGCTCTTGCTGGCCGCTACCCATTGTAGCCAAACCAAGTGTGGCAATGATCGCCAATGACAAAAATTTCATTGTGCGTGTTTTCGGTTTGTATAATGCCAAATATTCGAGGTGGCAGATTATATAGGAATATTTAGTGAGTACTGATCATCTAAAAATTCGACGATTGCTCCATCCGTTGCGCCAATGTCGCCATCCGGTTCACCAAAAAGCCGAGTAACTCCGCTCCCATTGAGCCGAGAGGTGTCTCGATTCGCCAATCAGGGCACAAACTCTGGGTATTATGCCATTTAACATAGCTTGCTATGGAAAGCATGGAGGTGATGAAAAAATTCATCCATTAGTGTATCAGAACTTTTAGTAAAAGAATCCTCGAAAGAAAACATAGCAAATTGCTAAGACAAGCGTAGTCCAACTTGAAGTGAACGTTGCCTTGCTGTTCAATGACTGATATTTATTTAGGTTTAAGCATATACCTTCATGGTAATTGAGTAGTTCACGAGAATAAAGTTCCAACCATGTTCCTGGATTTGTTAGATGTGTTGAAAGAGTGATCTCGTGACTGTTAGAAATAAAAGTGGCTGTATTTGGGTAACGGTATTAAACAAGCTTTCCATTCAAATAGCAACATATTTCGGATCAATGGGGATATGTAAACTGTGGAGTGTCCTAGAGCCTGTCAAAAGATCTGTTCACTACTCCGCCATAACCTCCTTGATTGACACAAAAAGTGGTACCTCCGACCAAGATGTCATTCTGGTGATCGATGCAATTCCTTGGCTATACCATCAGAACAAGAATGTGTAAGCGCTGCAAACTTCAGTCATAAAAGCCTTTCAGCGGCATTTTTTTGTTTTTTTTACATACTAAATTGTTACAATTGAAGTCCAATACATCTCACACTTTTTCATCGTCTGGCACGACTGTACACACTTGGTGTCAAAGCTATTTTTGTATTTGATGGACCCGACAAACCGCTCATTAAACGCAACCGCCAATGCTACTCAGGATTAACAGCGTCTGATTCAGAAATTATATTTCGCCGCTTATTGCAATTATTCGGTTTCAAGTCTTGGGAAGCTGCTGGAGAAGCCGAAGCTGAGTGCGCCAAATTGTTGGATCTTGGTATTGCAGATCTTGTTGTCACAGACGACGTCGATGCTCTCATGTTTGGCGCCCAGAAAATGATTACCAACTGGCAAAACGACTACGTCAGTTTCTTTGACATGAAAAAAATTAATGAACAGTTGGAACTAGATCAAGATGGCCTGGTGCTTATTGGTCTTTTAGCTGGAAATGACTACGTGCCGTATGGAAGCAGGAATATCGGAATTCTGACAGCAGTCGGACTTGCAAAAGCTGGTCTTGCTCCCAAGGTCCTATATGCGAAAACTGCACAAGAAAAAGAAGAAGCAAGGAACGCTCTAATATCCGAATTGAAGACAAATGAATCTGGAAAACTCGATCGAAAACGACCTTCTGCTGCAAAAGTGTTGCTTGAGGATTTTCCAGAGCAGGAAGTTGTCAAGCTACTGCGGCACCCAAAATGTAGAGCTCGATCTTTGACTAGCCCGGAAGAAGTGATCCAACTGAAGCAGTTTATCGAACCAGACTTTACTGAGCTCGCTGCCTACGTACAGAATTTTTTCCATCTTCCCATTTCTGAAATGCGCGAAAAGCTGGTTTCGCTCTTGTTTCCTGGATATGTTCTCCAATGTGTCAAATCAGAAATGAGATCTAGCAGCCAGCGGAAACGCAATGCTATCGAGAGTATTCCAAACAAGCAAGATTCACATAGCACTAAAAGGAAGCTAGACATCACCAGCTATTTTCCAGTCAATAAGAAGACATCGACTCAAATTGGCGCCACAAAAGCTACCAAAGCTCCAAAAAGCGTTTCAACAAATATCCTCTGCATCAATCGTGAGCGGCAGCCTACTGATGCGAAAACTTGCCATGTCAAAGAGTACCAAGTGCAAATAAATCCAGCTTGCATGCTCCGATTTTTGAAACTGATTGGCAAAAAGCTCGACTATTTTCCACCTAGGTCGCCTACCCTCATATTTCACGATGCTTATTTCAGTCCATACAGAAATTCGCCAAACGATCATCAAAAGTCTAGTAGTCCAAATGGTTGGAGGACACCAGTGAGAAATTCTGGCTCAATTTCATCTTCAAGTAGTTATGCAGCGTCTGACGACGAAGAGCAACATGCTTGGAAATATAGGAAAATCGATAGATCGGAGCCATCCAATACCCCACGTTCAAAGTCTATTGCTTCGTCTATCCGAGCAGGAGAAGAAAATCCCGAATTGAAGGAGGTCGCAAACTGGTCCAAAGTCAACCGACAATGGATGGACGCCACCATGATTTTGAAGGCCTATCCGGATATAGTATGTGAATATGAAGACAAGAAAAACGCTCAAGCATCCAGAAAGCGGCTACGTCAGTCAAAAATGGCCAAAGGCAAAGCATCTTCTTCCAAACTAGAGCGCGGTCAAACGACCATTACAGAAATGGCATTTGGCATACAAGCGCCCGATGGCACCATTAAAATCACGCAAGATAACAGCATGCCTGCCAGCGTAGTCATAAAAAAAGATTTCGAAAATCCATTTCTAGTGCGAGACGGAAGTGCTATTGATGGCGGCAGTTCTGACATGCGCAGTTTGGCCTCTCTTGTCATTCCACGGCGCAGAAAGCCTCATGTTGGCCAATCGCAACGCAGCAGTTCACATAGTGGTATTTCCCTGAATTCTCATCAATACATTGAAATTGATAGTGACTCGGATAGTGAACCCATTTTGTCCGTGATTGCAAGACAGAATCAGTCCATCAACAAGTTATAATGAAAGAAGCAACGCATTCATGCAGCGATACGTACATACTACACTCGTTAGCCCATTTAATTTTAGGAGTTGTACATACAGATTTTAATTTTTGTGCAAATCACCATGTATCAAACAAGTGAAATGCTCGTTAATAAACAGTATAATATACTGTAAAACGCAAGTGAAGAACTTTTTTGGGACCAGATCCCCTAGTGATTAGAAGTCATCGAAGATGAAACCAACCAAAACCAACAAGACAACGAAATCCAGTTTTGCAAACTATGTAACAAAATAACATCGGTGACATAACTTGGCATCATGGTTTTCCGATTCCAGACCCAAAGAGGCGTTGCCTCGGTCTTCCATTTTGATGTCCGTGTCCACTCCATTTGTTTCAGCTGTCGAAGCCGACTTTTTAGAGGTTTTATCGTGAATACTCCACCAAATCGGCGAACTACTGACACCACACTTGCTACAAGTATGCTTTGGCGCTTCGGTAGGAGGTGGCCATTGTGATGCAGGTTTCTGACCGTTCGCCGTGCGCAGCACCACGCGGAAGGAATTGGTTGTGGGTGATTCTGACCCATCTACAGCATCCTGGCCAAATAGTCGTAATGAATTGGTGCCGTCGACTATACTATTCGCAGACGATATGAGACTGGATTTTCGCATAGCTCCAGTTGAGGTTGCTTCACACTTCTTGTAAACCTCAGCGTATACCATTATAGCAGCCTAAAATGCAAAGTATGGATGAGATCAATCATTCTTTTCAATTGCTGCAGAGAGGAATAACGGCAATAAAAGCAGTATCTCACCTTGTCATTGACATCACGGTCAGTGAGATGAACAATCTTTCTTCTTGATACATCGTGCTCTTTACACCATATAGAAGGTACCATTTGTCCATGCAGATGTGAATCCTTAAATGTGCCTGCAGGTATGGTTTTCTGTTGATGTGACTCTGATTTGACAGGAACCATTTCAAACCCTAGGGTGAAATCAGCGTTTTGAGCACAGCGAACGTGAACGGGCTTGCGACATTCAGAGCACGCAACGCAAGCGCCTTTGTGAACTTGACAGATAGTACAGGTTTGTCGCCATTCATTACTGTGTATCCGATCAATACATTCTACAGGCGACAAGAGTGCTGTTGACGCAAACTTGACCTCAGGAATGAAAGTTGTGCATATAACGTGAGCCCAGTTGTAGCCAGATGTCTTTTTAAGTGCTTGCCGTTGAACAGTGGTGGGTTCACTACACAGAACGCACTTATACGTCTGAGATTAAAAGCATCAAATTAGCGACTGTCAGAAACGTCCATTACCAGACCTTGAAAGTAACTTACAGTCGACACGGTAGGCGTCTTTGTATTAACACAAGTATCGCATGACCATTTGGCTGGATTTGCAGGTATATTGCTGCCATAACAATCTGATGAAGTCATGAAGTTTTAGCGGCATGTTCTCCATCAAAAGCATATTAAACACTTTGTATACTTTGAAGTGTATCGTACCTGAATGAACAGAAATGCCACATTCCTTACAGGTCAAAAGTTTGTCATCCGGGGGCATAACATTACAAACACTGCAAGCCGATGGCGGTGGCGGCGTAGGAGTTCTGACTCTCTTTCTACCATCACCCCATGTCTTCCTACTACTTGGTGTTTCCATCATACGTTTTCGCTTCCCTAACGTCTTTGTTGCTGCTGCTGAACACAAAATGTCAACATGGTGTTAAACTAGTAAGGCATATATTGGTATTGACTTACGATCAACGAAGTTAGCTGGCCGGCCCCTTCCACGACGAACGATCGACGCGTCAATGATTTGCTTCATTGTGCCATATTTCAACCAGTAGATGCCACAGTCATCACACAGGACGTAACGGTGCATTTTCCTTCGTTTATCGGTATCACCTGGAGCACGCCTCCATATCACCGATTCATCAGTACCACAATTCATGCATTCATGCCCAATAGAGCTTTTCGATGACACTATAGTAGGATCTTCCTTTCCTTCTTCATTGTCATCTGAGTCCGAATCAGAAAGCTCAGTAGAAGAAGCGTCGGCAGAAGTGATTTCAGGTACTGATAAGCCACGCCTCCTGAACTTTTTGCTGTAAGGCGAGAACGCTTTAGAAGCAAGCGACCACCAACATCATTGCATGCCAAAAAGACTTACTTTGGTTTATATATCTTGGTCCACTCAGAATACACCGGCTCATATCTATCCGTCTTCTTCCATTTATAGAAGAAGCGTACAATTTGTGCCATACTCCGTTTCGGAACTTTGCTGGAAACGCTGTGAAGCTCATGACCGAAAGACCGAATACCATCTTCAAACGCTGCAATGTCTTCAGGTGTCCACTCCTCCAGGAAATCAAAATCGTCTCGTGTAAGATGCTTAACGGCATCGATTGCCTTATCAGCATCAAAGTCGCTTTGTTGCAATTCAAGTATGGCTCGATCCAATAGGTCTGAAGAGTAACTCGGTAAGGGTAGATCTGGTAGTGCACATACGTCTTCCATGTAATTGTCCACTAGAATCATAGGGTAAGTGATTTTTCGCAAAGTATTCAAGTTAGTAGATCAATACTTGCCTTGCTCATCAGTAAATGAAGTTGGACGAACAAAATATGGGATAACAGTATCCGATCCACCCCGGGAAACGGCTGTTTCTGTCTGTTCAAAATCGTCTGGTTTGTCAGGAAGCTCAAGTTTTATGTCTGAGCCTTGTGAGTTTGGACTCCCGCTTGGATCTTTGAAAAAGAAAGCTTACGTTGATTACAAATGATCAATTACATACATATACAGCGACACTAAACTTACCCTTTCGATCACTTATGCGGCCACGCCTTCGCCGCCCACGACCACCTCGATTGCTCGTAACTCGAGGCATTGGAGTATCTTCGATGTGAGCTCGACTTTGGGCTGCGTCGAATACCTCGCTTTCTGTTTCTGGATCCCATTCCGCAACAGTAGCTTGGTATTTTGGTCCTATTCGGCTACGTGCTCGTGGATAGATGCGATCATCGGCGTCTTATAAAGAGAAATTACAGTTAGTATGTGTGTCATCGCGCAGAAAATTTTGCCCTCGAATAACCCACCCAATATATCCTTCACATTGGTATGTATACCAAAGTACCGAAACGGCCACATGTGAGTAGTGTGGATTTTGTGTGGATCTCTGCGTCTGCCCGATGATATGATCATTTTTGAGGAAATTCCTCCACTTTTGATACCATTGACAGCCGTTTGTTTATGACCGGCTGTGATGGGGCTGGTGGGCCCACTTGGCGTACCTGTCCTGCTTTCGGTCTGTGAACGAGTCGTTCGGGTTTGTATTGGCCGAAGTTTGTTCATTGCTGTGGTCTTCGGTGGCTGCGAAGAGGTGCTATCGGCCATATCGGAATTGGCTGGACTCCGTGAGCTCGCAGCGGCAGGTGAAGTTGATCGCCTCTCTCTGTCTTTGTGTAACATTGGACTTGGTAAAGAGGAGTTTTTGGGGTCTTTTTTGAAACAGACAGCGCACTGCCAAGCAAAGCCCTTGGATGGTTTCCGCGCCAGAGGTGGATTGACGCATGTCATGTGATAATTGTTCTGGCATGATGAGCATTTGACTGAGTCGGCACTAGTATTAGGGAATTTTAGAGGAGATGATGGTAAACATTGGGAATTTTGAGAAACAAAAGCTGGTAGGCGATAGAATAGAAGCCTGATAAATCATACCTAGCGCACCACCCATGGCAGACACAGCATACTCTTCTTGTGTCCGTAAGTTCTGCAGCTTTGCCTTGCTCAACCACAATAAACTGATAGTGGTCCATCAACGCATCTTGGATATCCTTTGGTACATTCTGCACAGATTCACAAGGGACAACGTCATACACTCGTTGGATATATCGATCGTACAGTTGGTTGTAATAAAAGCTGTCAGGTTGAGTTCGGTACTTCTCAAGCTCAGATTTGTCAATGTAATCCTTATGAACAACACGGCACTTGCCACGGATAGACGATACAGGATTGAGGTCTGAGTGCATAGTTGCGATCAATAGACAAGGATCATACACTTTGCGGTTGACAACATCCTTAGGTCGGTTATACCACGCAATCCGCGCTTGCAAGCCTCTTCGCTTTGGGGAATTGGTAAACTCCATGATGCGGCCGATATAGAACGGCTCGCCCAGATGCTCTGGCGCAAGGTAGACATGATCTATACAAGCAGATAGCAACAGAGACGCGGATTAGCCATGGATGAATGAAGAAAAGAGGAATTTTCCATGAGGGTTAACGTATTTGGGGTTAAAATTGGATGGGCTTCATAAACAAGAAATGGATGGGCATTGGCAAGGAATTTCCAAGATATTCCCAAGTTCTGAACAGAATATCCAACGTAGGTATGGGCTTTTTAATTAGTCATACAAAAATTCTCACCATTGACTTGGACTGTGGTGCCATCGCTCAAAGTTGCGCGAGAAATGGCCGATGTCTTTGGATCTGTCATTCGCAGAATCAGCCACGGAACCAAAAAGTTGAAAAACTGGAAAGCGAGGTGAAAGGAAGAGCAAATGTTAAAATATGTATTGGTTATAACCTGTTCGATGTATCTCATCATAATAAATTTTATGTAAAAGGATTGGATTTTCATACTTAAGTGGCAGCAAGCTACTGTAGAGAAGAAATGTAGCAGAGAAAAGAAGAAGATCGGGATGTGAGATTGACTGACTGGTCAAGAAAAAAAAAAAATTCAAGCTTTCTTTGCACAACCCCGAGCAAAGTTAAGTGACGATTGAAGCAGCCCACCTTAGTAGAACCAATATCCCATTAAAAACCGCGTGCTCATACTCTGTCAGAAGCAAGCGAACATTGTTTTTGTACCTCTCATCCACCCCTTTGTCGACTGCTCTTCTTTACAAGTTGATGAAAAAATGGCATGTTTCGCAAGAAACATGTAGTAGACAATTCTTTTCTGATAATATTTTACATCAATATGTTAATACCATTATGTGAGGTTTATTGTATCTACTTCCCTTTTGAGTTCAAGTTTTGACCCATTAGTAAGGCGTTACGGGAAGCAAAAAGGGATACCATGAGACGAAGCGAATGTTCATCCTTTGCAGTGTTACACCAAGCGGTTAGCCCCATTTCTCTAACTCTCCTTTTAGGCATGTTATAGCGGTGGGCAATATCCTCAGGCAAAGTAAAGATTGAAACATCCCAGGTTCACGCATGAAGGCTGTCACTCAATCATTTATCATCATGCCCACCTTCCATATGCAAATCATAACAATGTTGTGGAGTCGCAAAAAAATTTTTTTTTTTTATTTCTCTGATGTTTGACCTTACAATTTGGATTGACCTCTTTCATACTCAACGGGGTTTACAATATTACCGATTCGCTCTATGTAAATTTCACATTTGGTACCATGCTTGAGAAGCACTGGTGGTGAACGGGTATAGCCAACACCATGTGGGGTTCCTGTAATTATGACATCCCCAGGCATGAGAGTGGTGCCTTGACTCAAAAAGCTGACAATCGTTGATACGTCGAATATCATGTCTGAGGTTGTGTAGTCTTGTAACAATTGGCCGTCCAATCTTGTACCAAGCTTGAGAGTTTGTGGATCTGTAATCACAGAGCTGGAAACGATCATAGGGCCGAGAGGTGCGAAGGTGTCGAAGCCTTTACTAAAATTCCATTGGCCGCCACTTTTTGGGCCCATTTGCCAGTTGCGAGAGCTCACGTCATTGCAAATGGTGTATCCTGAGTGGTAAGATACGTGTGAGGAACGAATGTGACATGAGGGAAAATTGTCAAAACTTTTTTTACCTGCAACATAGTTAAGGGCCTGCTCTTTGCTAATGTCTCTGCATTTTTTACCAATAACGACGGCAAGCTCAGCTTCGTAATCAACCATATCGTCTTGAGCCACATGTGGTACCCGGATAGTATCGTATGGCCCGCATGCGCTAGAGGGAGGCTTCATGAATAGAATTGGTTTCACTGGTATTTTGGAACCAGTTTCTTGAGCATGGCGGCGATAGTTGAGACCGATACACCTAATAATGCTGGGGGTAACTGGCGCAAGCAACTAAAGCATTTGGTATAGAATTGTGTTATTTAAGCCAGCGCAATGGCATTTTCTGCTACTATGCATTTACTGCTACTATAACATACCTTTTTCACCGTTCTTGACTTGTCTGTAACTGTGTGCTCTCCAAATACATCTCCTTCTACAAGGTGAGCCTTTAAGCCTTTCTTAAGATCAGACTGCTTGAGCTCCTCGTTTTCCAATATGGGTTGGCCATAGTGAGTCTTGCCATGTTCATCTTCGAAGCTTTATTATTCACCATAAAAAAAGAAGGTAAGCCCATCAGGACAATAGCAAGAGTATATTTGCAAAAATGGTGGGTGGGTATAATTACCGTATAAGGCGTGACCAGCGCTGTAGGTGGGCAGGTTGGAATGGAAGGTGGTAACGAAATGTTCATAAGTAGTTTCAGGGTGAAAACAAAATGATATTAACACTGCGATACTAACTTGACTTGTCATTGTAGAGAAAGTTCGACGGACAGAAGCAATTCGATTGAGCATTTCAATCAGAGGACTCACTGTCTTAATATATGAAGCCAAAAAAAAAAAAAGGTTGCAGTCAAGATCCGATAAGCGTGTGAAGCCCGGAAGTTTATTACAACAAAATAGTACTTTCTCCAAGAAATGGACATGTTGACACTATTTTTGTTATCAATACTAAGCATGTCTTCTGTTCAGAGTACTTCTACCAATTTAGTATTGAAAGTGTAACCCTCTCGGTAATAAGCTGCTCGGTGATTTGCATGACAAGCAGAGTGGGAAGCCGTTTACCGCCAGATACAGGCGGGTATAAACGATTCCGAGTACCGTGGCAACCCATATTTGTTTCAAACATCTCTCCTTCAAATGGTGCAATTCTTTTTTCAAGAAGCGAGCGAGACTGTTCCTATCTCTAAACTCGAGCTAGATAGTTTGTGCTTGACTAAGTCAGCTAAATAACTTGAGACTATGATAGCTTCGACCTGATGCAGCAAGCTGTCAGGTGCCCAAATACCGATAGGAGTAGGGACGGTATGGGAATCGACTCCTTGCATTGGTTGTAGACGCTTATAGAGATCTGACGTGCTACTAACTTCAGGGGCGCAAAATCCTCCAGACATTGCCCTTCACTTATGAAACCTATTTTTGATCCAAGTCCACTTAGAACTTTCCATTAGACTGGGAGTCAACTGAAATATGAAAGAAAAGTGCGTCGGATGTCAAATAGCGCTTCTTTCAAAAATTGATTTGACCGCTTAAAATGACATAGAAAGTATCAGTCCCCCCCCCGATGGTGATTCAAAGGGGAAGTCGACCTCGTGCAATAGCGCGTTTTGATAGTTTTTAACAGGTAAAGCGTATCCCTAAGAGCGTTTTCTCCTTCACACTCGTTCTTTGACTTGAGGTAAATGTCGAAATTCACTCAATCACTATCCTAAGTATCATATACTGCAGTCGAAAGTCGAGCCAACAGCCAGAAGCGCGTAGGGTCACGTCTTATCGAGTCTCTCCTTCTTCCCCGATACTCCCTTTGACTCCTGCCATTCCCAGTGCCTGAGGTAGTTGACTGATCTTCTCGCTTGTATCTTATTTCTTTTAGTTTACAAACTTCATTAATTACAATATGAGAGAAATTATCCATATTCAAGCTGGTAAGCAGTGTTCTGAAACTTCAGTCATTGTGTTACGTAACTGAAGTGTCAAATGCAATGAAGTTTTTACTTTTGACGTTTTGACTTACTGTGCTCACGCATCTCGTTGATAGGCCAGTGTGGTAACCAGGTAACTACGGGTTTGATGTAATATCGTTCGAGAGAACAAGGCTAGATGTCGTAGTCTGCATAGACGCCGACCTATTTGAGAGAACTTGATAATTGCCAATAGCAAATGCTTCAGTGCTTATTCATTCTTTCTTCAACTAGATTGGTCAAAAGTTCTGGGAAACCATCTCTGCTGAGCATGATAAGTTGCTTTTCCTTCTACGTTTTCTAGTTTGATGTTTAGCAGTGTGGGCTGACATTTTTTCTTTGTTGGTTTCTACGCATCGACCATAACGGTAATTATATTGGCGATATTGATCTTCAATTGGAGCGTATCAACGTCTTCTATAATGAAGGCAGCCAAGGCAAATATGTTCCTCGGTATGACTTTTTCCAATGTATTTTAGTTTAGATTGTCAAGGTCAAGGTTAGGATTGACGTACACTATTTCCAGTGCTGTCTTGGTGGATTTGGAGCCTGCCACAATGGATGCCATCCGTGCCAACCCATACGGAAAGCTTTTCCGTCCCGATAACTTTGTGTTTGCTCAATCCGGAGCTGGTAACGCTTGGGCAAAGGGTTATTATACCGAGGGCGCCGAGCTTGTAGAGTCCATTCTCGATGTTGTCCGCAAGGAGGCTGAGAACACTGATTGCTTGCAAGGCTTTCAACTTGCTCACTCTCTTGGTGGTGGTACTGGATCTGGTCTTGGATCCCTTTTGCTCTCCAAGATCCGTGAAGAATATCCTGACCGCATGCTCAGCACATACTCTGTTGTTCCTTCGCCCAAGGTTTCTGATACAGTTGTTGAGCCTTACAACGCTGTGTTGACTGTTCACCAGCTCGTTGAGAACTGTGATGCTACTTTCTGTATTGATAACGAAGCCCTTTACGATATCTGCTTCCGCACTCTCAAACTCACAAACCCCGGATATGGTGACCTTAACCAGCTTGTCTCTGCTGTTATGTCAGGTATCTCCACCTCACTTCGTTTTCCTGGTCAATTGAACGCTGATCTTCGCAAGCTCTGCGTCAATATGGTTCCCTTCCCACGTCTTCACTTCTTCATGGTCGGCTTTGCCCCATTGACTGCCTTTGGCTCACAACAATATCGCAACATGACCGTCCCTGAGTTGACCGCTCAGATGTTTGATGCCCGCAACATGATGGCGGCCTCCGATCCACGCCATGGACGCTACTTGACCGTCGCTACTATCTTCCGTGGACGTCTCTCTACTAAGGAAGTTGAGAACCAAATGTTGGCTGTCCAACAAAAGAACTCTTCCTACTTTGTTGAGTGGATCCCTAATGGTGTCAAGTCTTCCCTGTGTGATATCCCTCCTGTTGGTCTCAAGATGTCTGGTACCTTCATTGGTAACACCACTGCTATCCAGGAGCTCTTCAAGCGTGTTAATGATCAATTCACTGCTATGTTCAGAAGAAAGGCTTTCTTGCATTGGTATACTGGGGAGGGTATGGACGAAATGGAATTTACTGAAGGTATGTGTTTATGAATATACACTTTGAGTGAATGCTAGAAAGATGCGCTAATCTGTTTGTGTTGCCTTTTCAAGCCGAGTCGAACATGAACGATCTTGTTTCCGAATACCAACAATACCAAGAAGCCACCGCTGAAGACGAGATGGACGAAGATGAAGATTACCTTGGCGAGGAGATGCCCATTGAAGAGTAAATTATGCCTTAAGGCACCAAAAGGAAATCCCATAAGTAAAAGCTCTTTTTTTTTTGTTTTCATCCTTTACAGATTATAATGTAGGGCTTCGCACGTTTGTTCATTTCAAACTTTTTTTGTCCTCTCTGCAATTTTTTTGGCATAGCTAAGAAAAAGTTTCTAAATATCCACAAGTTATGCCATACCACAATCCCCCCCCTTTCATTTCAAAACCCTTTACCGAGCATCATAGCGTTGACGAGACCAAGGTTTCGACGTTACTTGTTCACGAGTCAAGTTGTTTTTGTCATTACAGTCCAGTTCTAAATTAAATTCAATCGATCTATTGTCAAACTTTTTTGGGGGTTTCAATTTTACTTTATTTAGTGGGGTTTACTTGGGAACATTGGCCTTAATCGCACAAGAAAGGTATGGAAGCCGTTGAGTGAATCAGTAGAAAGGAAGGGGTATCCAGCAGATAGTTCGCAGTAGTGTATTTGAAAGGAAAGAGTGGCGACTAGGAGGTCCAAAAGTTCATCGCTTACTCACTCATCGTTCGGTGTGTAAACGACGAATGCTTTCCTCTATCAAAGTCTGGCTGGTGCCTGGTTGCTCTCGCTCTGCCAGCTCAAAGGCATGTACTAGATTTTCAATGGCAGCTTGTCCACGTTTTGAGCGGCAGCTTTTATGAAGCTAATTGAAAGCATTAGCAGCAGGCATTAGTACGAAAAGCATGAACTTAATGCAAAGCGCAAGTAATTCAACATACCTGGCTAAGAATAGATGTAACAGTATCTTGAAATACAGCTTCATTATGTAATGGTGTAGAGGTTTCGGAGGAAGAAACGCTAGATAGAATAGACGGTCGGGGCATATCATTGTTGTTGTTATTGGCCCTAACCGTATCTTGACCATATTCGTCCATACTGTATCTCGAAGTCATACGTTGAATACCATTCTATCAGTGTTTTTGTTAGCAGTGAATGATCAAGTTCCTTCACATGTTCAATTCAAAAACACTCACTGTTATTTGGTTGATCGATGAAGTTGATTGTCTCGTACCCGCCTGCTGCAGTCGTCCTCCTGTTTGCATCCTCTGTTGAGGAGGTGGTGCATATTGTATACTTTGAGCGGATGAGCTATTAGACATTTGTGTCAAGGTAGCTGTGGAGGTTGTTTGTCTCATCCCCAAAGACTGAGATGGAAGTGGTGACCGGAAATCTGCAGGTTGTCGTACTGTTCCGAAGTCCCATCCGTCATCATCCGGTTCATCAGCTCTAATAAGCAACAGAGAAAGATCAAGGGTTGCATTAGTCACTATAGCATCATGTGTTAAAGTATAGTTTCAATAACTTACTTCTCTTCGTTATCGGACGAGTCACTGTCTTTGCCATTACCCATGTGAAGCCATCGTTCATGAGCTTCAATCAGTTCCGTTAAATATGATACCTTCTTTGCGTTTCTGATAAAGCGGTGCTTGAGTAGTTCACGGGCAGTTGGTCTTCGAGTGGAGTCCTTTTGCAAACACACATTGATAAAATCTTTGAAATGCTTGCTATAGGTACCCTCCAGGGTCGGTGGATGGCTTTTTGGGATCAAGAATAGGACTTTCATTGGGTGCATATCAGCGTATGGTGGCTCTCCTTTGGCTAACTCGATGGCAGTTATACCCAACGACCAAATATCAGCCTAAATTCACGCACTCGGCGGTCAGATTTTTCTATACGGGCTTCTGACACTTTGTTCTAACATCTTTGCTTACCTTATGATCATACCCGGATTGCTTAATGACTTCAGGTGCCATCCAAAACTGAAAAGGCATATGCTATGTGTGAGATGACAATGTGCTATTTTCTTATGTATACCACATGCATGCTTACAGGAGTTCCCACAAACGTGTTTTTCTTGGTCAGACTAGCCGTGAGCTGACCTGAAACACCAAAATCAGCCAATTTGACTGTTTGAAATTGGATTAATTAAGCCATTTAAGTTGTGCATAAGCATTTACGGTAGTACAGAGGTGTAATCACTTACCATCTCCATTTGCGCTCAACAGTACATTTGCAGCTACATAAAAAAAGAAGGAAAGAAGGTAGATTAGTACCATGCGCGCCTCAGAGTGCCATTCCACATATAACCCGTTGAAGATCTTTGGGTCATTTACCTTTTATATCTATTTGTCGGTTCATAGTGGGAAGAGAACAAGAATTAGTATAGCCGCCAACAAATGGGTAGCTCAGTCTTGTTGGACCTAAATGACTTACCTCTGTGAAGCTTTCCTTCATTATGGAGGTAGTCGAGACCTCGAAGTAACTCCCTAAGTATGATGGCAATGTATTCCTCTCTAATGTGACCAGCTTTCATCTTACAGTGGATTCGTTAAGATATCAGATTACGACCATCATTACTTGTTACAAAAAGCCAGCCCTATACCTACCAAGTCGGAACAGGAGCCACCAGAACAATATTCCATGATAATCCATAAGTTGGAGCCTTTCAAGTGTGACCCAAAATATCTGACGTTCGATTTGCATCAGACACTCTTCGTGAGGAAACCTATAGTAAAAGGAATACCACTTACTTTGTGACATACTGTGAATCCAGCTGAGATAGAATGGCAATCTCCTGCTGAATATCGTCAATTTCATCTTCAGCATTTTCTAAATCAATGATCTTAATAGCAACAGGGCGATTTGTTCGTCTGTCGATGCTAGAAAAGCAGGTAGGGTTTAGATCCTACTGATATCAGGCAGCTGTTACTCTACGTTCACTAACCCTTTGAAAACTTCGCCAAAGGAACCTTTGCCTGCAGTAAAATAAGAATCAGTTATCAGCTTCAGTGGGGCGAAACGCGAAACGACACGGCCGATACGGTACCTATTCGTTCCTGTTTGATATAGTACTGCTCAGGGTCCGAGAGGTGACTAGGATTCTGAATAGAATGCAGTACAGCTTAGTTGAAGGGAACGTAGAAGCACACTGCATGTAGGTTGATGGATGGAGGATTTTACCATGACAAAATGGAGAGGGGAGAAGACAGTATTTAAAAAAAAATAACAAGAGGGAAATGTTTTCATTTTGCTTGAGAGAATCATGCCTTTTTATGGTATATCTGTACTACCAACAACAAACAATCTTAGTTTTGGAACAATAAACTAGCTGCGACTTCACAGTTGCCGCCTGCCATATCCAATGCATGGATCGCCTCCTGTCTACTGACTCCCAGGTTAGTTAACGTAGCTATGTCACTCTCGGAGTATCCTTTGTTTGACGATGCTGCACTTGATTGTGACGTTTCGCCGTAGTTTGATGCGTTAGCATTGGCAACTGGTCCAGCAATTCGTGCTTCAGCCGGTGTTTCATCATCTGCTCCACCATGAAGTTCGATCATACGCTGCTTTTCTGGCAATTCATGCTCTTGTAAAAACGGTATGTCAATCTCATCGAACGTTAAAGCGTTCTTTCGAAGGTCGATACATCCCTGTAAAAGAAGGGGCGCTCGGTGTGAGAAAAAAATAAAGGACATGAAATCGTGGTGGTAGTGTTCAAAGTAACACCTCGTTCGGGCTATCAAATATTGCAACGAGGATCACTTACTTGATGCTTTCGAAGCATGTCCAATCCAAAAAGTAGCTCAGAACCTTTTCCTTCCACAACAATGAACGAACATGCCAGAAAGAAGTCCTTTGACAGTTTCATCTGTGCGCTGTGAATCCGACCCAGGATTTTGGCCGTTCCAACTCCCTTTGCCACTCCGCTGAAGCGAGTATCAAGAAGGCGATCGAGTCCGCACAGTTGGGCCGTCTCTGGGCTGACTATAGAAAAAAAAAATTGGGGTTTGAACGATGGGGGACCAAAATTCACATGATCACAGAGCCTGCTCGTCAATCAACTTACTGACAGTACTCTGAGCACCAGAGTCAACCAATGCAACCAGATCCTTCCCATTGATTTCCACTCGTATATATAGGCGAGTAACCTATTGATAGTGTGATACAGTCAGTAATAGGCTCGAAATGGAAATCGCCTTGTTCACCGCAGAGCTTACTCTGGCAAAAGATTCTGGGTTGTACTCCATAGCAGCCTCCAAATTCGCAGCAATATTTTCCTGTCGTATAGCTTCTTCGATCCGCTTTTGAGCTTCTACATCAAAAGGATCGTCATTCAAGGCAGCCAACTGTAGAGATTTTTGCGTTTCAGCTTGGCGTCGACTTTGCTCTATTTGCTGTACCATCATATTGAATCTCTCCGGATCGTTCATAGCTGCCTGGGCAAGATCTGGATTTGTCTATACTCGAAGGTCAGCAACACTTTTTTCCCGCATGAAAGTAAACATTCACACAGTCATCGTGCTTACATTGGCAAGCTGTTGCAAAAGACGAGGATCACGAAGTACATGCTGTCGCATCATATCGAAGTTTGGATTACCACTGAGATTTTCCAACAACCAATGTCCTTTTAGATTTCTTGCCACTATGAACAAAGGCAATTAATGGCGTGTTCCCTACCTTGATCCTCCTTGTCGCTTACGACGGAGAAGAACAATGTCGTCCTGACCTATATCGTACTGTTGAAGAGTTTTTTGAGGGTCTACGAGTTCGTTTCCGTTGTAAAATAGCATTTGCTCTGCAACCTCAATATTCGTCTGCGGTAAAAAGTGGTAAATACGTCACGTCACAAGTGTACAGAGCAATGGCCAAGCTTTCTTTGACAGTACAGTCTGGGCTGACAGATCATGACAACTTTAAGAGAGTACTTACTTCAGCTTCGAGAAGAGCCTTGAGATTTTCTATCTCCATTTGAGAATCAATCTCCAAATTGTATAAATCGCCCTCGTCTGTGGTTACTGAAAGCTTCATTTATGCTAAGTGTTCCTGTGCAGACAGAAGGCCACAGAAACTCCAATCGAAAGCCCGATCAAAATGTAACTTGGGCCCAACTCAGCCGAAAGTCAAGTCATGTGACTTTTTGACATCATGATTCCTTCTGGTTGAACCTTTGGAAGAGATTGGCTGATTCCAAAAAACATAAATGGCACAACAAATTGAAAGAAATCAGGATGCCACTGTTTATGTTGGAAACTTAGACGAACGGTGTACCGAAACCCTTGTATGGGAGCTGATGCTTCAGGCTGGGCCTGTTGGTAAGTACTTTGGGTCGTGATCCATACAACTAACCAAACATATACTAATTGTCTCGACATAATCGATAAGTCAACGTTCATTTGCCCAAAGATCGCGTCACGCAAAGTCACCAAGGTTATGGATTTTGCGAGTTTATGACAGAGGAAGACGCCGATTACGCCATTCGCATTATGAATCAGATCAAACTATACGGAAAGCCAATCAGAGTCAACAAGGTGAATAACGTTCAATTTGGCGTGGTTACCGTTATATTTAACTAACATGATGTCAATCATTTTCAGGCAACGTCAGATAAGAAGAACTTGGATGTTGGTGCCACGCTCTTTGTTGGCAATCTTGATCCAGACGTCGACGAAAAGATGCTGTACGATGTATTCAGTGCATTCGGTGTAATTGTTCAGACTCCAAAGGTAAGGCTATATGTCGGTTAATGGATCCATAGATAGCATTGTTTTAATGCGTGTTGGAAATCTTAGATTGCTAGGGACGCAGAGACCGGCAACTTCAAGGGATATGGCTTCGTCACATACGATAACTTTGATTCATCTGATGCTGCTATAGATGCCATGAATGGGCAATACCTAATGAATAAGGAAGTCAACGTGTCCTATGCGTTTAAGAAGGATGGTAAAGGTGAACGTCACGGTTCTCAAGCGGAACGTTTGTTGGCAGCGCAGGCCAAGAAGAATGCTCCTGCTTCAGCGTCAATGTTTGGCGGCCCACCTGGAATGGGAAGACCACCTATGGGTATGGCTGGAGGAAGACCTCCCCCGCCAATGAATGGATTGCCATCTGCGGTTCCTTATAACTCGGTACCTACTACACAAGGTTACCGACCACCACCTCCACCTCCAATGGGCGGTAAGTGAATTTCCTTACATGAATGTTTTCCATGCTCATACTAAATCGTAGTGTTTGCAGGCGCTGTTGGACGACCACCTTATATGGGTTATGGTGGTCCATCGCCTGGTGGCCCACCCGGTGGTGCAAATTATCGACCACCACAACCACCTTTTGGAGGTTATCGACCACCACAATAAAATTCATTTGTTCGTGATATCCATTTCATTGCAAGATTAATAAAAATAAAACAGCCATGTACTTAAAAATGTATTGAATAATGGTTCAGAGGACCACGACCTTGCGGAGGACATGTTGAAAGCTTGTGTGCATCTACATCGTTGCGTCGCTCACCCTGTCCTTTGGAGGACAGTTCTCTGGTAAAAGAGCTATTCTTGCAGTAACGGGCTCATGGTAAAGCAATCTAGAACATTTCAACACATAACGAAGCGTATGGAGTTGAAGCAATAAAATGCCAGATGTATTGAAACATGCATGGTCATACACTTTCGAAATTCAAGACATGAGATATAAGAAAAAAAAAGGTACGAGAACTTTCTTGCTTTCATTTATTGAGTTGAGTTTTGGGAAGGGGAATAAGCATGTTTTTTTCTTGTCATGGGGAGACCTTTATCCGAGGAAGTTTACACAGAATAAATGCAAGAGAATAGAGCAAACAGCGAAATCTGCAAAAGCTCTGAACAACAAAGTGCAGGGTGTTAGGTGTGCTTTCTTTTCCTCTTGGAAATAAATCATTCAGAGAAGTTTGACATACCGTTCTGGTGAAATTCCTTTAAAGTCTGGAGAGTTTTGCGCATTGGTCTGGATTCGCAAATTGGCTGTAGTAACAGAAGGCATGATCAGTGGCTGGCTGGGATTTGTAATAATGGATCCGTCCAGACCCTCTCAACAGTCTCCCTGACCGATACCCAATCCTTTCGACACCGTTACAATCACCGGTTGCGTTTCTTTCCATAATACATCGTATCTCATTTATCATATCACTGTCGTTGGTTTTCTCACAGCACTTGACAGCGACCATGGTCCGCGATACCGTAATAGGCGACTTTGGCGGTATCTCATAGATATAATATAAAGACAGATATGAACTCACCAGCAAGCACAAAGCTACCAACTGACGAGATGAATCCAGCCAAGAATGCATTGTATGGGAAAGTACCAGCAGCAAGCATGTACACAAATTGAAGGATACCGGATCCCATAATGAAAACCAAGTAGATGTCGATAAACTTGAGACTAATAGATGTAGTCTGCTGGTACGAATTGGCTAACCGCTTGATCGCGGGAGCTAAGTCTTGCATGGCGGACATGATGTCGTTGTCAAGCAAAGAGAAGAAGCAGGCGCGAAATTAATTCAGACAGCGGCAGTGACAGGCTGGCAAAGAACGATTGGATTGTGCCTGATGGTAGCACACACGTGACTTTGCCGTTTGTCATGTAAAACCATCTTATGGATATGAAGGACCCTTTGAGCCCTTCCATAAGACTAGGTCCCTCTACAAAACAAATACGAAAAAGCAGAAATCTGCGTTCTTCGACGTTTCACTTTGTAGAAATCACAACCAAGTAGTATCATTTGATTCATCAATCGTCATTGGATCACCATTTACAGAAAAGTGGGTCTCATTTTCAGGAGCTTTAAGCTCAGCTGAGAGCTTTAGCACATTTTGGAAAAACATACAGACTTACTGCTTTTCGTCTTTCCTCTAGTTTTACTCTTTATCATATTGCTGCCAGTCTCTTAAAAAAACAAGTTGACTTGTTACGCTACTTTCCAACCTTGAAGAAATGAATTCTTCAGCTCGGAATAACTTCACATCACAACAATCTTTCGTCGACAGTAACCCAGCCATATCAATGGAGGCTACGGCCCAGGCTAATCAAGCGCCAACGTCAGGAGGCATACCTGATTTTGTAAAGAAATTATTTCGGTAAGCTAATGCAGTGCTATAGAATTGAAAACCGATTCCCCTGTCTCATATTTCTACGTACAGCATGCTGGAAGACAAGTCTTACAACCACATTGTCTCCTGGGGCAACAATGGAGAGACTTTTGTTGTGAAAGATCCAACGGAATTTTCCAAAGTTATCTTGCCCAAACACTTTAAGCACTCCAACTTTGCTAGTTTTGTTCGACAGCTTAACAAATACGACTTCCACAAGCTGAGAAACGCCGATGATGGCAAGCCATACGGTGAACAGGTACGCCACACAATGAGTTTTCACTTGATAGCTCTAAAATGCTATTTACTAGATTCTAATTTTTTTTTTCTTTTTTCATATGTTTACAGGCCTGGGAATTCGTTCATCCAAAGTTTCAAAGTAACAAAAAGGAATTATTGGAAAAGATCAAAAGAAAAACCCCGAACAAGGGCAATCGTGGCCCTACAACGTCCGGTTCAGCAGGAAATGCTGGTGCTGGCCAAGACAACAGTGGCAATAATTCGGTTAGCTTGCAAAATTCCAACCAATCCTTCAACAACAACCAAGCTGCTCCTGCCGAATTCAACGCACTTGCCGCCAACTTGCACACTCAGATAGCATACCTCCACAAGATCCATACCGACATGGCTGGACACCTTCAAAGCATTGGTAACAATTATGGTGTTGTGCTGAATGAAATTATGGGCTGTCGCAGCAAAATGATGGCTCAAGATAATTTGATGCAAAATTTAGTGCAGTACCTCGTACAACAAGAACAAGGTTAGTACCCAACACAGTGGGTTACGTAAATAGAATAGACCATTATATTTACCGCTTTTATGACATCTTCAGAGCACCACCAAGAAGAGAGAGGACAAATAGATGATAGGCAGCCAAATTATGGTCATGATACGCCGTTTGTCCCTTCATCCGAAGCACAGAAACTGATTCAATCTTATTCCGAAGTTGCAAAAGCAAGTGTTACCCAGATGAATCAGATCTCTCAGCGTATTCAAAGCCTACAACAGCTTACTCAAGTGCCTTGGGCTTCTACTGAAAATAACCAGCAGAACGATATACTTTCTTCCGACTTGATTTCCACGAAAGCATCATCATCTGCTCCTGTCGCAAACAATGAATCATTTCCAGCTACATCCGAGTCTTCAGCGCAGCCTTCCTTCAACATGCCCAATCTTGCTGATCTGTCAACACAATTCACAGCGGCTGCAGCCAGCATGAATTTGACACTTCCCGGCGAAAAAGACACGAAGGGAACCAACATACTTGGCAATTCCAAGAACGCTGACGGCTTGACAGTTGTTACTGTTGGGCATTTGCAACCAAAGAATATGTCTCCCTCGTATACCCCATCCAATAATGCCAGTACTAGTCAAGCATCCACGACAGCTGCGGCTCGTCCTGCATCTGATAAGACTATGCGCATTCATCGTAAGACTTACATTCCTGGTTGGTCAGTACCTCCTCGTGTCTTATTGGTCGATGACGACTCTGTTTGTCGCAATCTCAGCAGTAAATTACTCCAAGTGTTTGGATGTACATTTGATGTAGCAACTGACGGTGTTGAAGCGTTGAAGAAACTCGGCTTGGAAAAATACGATCTCGTTTTAATGGTAATAATTTCTTACGGTTGTGAACAGTTCACTTTCCTTGCGCACGATATTCATTTCTCTTTAATATCATAGGATGTTGTGATGCCTAATCTCGATGGTGTTACTGCCACCCGTAACATAAGACAGTATGATACCCTTACCCCCATCATATCCATGACGTCCAATACCACTGATAGTGATATTATGGAATACTTTGGAAGCGGCATGAATGACGTACTGCCCAAACCTTTTTCGACCAATGGCCTTCTGGATATGGTGGTCAAATATTGCGCACATCTCAAAGCCATTCAACGAGTGCAAGGAGTTGATCCCGGCATGGTTCACCGTGGCCCCAGTACCCAGAATATGATTGCGGCGTCTCAATATTCTTCTACATCGCAGTCAGAAGGAGACCAAAACAATCAAAGTCGTAAACGACAATACAACAGCACATCAGATTCCCAAGCCACAGGAGGTTTGGTAGCCGAAAGCTCGTCGGATCTTCCACCGTTCGTCAACTTACAGGACTTACCTCAGTTTGTAAGCTTCATGGGGATGATGCAGCAAGCAGCCAACGGGGATGAAACACCTAGCTCTAGCCATGCAGGCCACTGGTTTCAGCAGCAACTTCAGCCCCAAGATGATACCTCATATGGTGGCTATGAAAGAAAACGAGCAAAGCTAGAGGTCATCGAGTAACATTAGCTTTCTGATGACGCTTATTTCATACTGCCTTCCCACCTTTTCCCCTCATTTCATTTTGTCACGTACCTCTTTTTTTCTTTGTTTATATCATTCTTACGACGCGAATCGCTTATATCCATAACTGTACGCTCAGTATATGTGTGTAGTCTGTATATTGTTTAGTGCGACATACCAAATTGAAAAAGATTCATACTTGAACGCAGAAACTGACAGATGACTGTTATTACACTATTTGGGAATGCGTACAGTAGAACAACATCGAATAATTGGTTGTCTCCTGCAATCGTTTAGCGAAACTGCCGAATAACATGAATTAGCCAATCCATCATGATAAGAAATGAAACCAAGATTGACAGTATTTATACATAACATATTGTTTCTCGGTTATTGGTTTGAAATGACTAAATATGTCCACTACATCCGAAAGGCCATACAAGTTAAAAAAGTTTAAAATACATTGGGGGAGGGGTATTGTAATAGAATAGCTTAATCTTCAATTACTGGAAGTGCGGCAATGGGGTTTATTTCTATGAGCTATAATCTCTCTGGGCGAGGGTGTGTCCATCCTGAGCGTCGCTTAGCTATTGGAGTCTTGGCGATAGGAATATGGTCGTCCTCATCTCCACTACTATCACCTAGTGCTGTTGCCGGTGCAGCTTGTGTGCTGGACATATACCCGTTCTTGCTGTTGCTAAACTGGCTGTGAATAGACGACCCAGTATAAGAGCTGCTTCGGCTGCTGGATGACGCGAAAGGACTGCGATTTGTTTCTGCCGATGAGCTACTGCTGAGACCAGTGGTGGGCTGTATGCCTGTCATTCTAGGGTCAAACAGTGGTATCCTGGGGTCAAGTCCTGTCATCCTTGGGTCATGGGTTGGCATTCTGGCATCATACGCTGACATTCTAGGGTCATGCGAGGGCATCGTTTGACCTAACGGTGAAGACATACTCGCTTGGGGAGGCATGGAAAATGGCATCATGACGGGAACTAGACCGTGTGGGGTTTGGATAACAGGCATCAAGGCAAAATTACCACCGTTCATCATCATCATCTTTGGCACAGTATTAGTTATATGAAATGAAACATGAAAATTTTGGTGAACAGTTCCTTACGTGCTGCAGCATTTGCTGCTGTCGATGCTCTATGAGTTGTCTGTCTCTCTCGCGCTCAAAATAGCGCTCTTTTTCCACTTCCGCACTGAACGCATGCACCTTGTCTACTTTATCAACTGCTCCTTTTCCACTGTTTTGCTGCCTCACGTATTCAAGTTGCGTTATTCTCCCGATTAAACCTGAACCAGGATCTTTTGGTTTAACCGGTACATGAAGAAAAGGCTGGCGCATTGCTCTTGCATACTCTGTTTGCTCCTGAGCGGTCATGGGTAAATCGGCTGGCTTTTTGGCGAGAAGGCTGTTCTCACTAGCAAATTGATCTCCCAAGGATGGTATGGGCGGCCCCTCTCGACCTCCCAAATCTGCTATGTCTTTGAAATCATTTGAAGGATTGGATAGACTTCCAACATCATCATCGTAATCAATGGTACCAGAGGTACCCCAGTGCAACTTTGGAAAGAGGCCTCTGATATTAGATTTGGGGAAAGATAACGGGTTCCCTTTGGATTCCCTTGAACCAGCTGGCGCCGGGACACCATCACGAGATTCTTCAAGAGCTCTATCAACTACTACTTCTTCTCCTACATCTTCTTCAAATACGGATGGATCGATGTATTTTGAAAGCTCCGTGGAGCGAGCAAAGTCCCCAAAAAGACTGGAAGTGGACGCTGTCGCTGATGAAGCACGACTGCTCATATTCCTTGATCCAGAAAGGTTTCCAAAATCCAACAAAAAACTGCTAGAGGTACTGCTCTGCCTTGTTAATCCGCGTGGTTCAATATGCGGTTGAGTTGAACTGGAAAGTGGCTGAGAGATGGCGTTTTCTTTTGACGGAATCCTCAAGCTAGAGCCATCATCCGTGTCTTCATCCGTCTCGCCCGCTCCATCCTCTTCAGTATCGTCCTCGCTAGAATCTCCTATTTGCTTTGTCGGAATTGACACAACTTTTTGCTTCATGGAACTCACTTCTGGGGGTTGACTATTGCTGGTAAGGTCACTCAAGAGAGAAGCTGTGGTGGAGGTTTTGGATTTTAGCTGCTCTACGTGGGGTGTTTGCAAGCTTTTCGATTTTGCGTGGTAGCCTTTTGGAGACAAAGGTTTCTTAGCTTTATCTTCTTCAAACTCTAATTTTCTTTGCAGCTCGTCCGTAAAAACCCCTTTTTGATCCCATCTTTTCTTGTCACATAAACCCTTTCCTTGGACTTCTTGTATGTCCAGAAACAACTTTCCGGGAACCATCAATAGTGATTCAGCACTATAATGAATTCCATCAGCCTGAACTTGGTTAAAAGACATTTGTTGTGGGCGTCCATAGAGTTTGAAAATATCAAACGTGGTCAAGAGCCACTGCGCCATCTCTTTGCTGTTGTTGGCCATGAATAACACATGAGAGATTCGATCCGGGATATCTGAACTTGCATCTGTTGAAACTGTGGAAATTGATCCTTCAACTTTGAACAAAGTGGAGTGCTCGCTCAAGTGAGGCGTTTCAGGGTATATGGCATAGGCTCGAACAATATTGGTCAATGATATCAATGGAGTTCTCGATTTTTTGTCTTCGTATATTAAAATTTGGCCAGGTAAGGGGGATGATGCTTTGCGACCCCATCGCTTCTTGTCGTCCTTCTTGTCCACAACGGTCCAGAGACGTTTCCAATCTGATTTGCCTGCAAAACGGACTTGAAGATAGCACTCTATGCCGCTGGATGGCTGTTTTGTAAAGTAGGGCTTGTACAGAGACCGCGCTAGAATTTTCCTGGTGTACATCTCGTGCAATTTTGTACCTTCAAAACTGGCCAGCCAAAAGCAAAATTCCCACTTTTCCATATCTTGCCTTGTTCTTGCTTGGAACACAAATCGATTTGCACCAGCTGTGTTTTGAATAGCGAAACAATTGGGCTTGCCTACATTGCCTTCATCAAGAATCTCCATGGTGGCATCCGTAATGTTAACATAACTTGGAAGAATACCTTCCTGGCGGTTAGATTTCTCTGCATCCCAAATGGCAAGTGTCGATCCAGACAGTTCGGCAAACACCTTTTTCCATTGTGTACTCTCCAAATGTCTTCCCTCTGGTGTAACCTCGACCATTGTTGTAAGGTAGCCTTCCATATACATTTTATGATTATAACGCAAGAACAGCTTGGCGATATTGTCTAGATCGGTAGGCGATTTACCGGCAATGTTCTGATGCTGTGCCGCTGGCTTAATGAACTTTGATGGCCTTGATGAAATGTTCGCATAGGTGTTTTTCACAAAAACTGGCCGTGTATGATATTTGGGTAGGCTAGGTATAGGCTTGTCAGCTCGAGGCATGATATCAAAGCTGTTCCTAGTCTTTAAGTTGGTCATGGTGGATGTCTCATCGGTTGGCGAGTATAACATGCTGCAAGATGATGTGAAATTTCCCGTCAGCGACCTGGACAAACGATGTCGTGTTTGCGAGCCGCCATGGCGATTCGACGCACTGATATCTTGTGGAAGTGCATTGAACTGGAACACGGGTTTTTCGCTGACACTCATGCTTTGATTATTGGGTCGCTCTACTATGTCTGGAGACAGAGGAAGTCAATCGGCTCAAAAAAAGAAATTAAACAAACAAAGGTGGAGAGATAAATCAGTACAAAGACCACGACGACCTATGAAAATGGAGTAACTAATTAGAAGCTAAGAAGAAAAAGGATGTGTCTACCCTGGTGAAAGCTCTACATCGATTTCATCTTTTTATTTTTAATTTTTAATAATTACGGGGAATGTAAGGGGGATTGGGCTGTTGCTGTTACGGTTACGGTTGCGTTTATGTACTGAGAATTATTTTGTGCCAATAATAAAAAATTATTATCACGATACCAGAGCCTCGCAATCATTAGTAACTGGCAGGAGGAGAAACAGATTCAAACAAATACTACTCACAAATAAGATAGTGGAAACATTCGTGTTTTTGAAAGGCAATCATCAGAATTCATTTTTCAAAGCTTGCCATTTTTATGTACGCTTACCAGTTTTGAGGCTGTAAATATCTTAATCATCTTCACTAGGAAGAGAAATCACATTCGTAGTGGCGATATGATGTAGTGGTTGCTGTGCAGGCGGCCTTGCGAAAGCAATTGGACGTTGGTCACCGGCCCGGATAGATTGTTGCAATTTGAAACATATTATTGCTAGCGTTGATATCCCTTTGCCAAAGTATCTTGCAGTTTTTGCATACTACAACACCATGGTGTGAGATGTCATCAGCTGTTTTGACCTTGCTAAGACTGCGCTCATTGCATTTGTTACAAATCTACACAAGTTATATTAGAAAAGGAGCAATATCGTCTTCATTACAACCGATGACACTTACCTGCGAAGTTAAGGTATTCCTCAATCGGGACGACAACAAGCTTTCCCAATCTCTTTCCGCGGTTCAACATCTTCCATAAGAACGTTAACAAGACCGACTGGCTTGCCCTTGAGATGAGAATGGTTTTTAATGCCAAACATAGCGTCACCAAAAGCGATAATAGGGGCGACAGGCCGTGGTTCAAAAGGTATCTGGAGCGTTAGTGGCTTCCAATGTTGGGGACCTTGCATTGTGCCCAGTGTTCTGCGTGCGGTGGATTCTCTGCAAAAATGCTTCTGTTAGATCCTTGGATGTATTTATACATGGAACAATAAAAAAAGTACGTTACCTTGGACCTGTGGGTAATGCATGTTTAGTATTCCCTTTCCTGTTTTTCTTTCGTCTTCGACGGTTTTTCCGTGTGTTTTTTCGATTTTCTGCGTTGTATTTTTTACCACCATTCGCAAAGACATTCACCATTTCTTCGCGGGCTCTCTGTCGCCCTATATAATTGTGGAACCTGGCTATACCGCGATCGTAATGATAAAAAGAAAGGATGGTTTCAAGATGGAGAAGCACATATCTCAAATATTTTTCATATTGTTTAATATTGGCTGTTTTTGGCGTAGGAAGGTTGATTTCGATCCTGAAAAGATTGTTCAATTTCAGATGCATCAAAGTCTTCCAAAGATAATTGCACGTTTTGTATCGATTGGCTTTTTAACTTTTTTCTAGCAAACATGAAGCTGATGGAATGTCCATAGCTACAAAGTATTGTTGAAAATTTCATTGGTTAATCAGTTACAATACCTCATAGGGAAAGGTTTGTCTCCCACATGGGCATGGCTCGTCTTGTACTCATCCAGAACAATTGCGCATTTCGCAACGTAGTTCCTCGAAGCTTCATTTGGCTTTGGTGGCTGTCCCTTTCTTCTACCAAATTTACCATTTCCCCAAGCCACTACTGTCACTTCTGCAGGAGACACTGGAAGTTGCCGTGCTGGATCACTGACCGTTTTCATACGAGGCATGTGGGTTTCCGGTGTCAGTAGTGTGTTATTGAAGGAAGCCATTAATGACTGAAGTGACATTTCCCTTGTTCTGCACCATCGTCTATAGAAGGTTTAATTGGCCCACGTCTTCGTTGTGTTCTGGTGCAGAATGCCTTCAGGTTGAACACTGGGCACATCGCTTGATCTTGAATCGCACCCAGTCTGGTGTGTTTGAACTGGCCCTCCTTGTGTTCACACACAAATATTGTGACTCCAATTGGTTCTTCTTCTTACCCTGAAAAAAGTACACCGCGGTGCTGTATCCTCCCGATGTCTGAACATGGTCTCCACATCGTGGCGATACACAGGATTAGTATCGTCTTGACTTGTAGCTGTAACGAGGTAAGTGTATCATTTTCCCTGAATCTTTCCCGGAGATACATGATCAGTATTCGGACGTCCAAGTCTCCAACTGGTGTTTCTTCAGCAGGCTCACGATTGTCTTCTTTCTGACCCTAAGAAGTCTTTCAGTGATGGGTGGTCAGTCATTCTTGGAAGTTCCGGGTATAGTTCGTAAAAAACTGAGCCCAAGGTGCCTGGTAGGTCCGCAAGGTTTGGAGAGCGTGTTGCCGGGGTATAAAGAAGAAAGCATGAAGCCTTTCAAAGTTGTATTCCAGGGGGCTTATCCTTGGGTTCTGTTGTAGGCACCAGTCTCTCCAAACTAACCATGCACTATTGTAGGTGCGTACAGTACCTTTGCGATGACTTCCCTCCAGAAACTTAATCATTTCTTCCGAAATGCCCTTTGACCCCTTGATTTCCCTGATAATCTCCAGGCGGCCAAGGTTGTCGTTCTTGTTAACTGTGTTGTTGGCATTGTTTCGGTGATTGCTTCCTCGGTAATTCTGCCGATGGTTCGGGTTCCATGACTTTATGGAAATTTGAACTGGAGTTCTTATTGAAAGCTGAGTTTGGTCTACAGGTGGCTGCGCGTAGGATAGATTCATCGTACTTTGCCTTGTTAATCCGTTCGATGAGTTCGTTATCGAAGGTGAGTCTTTTCCCGGATTCATCTTCCTCTGTGATATGCTTGAGGGATTCAGGTAATTGGAGAGCTTTGGCTGCGGTGATGTGGGCTTCGGTGTCCATCTGTTTGGCTGTCGCGTATGCATATATTGCAAGACGTCGAAGTTTGGCAATGCTCTCCAAGAGGAGGTCTTCGTCTGAAGGGTCTCCTCCTCTTTCTGCTACAAATTTGAGTGTTTCGTAAATTTCGGTAATGCCGTGACCCGAGGTTCGAAGTCGGTCCGCATCTTTGTATTTGGCTGATGTAGTATCTTTTGAGGTCGGGAATGATACTCTTGTTGAGAGATTCTGAGGCGGTCCATCTACCGCCTTCATATTTCCGGATGTCTTTTCCCACTCTCTTGAGGTTGTATGCCAGGCCGTTTTTGGGAGTATTTTCCATCTCTTCGAGGATTTCAAGGGGTAAGATAGCCCCTTCATGTTGTCCTTGTACTTTGGCTAGCTCTTCAAGTCTAAATCTTTTCGCGAAGCCTACGTAGAGCTTTTCAATTTTTTCTTCGGTGAGATCCATGTTGTTCGGAGTTGTGTCCATTTCATTATTCATTAGCTACGGATGCGCGGCTTAGAAAGAAACTAGAGTATCAATGCCATAGAATATTTTTGTTAATCCATTTTTCAGCCAATAAAAGCGCGGCTCAGAGAGCTATTGTCACATCCGAGCCGGAGTGAAGCAACCACAGTGGTGTAGTAACACGTCCATCTCAACTGTATTTTGTAAAACGTATTACATCAGTCGAAAGGTTCGGTTTGAGTCATTGAACTTTTTGCAGACTTTTGCGCCATTCAGAAATGGTACTTGCCTAGTGAAAGTAGAGGCCATCACAAATCATTGAGACGGAGCGGTAGTTTGGTGCCGCAAAGCAGGAGATAGCTTCGGTTAGCTCAAAGTAATTTCCGTAGCGTTGACGGAGGAGGAAGCCTCAGCGGAAGGAGCATTCAAATATGCCGGTCGCCGGAATTCGGTTATTTGCGTCAAGGCGACGTTTGCAATGTTTTGACCTGCCATTGTGTCGCGATGGAACACTTTTTGGCATTTAGGACAGTATAAGCGACGGATGTTCACTTGGCCAACAAATTCCTGGCAGCAAGGGCATTTTTTGGAGGTGTAGAACTCATTCACTCCAACGGCTAAGTAGCCCAGACTCCGCAACCAGAGAAGCAAAATCAGAGGCTGTAAATACTGTGTACTACAGAAATGATAAACTCACTTTGCATATCAGATGACTTGAGAAAAAGGTATGTAGCGATCGAAATTCGTCCTTGTGTTGAAGTCACCAATGCCAATGGCAAATAGGACGTCTTCCTTTCCATCTTGTGCCTGCCGATATGAGTGCCTGCCATCTTTAATATTGCGTTCGTCGCCACGTCAAACTCGCCTCGCCGTGTCTTCTTCTGATCGTGTGCAAGTCTCTTGAACCTTTTCGAGGCATAAAAGGACTGAAGGACAGATTGGGCTAAAAGACGCTTGCTTGCGTACTCAGCGGATGCAGAAAATGAGCAATGCTTATTTCCAGAGACAGACTTCTCTGCGCTTCTGACCTTTGCTGAGTTCCGCTTCTCCATGTACTTTCTCGCTTTCAGAGTAGGTTGATAAAGGGAAGAGCGCCTCACTGTCAGATTCCACACTCCAATCTCGTCTCCAACTGCAAAGCTGATGGCGCATGCAGCGGCGGTGAAAGTTTCTTCAAGGTCAATTCCAACTATGGGACCCTTTCAGGGTCAGAGAGGTGGTTTCGCACCACATCCACATTTGGGAACATGTCATCCACGTTCTTCAACAGTCGTTCCACGCCTTGACTGTCAGTATCTTTTGAATGGTTACCATCGTAACCTACTGCATCATCGGCAGATGAACTCTTCTTGAACTTCTTGGTATTAAATGCTAGCAGTTGCAATGTTTGGCCATCAGTCCGGAAGGTTCCGTTCAGAATGTACTGTTTGTTGCATGGAGCACCAAGTAGTTTTACAGTCGCGTGGTAGCCATGCTTGTGTCGACGTACCGACACAAGTCCATTGCAATGCAGTGACGTTTGATACCGCTGTAACATTGGAATTTTGGTAGAAATGAAAAGAGCCATCCTTCATAGGTCTTAAGACTTGCTGTACGCGTGGATAGAACAGAAGATCTGAATCACCGCTGATGACAACGTTAGTTTCGTCCAAATCAAGTCCACCGATATGAACATCTGCTTCCCCTTCACAAGCACAAATGTTTCAGCCTTCTTCTCGAGCAGTTTGAACCAATATTTTCTTCATGCTATCAGTCAGGGTAAATGTGCGACGAGAAAGGCGACAAAGGGCATCATATTGGCTTGCAGAGATCAGTCGGGCCTTGTGCAGCTTTTCCCTCGGCAACTTGACGTCCAACTTCCTGATGTCCTTCTTTTTGACGTTGTGTCGTCTTTCTGATGTCTCCTTTTTTCACTTCGTCCTTCCGCCGTCCAAATATAGAATCATTTTGTCAACCGAGAAGATATTTCTAAGTTTGGTGAAGATCAGCTTTGCAACTACATTTGGGACATTTAGGAAGTAATTATCAATGATCATCTGAACCCAACAGATCAACATGTACCGTGCTGACTAATTCGATCACAGGAGAGCTCAAAACTTGAGCAGATAAATCTCTTTTCTTGAGAAATGAGTGAGTACCATTAACAGCCATTCACGCAGCTAAAGATGAAAAGCGCAAAGAAGAGGACAGAATCTACAGATTAGGATGATATTATTAAGTTTGCAGAGTGTTATATTAGTTACAGCTCCAAATGGGTTAATGAAAAAGTCATGACAGCTTACCAACGAGCTGACAGCGAGTGGTAATTATACAGTAAAGTGTTCAAACAAGAGACCGAGCGTACTATTTAATAGATAGATAAGATGAGCACCATTCTCAGCTGATAAATTGCGGCTTATAAAAAATACCTGCAGGTATAGAAATGAAGCAGTGGAAGGCTTGTCTGTTAAAAAAATAGAATGAACACTGTATTCGAACGCTTTTTGAGTCGACGACTTAGGAATGCTTTCCGTGAAAAGAATGATAACATTTTTATTGTCAATTATGCAAGTAGATTGAACACAGAGAATAAGAGTCTGCCCAATAATATTTTCTCGCATTAATGTATGAAAAATGGGCAGCCAATCAAACAAAAGGTTATAATACTGCGCTTGGTAAAGTTGGCTGAAAAGGGAACCCAAAGGTTTGATCGAGGTATGGAAAGAGATCAAGTACTGTCGGGTCTATGACCGAAGAGCCTTGTAACTACAGATCACGGATTCTAGCCTGCAGTAGACCTAATCACTACCTTACGAATAGTCTCTGTCTCATCTATATATTATACTTTTGGTGGCTATGCATGCCTATGTTGGAAAAGCTTGACAGAGGTTACAGACCACACTGCATTAATTTTAGTATACTGGCCGAGGATCCGGGACTTTCATTTCCGCAAATCAACGGTGCTTGAGAGATAATATCATATATCATAGGCTTTTTTTTATTAACGTTCTACTCATGAAATAACCTCAGAAGGCACGGACGCAATCCCAGGATCCACGAATCGTATGAAGCATTTATAGCGTGCGGTCTGCGACCTCCACCAAATTAAGTTTACACGGGCAGAGACAATCCCACATCCATCGCATTTCCTTCCCATGCAATCTGATTAGTATAATATATTTGTAAATGTACTTTCAACCATCCTATTCATCAAAAACAGGCCATTATGAGTTCTGATGGCCGCCGTAAGCATTCCGATGACCTGGTGAACTTCCGCCATAGGCATTGGCTGTATACGGAGACTGATATCGCTTGGGCGAGAGTTCAGGTGTAGAAGTACTATAGTAATCATCAGTGTCATCGTCTTGAAATTTAGAGGATTGAACCTGAGTCCCAGGTGGAACATCATCCTGATGACAATGGTAGTTTGATTGGCCGAAAGAAATATGTCTATCATGAGTTTTGGCCAATCATATAATTATGAATATCATTCACTTCGGATGCATATTCCTCCACCTCAGTGCAATGCAAGATGGAAATAAAACATAATTTCGATATGAACAGAGTGAACTGTAGGGTATGAACAAGTAATTTATAGTTACAGGATGCTTTCACCGTTTCTTCATGGCTGTCGCAAAAAAAAAAAAAAAAAAAATGTTTATTGGTATGGTCCCTTTATTTCGAGACTTTTCCTTGTTGTGATACTAGGTGACTCATGGAAAGCGCTTTGATTTCATTGGAAAAGATAAATTTCTCCCAAACAAACAGTATATATTCAGTCAACGAAGAGACAGCCTCAGCACCTAAAACAACACTCATCTCATGGTGCATTCATATTCAGCGGCGCAACAAAAGAAATTGATCGTGTTCGACACCACGCTACGAGACGGAGAACAGGTAGGCAACTACTTTGACACACCTCACATATGATATATGTTGCCACTAAAGCTCTGTCACCTTCAAGTCTCCGGGGTGTAGCTTGAACCTAGAAGAAAAGGTAGTTGTCGCTAAACAATTATCCTTGCTTGGTGTCGACGTATTGGAAGCAGGCTTTCCTATATGCTCCATTGGCGACTTTGAGGCGGTCAAACGTATTGCTACAGAGGTTGCGCCCTCCATGGAAGGCCGTGAAAAAATTGGAAAACCAATGGTATGACTTCAACGCGCTGATATGTGATAAAAAGAATACATGACTCACTAACATTATGCACCATTATTAATCAGATCATCGCTGGCCTTGCTCGTGCCGTTCCTGCCGATATCAAACGCTGCGCAGAAGCGCTAGAGCCTGCGCCTCTCAAACGCATTCATATAGTTCTTGCCACTTCTGATATTCACCTCCAGCATAAGCTAAAGATCAGTCGTGACGAGTGTGTAAAGCGAGCTGTTGAGTCCATTCAGCTTGCAAAAACTCTATGCGACGATATTGAGTTTTCACCAGAAGATGCTGGTCGATCAGATGAAGAATTCTTAAGTTTTATTCTAGGAAAATGCATTGAAGCCGGCGCTACTACCATCAACGTTCCTGACACTGTGGGTTACAATACACCTGAAGAATATGGAAGACGGGTAAAATATTTAATAGATCGCACTCCTGGATCTGACAAGGTATTTTTGGTGATTTTATTTCAGTTGATGTTGTTAATCTCGTTAAACATAGGCTCTGACAATTTTCTTGTTCCTGTAGGTTGTATGGTCAACACACTGTCATAACGATCTCGGTCTTGCAACGGCAAATACACTTTCTGGCATCCAAAACGGTGCCCGACAGGTTGAAGTGACTATCAATGGAATTGGTGAACGAGCCGGGAACACGGCTCTAGAGGAAACGGTCATGGCTATCCACACACACCCTACCTACTACCCAGTTTTTCACACCATCAATACAAAGCAGCTTTGTTCTTCTTCACGGCTTGTATCAAGCCTCACTGGATCCGCTGTTCAATCGAACAAGGCTATCGTTGGACACAATGCCTTCTTGCACGAGTCCGGAATTCATCAGGACGGCATACTGAAAAATAAGTCCACGTATGAAATTATCACACCCGAAACTGTAGGCGCCAATGAGGTCTCTCTAATACTAGGAAAACATTCTGGTCGTAATGCATTCCGACAGCGTTGCAAGGAACTTGGCTTTGCCAGCATATCGGATCAGGCATTGCAAAAGGCATTTACGGACTTCAAAGCCCTCTGTGACCGTAAAAAGTCCGTGAACGACTCGGATATTCTTGCTATCCTCGCATGCTAAGCACTGAACTAAACAGTATATTATAGCGCAATCTTTATGTAAGAGTTATGAAAATATACGTCCTTGGTTTCTCGTGATTGCAATGTCTTTGCCTTCTGCTGTATTGTCAGTCGGCTGTGCAATGAAATGTTTTGCCGAACCATAGCCCGGCTGTTGGTGTCAATATTTTCAATTGCCGCTATGTCATAGTATTCTCTCTTTTAATTGGCTTACAGTCATCGTGGGTTGCGGCTTTCGTCTGCCAATCAGCGCCCGTCTTACGTGATCTTTGAGTGTTTTACCCGTCGACACCTATAAGAAGTGGAGCAGCAAATGGGCAGAACGACATATATCAATATATCGCTTGTCAAATTTGAATGAAAGACTGCAATCCAAAATGTGGTTCTGACGGAAAATAAGATGTTTCATAAGAATGCTACAGCTAAGGCAAGTCTATTGTGTTGAGCGGGGTGACTCACGTAAAGACCAGTTCAGTGATTGGTGCACGTGAAGCCTAAGGAACTCGCTATATAAAAGCGAACATCACATCTTAACGTTGTTTCACATAAAAAAGTTTCATCTTCTTGTTTGATTTTGTTACAGTCGTTTAACACATACACATACCATGCCTCACACCAACACACCCGGAGAACAGCAGAAGCTGATTATTTTTGATACAACCCTTCGAGATGGAGAGCAGGTCAGTGAATACTATTCATTTCATCTATCATGCTAACTTGCAGGCGTACTGACTCTTTATTTTAGTCTCCCGGCGTCAGTCTGAACAACGATGAAAAGGTTGCAATTGCCACCCAGTTGTCCAAGCTAGGTGTTGATGTTTTGGAAGCTGGTTTCCCCATTGCCTCCATTGGTGACTTTGAGGCCGTCAACCGTATTGCCAAGGAAGTTGGTCCTTTGATGGAGGGTCGTGAGCGCATTGGAAAGCCCATGGTAGGTTTCTTTTATCAGTGAAAAAGTAGTGAAAGGACGGTTAAATTGATATGTGCTTTCTAGGTTATTTGCGGTCTTGCACGAGCCACCACCGGCGATATTCAGAGATGCGCTGAAGCCCTTGAACCTGCGCCATACAAGCGTATTCACACCTTCTTAGCAACCTCTGATATTCATCTTCAGCACAAGTTGAAGATTGACCGTGCAGAGTGTGTGAAGCGCGCAGTTGCAGCGGTTACTCTCGCCAAGTCTCTGTGTGACGAAGTCGAATTTTCCCCAGAGGATGCTGGTCGTTCGGACCAAGATTTCTTGTGCGAAGTGCTTGGAAAGGTCATTGAGGCAGGAGCAGGAACTCTCAACATTCCCGATACCGTTGGTTATAACATGCCTGAAGAATACGGCAGTTTGATCAAGTACTTGGTCGCAAATACCCCAGGCGCTGAAAAGGTGAGATCTTATCTTGGTGTATAAAATAGGGTTTTTTTTGGTCTTATTCAAAGTCGCTAACGTGACCATTTTTTTCTGACTAAAAAGGTTATCTGGTCCACCCACTGTCACAACGATCTTGGTCTCGCTACCGCCAACACTCTTGCTGGTATTCAAGGCGGTGCCCGTCAAGTTGAAGTCACTATCAACGGTATTGGCGAGCGTGCTGGTAATACTGCTATGGAGGAGGTTGTTATGTCCATCCATACACACCCCAACTACTTCCCAGTTTATCACACTATCAACACCACATTGATTTCCCGAACTTCACAAATGGTCTCCGCTTTGTCGGGTATGATTGTTCAGCCTAACAAGGCCATTGTTGGCCGCAACGCCTTCCTTCACGAGTCTGGAATTCACCAGGATGGTGTCCTCAAGAACAAGAGCACTTACGAAATCATCACTCCCGAGACGGTTGGTGTAACTGACATTGCCCTAGTCCTCGGAAAACACTCAGGACGCAATGCCTTCCGAGAACGATGCAAGGAGCTCGGCCACGGCAGCATTTCCGACGAAGCTCTGCAGAAGGCTTTTGTTGACTTCAAGGCTTTGTGCGATAAGCAGAAGACGGTCAACGATGCTGATATTCTCGCAATTTTGACTAACTAAATCGCAGTTGCCTTGGATACCTACTAATCATTCACCGCATTGTTACGAGCTTCTTGAAGAACCTCCTATGTATTATAGAACCAAACAAATAAAAATAAAGAAACAAATTTTATAAAACAGTCAAATATATACGCCGCATAACATTATTTGTTGCTACAGGTCTTTGGGAGGTACTTCATAAAAAGGATGAAGTACTTGGTGCAGGAAGGACATGACCCGAAATGACATGATGAAGTGAGACTGTAAGTTTATTGGAACAATTAGACAAGAAGACGAAAACACTTTATGAAATTTGGCTGTATAGGGTGCTTTTAAGAACTGCTCTTGACAGATGTGCTGGTGTTGGCAGCGGTGGAGTCAATTACAACAGCAGCGCCACCGTTTTGCATAGCGTTACCAGCGATCAACTTTGCATTGCCAATAACAGCCAAGATGTCGGTAAGGCTGTTCTTCCAGCTGTTGAGCTTGCTATCCAACTGCTGCCATTGCTCCTTGCCAAATACACGGTAGATACTTCGGTAAACGATAACGGTCTTGTTGAGCTGATCGAGCTTGGCCTCAACCAAACCGGCGCGGATAACATCGATGACCCACATTTCGACTTCGGATTCCGAGATCTCTAATGCTGCGGCAATTTCACCATAAGTCAACTCTCTGGACAAGTTCTCTGAGCCCAAAGATGCCAGTGACAACAAACGCATCTTGGTAATATTGCTCTCAACGTCAAAACTGGCGAGAAGATCTTGATGTTGGCCAGCAAATTGGTTGTATTCTTGGAGGTTTCCATTAAGGAAGATGTTGAGAAGTTCGAATTCAGGCGTACCCTTCAACTGTTGCAAAGGCTTGTATTGCAAAAGGTCTTCGAAAGCGAAGCAGTTGGGCATTTGAATGGCGGTGGAGATAGCTTGCTTAGCATATTCGGCTGAGGTGGCATCAGGTGAATCGTTGTAAGTGGCAAGAGTCTTCAAGAAAAACTCATAGGCAGCTCGTCTAAATAGTCAAGATGATTAGAATCAGCCATAGCCTTTCCAAGATCGTTCTCATAATATCGCAACTTACTCTTCACCAGCAGCCTTGAGTTGCTCAGCCAAGTGGGAATAAAGAGCACGTTCGGTCTCAAGATCCAAACCCCATTCCTTGGCCCAAACATCGACGTAGTCGAACTGCGACATCAAAGAATCCAAATCATCATTCTTAACAACAGCATCAAAAATGGCGATGAAGATATCGTAGCGTAGTCGGGAGTTAGAAGGGCAAGTGTTATACAAGTTGAGCAAGCTGCAATGGTTGATTGAGGATGAGAATCTATATACTGCGTGATTGGTAGCAACAAGCGGCGTGTCCCTTACATCTTTTGCTTAATATTGAATCTATCGGCATCTTCAGCAACGAGAGCCTTGCTGAAAGTCTTGACAGCTTCATCGTTTCCTTGGAGGATGGCGATGACCAAGTTCAAGGCACCTTCCGCTTCAACTAAGTAACCCAAACAAGAGAATCAGTGTGCGGCCGAGGATAATGCAAGATGATACGGATCTAGTACGGATCTAGCAATGGCCTGAAATTTCAATATGGAGATATATATTTACCTTTCACGGGAGCTGTAAGAAGAATGGGGCTGTCTGCGGCAATCTGGTTCAAGACCTCGGCTTGCTTGTCAGCAGCGAGTTTTTCTGATATGGCCGAAACATAAGCAGGAGTTTCGCTCTCATCGCCCTGCAACTTGGCAATATAAGAGGTGACTTCAACAATCTATAAGTGCGAACGGTTCGGAATGTCAGTTTTAGAGTGTTTGATTCGAAAATTAGACCTTCGCCATCAGTGCGTTAAAAAAGTTTCAAGGCATGGATTTTGAAATCGCAAAAGAAGTAGTTGCAGATTTCGCACTGATGACTGGATTTCTTGAAATGAATTTGAGATTAGATGTGTACCTGAGCCTCAGTAGCGCCCTCGACGAAAATGGTGTTCGTTGCGGACATGTGTGCGTTTACTCTATCAAAGGGTTTCAACACAACAAATTTTTGAACGCTGAAAAATCCTGGTGGCTGCTGGATCACGTGCTCACCAATCAAAATCTCTAAATGCCTTTCGACTTAATATCCAAGCACCTTGTCAATGTCGTTCACCGTACCTCAAAAGCGTATTCTCACCAAAGAAGACCTGGAAGAATTCCAGTCTTCCGATGCTTATAATGACTTCATGGGTTTCATTGAGAGGCTCAATGAGTCTGTAAAGGGATTGAAAATCGACTCCGAGATCGAAGTGTCACCAGTAAGTTTGTTGGTTACAGCAGTATGGAATTCTTCGAGACTATACTCATTTTTCAAAAGTCTATTGAAAAAGTTCTAGGCTTATTAGATGCCTTGCTTCAAACCAAAGCTGAAATCCCCCCTGTAGACAATGCCTTGTCAAGATTTGGCAATCCTGCATTTGTGACGTTCTATGACAAAGCAGCCGAGGTAAGCACAAGTTGGCCCCAAATAGACGAGTATTTTAATGTGAGGCTCATATGAAACTATTTAGATGATTCCGGAATTGTTGAAGCCCATTGTTCCCAATGATTCGATACCTGAAATCTCAGCATACTTGGTAGAGAGCTTTGGCAACCGACGCCGCATTGATTATGGCACAGGGCACGAAGCAAATTTCATTGCATTTTTGTAAGTCGATGTTCGCCCATATGATTGATGTTTTGTTTAATAATCTAATATTTTCAAATATTATCTAGACTTTGTTTGGAGAAGCTAGGCGTAATTAGTAGCAGAGATTATACAGCGGCCGTCCTACGTGTCTTCGTCAAGTAAGTTACTACTTCAACAGCATCCATTTCAATCTTTTCTCCTCGAATGTTAGGCTAATGACGGGTTTGATAAGGTATATGTCCCTTATGCGTGAATTGCAATTCTCCTACTGGCTTGAACCAGCAGGCTCGCATGGCGTTTGGGGTCTAGACGATTATCACTTTTTACCTTTCATGTTCGGATCTGCACAACTTATTGGTAAGCCAGCACAGCATATGCAATAGGGTTATGTAATAGAACGAAACGGTGATCAAAGATACTAACGTTCTGTTGCCCATAATATATAGATCACAAATACATTCGACCGAAATCTATACACGATCCAGACATTATTGAACAATTCTCAAAGTCGTACATGTACCTTGGATGCATTGCCTTTATCAATTCAGTCAAGAACACGGCCTCCTTACGTTGGCATTCACCTATGCTGGACGATATTTCGGCAGCTAAATCTTGGGCAAAAGTCAATGGAGGAATGATAAAAATGTACAAGGCTGAAGTTCTGAACAAGCTTCCCATTATGCAACACTTTATGTTTGGAACACTCATAAAATTTGAAGGCGGAAGTACTGTTGAAAATGAAGACGAAGGATGTGGACATGATCATCATCACAGCGTTGAGGTGGACAAAGACGGCAAAGAAGTGTATGCCATGGGTCAAGAACATCCCGAGTGCTGTGGCATCCCTATACCAAGCGCAATCGCTGCTGCTGCTGCTGGTCAAAGCCGACGACCTATCCCATTTGATTGAGCAGCTTCACTTGCTTTTCATTACAATGACATTAGCACCTGTATTATTTGTATATAGCATAGCCATAGTCGTCTGCATTGAAGACATTATAAACACGGCTTTTTTATTACAGCTTGAGGCAGAAAAAACAGCTCTGATCTACAGACGATGTTTGGGAGGATTGAGAATGCTCTCTGGGTATTGAACCTGACCGTTATTCATCCAATGTCCACCGTCCACAACTAGAGTGACTCCAGTGATCCAGTTGGCACCTTCAGAGAACAAGAACACAGTAGACTGCTCGATATCCTTGATAGCTCCAGCGCGTCCAAGGGGAATTGATTCAAATCTTCCCATTCCTCTACTTAATTTCTGAAGTCCAACAGTCTCTGCGATTGGTCCAGGTGCAATGCCGTTCACACGAATTCCGTGAGGACCGAATTCAACAGCCCAATGCTTGGTCATAGCATCTACAGCAGATTTGGCGGCTCCGGCGTGGCTTTGCATGATGGTACCAGTGTGCGAAAGCGTAGCTGTTACGTTGATGATAGAACCCTTTGATTCTTTCAAATAGGGAAAAGTAGCCTTTGTAAGGTTGAAAGTGCCTAGTATCCCCATCAAGTATTATCATCTCCAGTCAATAAAACATATCCTCTGTCAGTCACATAGGATTTAACTTGCTTACCGATCAGATCAATTTCAATAACAGTGCGGAAGGCATTGGGAGAAAGGTTTTCGAATGGAGATAAAAAGTTACCAGCAGCACCGTTGATGAGATAATCGATGCGGCCATATTTCTCGATGGTAGCTTTGACTGCCTTTTCCACATCCTCAAAATTTCTGACGTCGGCAGGAACGGCTCTTTGAAGTCATCGTGTACGTTAGTCAACTGAACTTGGATCATATCCAGCTTATCCTTTCCATACTTACAGCACTTCTCCGCCAGTCGACTGTCTCATTTCTTCAGCTGCCTTCTCTAATTTGTCCTTGCTAAAAAACATATTTTCTTAGATGCCAAACTAAATGTATCCATAGCTCTCAAAAAAACAAGACAAACCTTCTGCTAATAATACAGGCTTTGACACCATGACGAAGCATAGCTTCGGTCATGCCTCTGCAGATTCCGCTTCCACCACCAGAGCAAAGTAGTACCTTCCCATTAAATAGGTTTTTGTTGAAGATTTCAGTGGTTTCTACGGGTTCCTTTGGCATTGCTAGACGATGGCGAAACTGGAGAACAAAGCATGGCACTTATTATACCTGGGGATTTCCCCACACGTGACGATAAATAGGCACTGTCAGCAAGAAAGTGAAAACCGTTTATGGTAAATTTGTCACTTTGAAGGTTCACACGTGACTGCTAAAACGCGAAGGGTGCCCGCAAACGGAAGTAGGCAAATTTGTTATTCCCGGAAGCGGCGCGTAGTGAATCATTCGCCAGCCAGCAGTATGAAACGAAGGGCTCCTAACAGCGACAATGAAGATGACTCTGATGCTGAGGAGGAACTTGATGCTGTTTGTAAGTTTCAACTGTCAACTTCAGCCTTCTCTTGCCGACTTACTAACGTCTACACTTTGGTAAACAGCGCGTCTTATGAATCGATCGTTCACTGCATTTCGATGTACTCCATTCTGGGAATTTCGCGCCACGCAAATGCCAAAGTATGAAAGACAGCTCAAAGATTTTCTCATGCTTGACCTCGAGCGTGCACTAAAGGAAGCTCGAGATAACGCTGAAGACGAAGACGAAACGCTAGATTTATTGCGCGGGAAGGTCGTTCAAGTAACGTTGAAGGGCCAAACAATATCACCCTGGAGAGGAAGTAAGAGATAAGGCTATTTGAATGCAGGTTAGATGATGGACAGCGCAATTGATAAAATTTTGCTGTATAGGTGATCCTTCTGTTCGACCTTTCGAGATGACCATGATCTTCCAGCCTCGAGGTATGAACTTTTAGAATTATTCTAAAAGCCAGATCTATACTAAAGCTCAGACTTCATCTTGTCACGATAGGAAAAGCAGTGCAAAAGATTTACACAGCTGTCTTTATGTCAGCATTAGCTCCAAGCCCCGTACAATTAGCACCAGGTACACGTTTACTCACAGAAATGCGAATTGTTTCACTGTAACTGACGATCCTTCAATAATAGGCTTTTCCCATTTTCCTCTCGCGCTCATCAAGGCAGATGCGCCTATCATGCCGTTGATTGTTCGCTGGTTCGAAAGTAATTTTGGTGGCCACATCAGTCCAATGCGGATATTGCCTGGGGAATTGGAAATGATCACCGAGGAATGGGCATCAAGAGCATTTGATACTAGGGATGCGCCGGTTCAAGATGTGATAAGAGGTTCGTAATGTGTTCCAATGGTCTGGTGTCGGTTTTATGTGCTAATATGATTGTATTATAGTCCCACGTACACGAAAATTGGATCTACCATTAGAGTTACGCTACGACACTGGGTTTGATGAAATTAAATCCATTACAGTGAATATAACCGCCGAGGACGTGATAACTTTGGTGCAAGCGTAAGTTGTCCCTGGTAGATTTCCGCTACGCTCAGCATGTTAACCACTCAGCAATCATTACAGTCAGCGAGCATCAAATGGCGATAAGAGACTAGTCGATTTGATACAACAACATATATTTGATACCACTTCAATCGATGTTACCAAGCTCGTGCTTTCCAGAGTTGGAAACCCCGCATGTTATATCTCAACCGATGGAAAAGTAAAGGTATGTGAAATCTTACTGTGCAACTACAACCGCTTCAAAGTAAGGAAGTCATTGACCACCGAATCATGTAATTTAGTTAATGGCTAATCAGTCCAAGTCGCTCACCCTTCAAGTGATGAGAAGATTAATGACTGTTGCTTGTGCAAAGGTGTTTGGACCGTGAGACATTTGATCAACATAATATGATGTAGACAATGGAGCATTTACTAGGGATATTGAACGCTGAAGTATGGCATCATCTCTCTAACCTCTCCAAAGCTACGAAGAATAGACCAACCAACATGTAAATATGCATTATAAGTCCGTTTAGCACCCGCATTGTAATATACCTATTTTTGTATGATCAAATAATCCACCATGTAACCCAGCAAATAAGTCTACTCACATTTTGCTTGTGGGAGCGTACAAGCATGATTTTACCGTGCCTGATGATTGACACTGAACTCAACTAAAGTATATAACGAAGAAACCGGTTTTGCCCCCTTCTCCCATAGAACCTGCATAACATTTTTCGTCGATACCGGTTTTTCATTTAATGTCTGTCAAAGTAGGCTGTGATTGAAGAATGTTGCAGCTTGCCACACAGCATATATGCGTCACATCTTTCAGATTGAAAAAAGTAACGATCAGATACTATCAAGTAATTGAATACCTGTAGATATACGTTATATATATTTTTCCGGGCCTCCCATATAAAAGAAGATACATCATATTCTCTGTATGGGTAGGTTTAAAGCCTTTGCTACATGATAGAAGATGCCTTACCTAGTCTAAAATTGCATGGCATGATCGACAAAACGTTGGCTCCGAATGAAAGACTTCCAGCATCATGCAAATCTTGCCCCAATTTTATTGCCCGCACCAAACTCCACCAAACTGTAAAACACTGCAGGAGAAAATTCCAAGATATCTCAGAGGTTGCCCTTGAGGACAGAGAGAGCTTATAAGAGATAATGGTATGAGGCGACTGTGTGTTGCATAAGAGGGAAGAGCATTCTTTGAAACGAACGACATTCTGATCAGTCACGTAAGCCTACAGCCGCCAGAAAGCAATGCTCAAGTTATATAATATTATAGGGCATCGAAAATATCAGCAACCATTCAATAGCGTGTTAGCTTTCTTTCTTTCGTTGGTTGGTTCTCTGGGCAAAAATTAGGTTGTTGCCGTTTTGTTCGCCGCCCCACATATCAAAATTTCTTTGCCTCTTCAATTTCTCCACTGTACATTCTCAACTTCTTAGGACAATCCAGATCTGGCCGCCGTAATGGCGAAAGAATCTAACACACCAAAAGCCATAAATATTGTCCGCCCAGGTCATTCCATTACGACAGCTCCAAAATTTCAAGTCTTTTCACCATTACGGAACAATGCTAAACCTCCGTCGGACCTTCATAAGCCGAAGGTCATGACAACGGCTCAGATCTCGCTGAATGATCGACCTGGCTTGGCTCTGTTCGCATCACATAGTCCAAAGCATATCCTGGACTCAAATAGCCAACCTAGCCATCGGCAACTGGTGGCTTCATCAAACCGTATACCTCCGGTAATCATTTCGGCTTCTTCCTTAAATACTAAAGCTATATCGACCCACAACAACGGACCTTATGCCAACCGGACTAGTTCTACTGTGAAATCACAAATATCAGTACACAGCTCTGAACCAAAAGCTTCTTCTGTCGTATCTGATAGATCAGATGCATCTATAGGTCTTGCCTCGGTGCATTCAGACAAATCAAGGAGTTCGAGCAGTAGCCATCCCTATGTTACCGATAGGAACACCATTAGACGACCTCCTGGCATCGTTATATCGAATGACATGACTATGAAAGACCCTCCACGCCGTATTATTAATGTACCAACATCAGAAAGCAATTTAGATGAGGACCGACCTCGCTATTACGACATCACTACTAATGTGGAAAACGATACCAGTTCTGACGTGGAGAGTGAATCCAATAATGAAAAGAGCGACTGGAACTCAGGCTTCGAGAGCGAAGGTGAAGAAGAGGTTAGCTTTCATAGTAAAAAAGTGGAAGAGGAGGACGAGGATGACGGTGCAGAGTCACCCATCAACGAAGCGAGGATCAACCGCAAGGTATGTTATTCTTCTTTTATTTGTGTAGCGAGCACTGCTTCCCTCCTTCACTGTAGCATACCGCATCTTGATTGGGATTTGCACTAAAACACATTTGGGCGCAAAGATTGCCGATTTAGAAATCTCCAATCAATCCTTGCTGGCAGTGAATACCATGCTCGAATCAACCGTTCGTAAGCAAGCCAAGCAAATTGCTGAACTACAAAAATCAAAATCAAAATCAAAATCAAGGTTTACCATTATCATTTGTAGTGTTAGAGACTGATTCCAGATACTGATATACATTTTTACAATGAAGCACGGACATTGTTGATACGCATAAGGCCAGTCAGGACAATGTTGAGGTAAATATGGTAATTTCGTCATTCACCAGTTTGGTTATCTGGTTACACTTGGCTGCATACGCATGTTATATATTGTTAACACTTAATGTTCCTTGTTACAATCAGGTGAGCGAGTTAATCGCCCTTCAAAATGAAGAAGACGAGCATTTTCAGAGGATAAACACCATCATCGATCGCTTGATTGAGGAAGCACAAGCTGCCATCGATTACAAAATCACCAACGGTGGTAGAGTACTCTCACTGTATGATGAAGGCGGTAGGTGAAAGTTACCATGCCTTGTCATGTCACTTTTTCATATCAACTAAACTAAATTTTTGAATTTTAAAGAAGAAGAAACCGCCCTCCCTAGCTCCAACAGTTCTTTATCGTTCTCTGGCACTGACATCGATGAGGATATTACGGCTGAGTCGCCCTCGTCATCTCTTAATTTACCTATACCGCAAAGAACGGGCCCAGACTCACCTCTCCAACCAAGATCGTCGCAACCGCGTCGAACACAAACTTTATCACGACGGAGTGCCTCACCACACAGTCTTAGCCCACCTTTACCGACGTCTCGTGATATTCGGCCATCGAAATCTACAGCTATATTACCAAACTCGACTTCACGACTCCCCAATACTCGTAAAGCCATAAGCACCACAAATCCAAACATAAGCACCATTAATAATCGAAGATCAAGACCAAAGAGTCACCAACCTGGAAGGGGGCCTTTGAAATAGAAAGAGAAGTAGCTTATTTAATGGTCACCAAATTGTAAAGTTGCAAATTTGTTTCCAAATGTGTTTTTCATTGGGTTATTCCCAATACATGTATACCCCTCCCCCTTCTGTCGAGAAGTAACTTTCCTCTTCTCGTGATATAGTATAAAAGCTGAATAAAAAATGGAAGGTTGTTTTATACAACGATTTATTAAAAATGATGACTGTGATTCCGAGCCAGTATCATATTTACGTACAGGGTGTTCAAAACCAACATTTAAAGCGATTCACTTTGCTTCCTTTTTATCATGTTGGCGGTCTTATGTGCATTCTCAATGGCCACCTGGTCGTTCATTCGTTCAGACCTAGCCAAGCTCTCCATACCATCGATTTCATCCCAACTGGTATTGGTAGTTTCCTCGGACATGCCCATTGCGATTTTGTCATCGTCTAGCTGATGTCCCATGGAAATATTGTCTGAAGATTGTCTAAACTCTTCGTCTGAGGAAACAGCGCCATCTTCAACGGTTACGTGATACTTCTTCTTGTCTTGCTACAAGGCGTAAATATCATTAACCAATTTACTTCCAATGCCGCCCAAACAAAAACTTCAGCTGAGAAATACCTTGAACGGGTTAAGCGGCATGGTTGACTATAAAGCTCTTTTGGATATCAGAAGTAAAGAAAAGAGGATAAGAAGCAGCCTTGAAGTGTGGGTAAAAGCTTTAAAACATTGGCGTCACCGCAAAAAAATCGGCATAGGTATTAAGGGTTGGGAAAATTTAAGGCGTTGAAACCCGCCGCATGAAATTAACGTTGACGCTAGGGTCTGACTGTTTTTTCAGAGAATGTACTTTTCACAAAATAGATACTAATGTAGGGTTTTTTGCCCGGTCACCAGAAGATGATTCGGTTCTCATGCTGTTGTAAATAAGTCAGTGCCATTGCCATTGCCATCGTTGAGTGTACATGAAATTTTATCAGAATTCAATAGTTTAAAAAACAGCTTATGGTATATTTTGGAAACAAATGGGTGTAATGTAGATATTAGGGAATCAAATTGCGACTTTGAAGAGAAAAACCACTGTTTATTCAAAGAGGTACACTTTGTTGTGTATAGACAGGTTGTATCAAGAATTTCAAATATAATTTCGATCAGCGAATTGACTTCAGCTGAGTTGCAGCTTTAGCTGATTTGCCTAAGCGTTCACTTTGTAACAGTCAGGTCATTTCAAATCCATGACAGGTAATTTGCCCCCATTCTCTCGAGAATAACGCATTTGGTGCATGCATTCTGATAAAAACGAAACAAAGATGATTTCAAGAATGGTCGCAAGCGCTCGTATCCCTCGGATCTGCCTGGTAAGAAGCCCTTCACCAGTATAACTCGACAGTGGCCACCTTGATCTTATTTTTATTAACAACTCCCAGCAGGCGATAGCATAGAAAACCCAATCGAAATACCTGACGATCCAGCCAGCAAGCAGGGTAATTACATTGTCTATAACAAGCAAAGTGTTCTTGTTCTAGTATACTGAGCCAATTCAGATCAAAATTCGACAGCAAAGATCAGTGTGCCGACATTGCCGGACACAGCATTAGCAAGGTCCATTTACAACGAGTTCATGACCCCAAACAATACTTTTAAAAGCTCGGTGGCGCGAACGGAGCGTCTAGATAGATTCAATCGCTATAATCGAACGTCCCCACAGCCAGCGAGACCCATATCTGCACCTGTCATCAAGAGAGAAGAGACCGATGTTGAAGATACGAACAACAACACCGTCGAAGATAGTTTAGATGGCATGGTCAAAGAAATGAGGGAGCTTCTTCTAGATCATCGTAAAACTCCTCCAATAGTCCAACCTAGTACACCTCCGGTATGTAGGCAAAATGTATGCCCATGGCGTCTAAAATCCCCATTAAGACCATTTCTGTTGTTGACGATCAGAGTCGAGTATCTCCTTCAATTTATAAGAAAACGGTATGGAAAGATTCATTGTCCCTGCTTCGTTCAACAGAATGTATAACTCAACAATCTCTGTTCGTTATAGATATACCCATACCCATCATTTGATGAGTTATACAAGAAAACTGCCATCCCAAAAGGGACCATAAAATTGAATCAAGAACAGCAAGTGATGGTAAGTAAAGTAGGTGGAGCTTTTCAGAGTTATATCAGCTACTCATCATTCATAGGTAAAGCGAGCTTTAAGTGGTGCCGGATTCGACACTTTATCCATCAAAACGGCTATGGTGCAGTTCCGTGATATTTGCAAGTTGCGACCGGATACGTGGCTTAATGACGAGGTTAGAAAAGTTGCAGCGCGGGAGCTTTTATTGACATGACAGGCTGTTTTTAATGACATACTGCTTTGCCAGATCATCAATTTTTATATGGAGCTTATTTCGGATCGGTCGCAAAAGAACCAATCCAAATATCCAGCTATTCATTGTTTCAATACGTTCTTTTGCACGACGTTACTGGAGTCGGGATATGCGAAATTGAAACGCTGGACGAAAAGGGTAGACATTTTCTCAAAAGATATGGTATTGATACCAGTTAACAGTAGCCTACACTGGACGCTGGCCGTCTTTGACTTTCGGAAGAAGCAGCTGGCCATGTACGACTCTCTCGGTGGAAACAATGTGCGATTAGTCAAGGTATTTTGTGGGGTTTTTGTAAACTTACTACTTGCTTTAGAGACATGCTTACGATTTGGTACTATCAGGCCCTACTTCAGTATCTGGAAGATGAGCATATGGATAAAAAGAAGACACCGTATGACGCCTCAGATTGGAGTATTTATGTCCCAAAAGTAAGTTATAGTCATCATCATGGGTTTAGGGAGTCAATCTAAAGCTGACCATCTTGCAGGATATTCCACATCAAAGAAATGGCGACGACTGTGGTGTTTTCGCATGTACCTTTGCGGAAAGGATATCAAGGGACAACGAATTTGATTTTACGCAAAGCGATATGATAGACTTAAGGCAGAATATGGTATACGAGATCATACAGAAACAGCTACTTGTAACATGATCTACAATTCATTTCAGCATATGCATAATATTTAATACAATATGCTTTTCAAAATGACATAGCCAGTATCGGATGTGCGGGACGAGGAAAACTTAAATGGATATTTGTTAGTGTCTATGATGCACGGTGTGCAGATGAAAAAGCACAATAAATATATACAATGTGGAAATGAATATGAGCTATAGGTACAGAATCGGCTATGCTACCGACCTTGGGTATCTCAAACAGCAGCATTGAGTATTCCGACAAGAATGCTACCAACAATAACGACGCCAACCACCACAGATATGGTTCGCACGATTAACGCCTCGATTCGCTTTGCCCTCTGGCGTATGAACATTCCACTCGTTGACATGCTTTGGTCATCGTACCGGTCGCTAGCTATCAGGAGAGTTATGAAATTGCTCAGGGCGTATTCGCCATCTAAATGAAAAGCCGGAAGAATGTTTAAAAGAGACAATGCCAAAGTGAAGGATGACATGTAGCTGTCGAGTGAGGAAATGAAAGTTGTCAGAACGGATCATGGTGAAATATTAATGGGTGGTATCAACAATGACTTTCACATACCTAATGGTGAGTTCAAGCATGTGAGGTAATGATACAGGCAAAAACGAAAAGCGTGGTTGAAGAATGCCAACTTTGACTGTTTGAAGAATGAAAGTTAGATTAGCCAATGTCACTTACTAAACGCAGTGACCTCTTTGATACACTTACCGCTTTCCCAAATGTCTACCAGTTCTCCAACAAATACAAACGATTTGTCAGGTGTATGTGGGTCAGATGTTGCCCAGGTCGGTGGCCTATGGTATATTCTGACCGTTTGTGCTTCCGGATATGGCGTATATGGGGTCATGCAGCGGCTTTTAGCACCTTCACAATCAATGCTTCGAGAGCATTGTACTCGTTTTGGATGCGTCAGCGTATTAGTAGTCGATAAGCAAGTCATATACTGTGGATCATGCATCTTTTCCAATAGTGACGGTCAGTGATGAACTGTTACTGCTGTTTTGCTAAAGCCAAACGTTATCTTACCGGATTGTTGACTTCTGACAAGAAATCCTGGAAACATCCAAGCTCAGGGTTCGATGCCTTTCCAAATGGAAACTCTCGACTAATTTTGCAACAGTCGAGATTTGCCTTGGAATCTGATGATCAACTTGGTGTTAACGCTACTCTACCTATCTCCAAAGCCTTTTCGCTGATGCTATACCTGCAACTTCTAATTCATCGCTGTCCACACAAAATCCAGTCGAAGGTCGACTCCAGGCTCCTTCTTCAACCAACACTTTGTTCCAGTCTTGGATGCCGTTCTTCAGGTCATTGTCGTTCAATCGATAGATGACAGATGAAATAGGTAGGTGTTGGAATAAAGGCGAATCAGCACGAACATCGACCACGCTAACACCTCCAGATCCTTCCAGTGAACGCCATCCAAATATCTCCAGACCAAATTTAAGTCCACTTGAGAGCACGAGTGCGGTTATGAGCCAGAGGACAAAATTGTGCCAGACCCCAGCACAAATGACTTTGAGTTGCCGCCCAGGTGGCAACAACGAAAGCGGCCGTGACGGGATGTCTACGAAGGCACCAGGGTATAAGATGTATAAAAACATGCCTGAATGATTAATGGGAATATGCTCATGAAAGCTTGCAATCGCATGGCCGGCTTCATGAAGAACACCGGATATAAGTAAGGCGATAAGATAGTAACCTAAATGTTCAAGTGGTAAAGTCACGCCTGGGATCTGTTGAAGGAAAGGGTGATGAATGCTAACGTTCGCCAGAAGGAGAGAAAGATAATAATTACCAACCATTGGAAGTAAAACTGGGTCTTCAGCCGACTGCTGTTGATAGAGATTGGTATCGTCTCGCTTGCGTAAATTGCCCGAATGAACCGCAGGTTGCATGCGAGATAGGATTGATCCAACCGAGACCAACAGTTGGATGGCTGCATAGAACATGGTGATGATACCGACGATCATCGCAATTCCTCCAAACACGACACCAAGGTTGAACCAAGTATTCCAGAATTTGGGTGCAGCCATAGCAAGTCGATAGAAATATTGGTTAAAGCGGTTGGTGTGGTATCGGATATGAAATAATTTGACTTCGCAACTCGATGTTAAGGCGTGAGGTTGATGGCTCCATGTTCCATCGTCATCAGATTCCAGAATATCTTGTGCACTTCTGGACGTAGGCAAAAGCTCTTCTGCTTCGAAAGACCGCCGAGATTTGGTCGATCCGTTTGGCGATCCAATCTACATTGCAGACAGATATTGAAGATCAGCAAAGATGGCGCGGAATTGATGTCATGGAGTTAACACAAAAAGCTCGCAATACAATACCAGAGAAAAGCGTTTGAGGATATACACAATGGTGTAGACTATTCCCCAAAAGACAAGGAATTGCACAATGAGCCAAGCAAACAACATGTCAGCACAAGCAAAAAAATTGTGCTGGTGCACGTAAAAATCCTTAACGGCATTTTTCCAATGCCGCAAAGTCAAACAATGTAAAGCAAATCATTCTCATAATAAAGGGGTTTATAAGAAGCGTGTTATGTTTCTGCGGAAAAAAAAGACACGGTTTACAAGTTGCTAAAGTGTTTAATAGAATCCCCAAGAGTATTCACCCATTTGTAAGGCAGAGAATATATCATATTTAAAGAAAAAAAACGGAGTCGCAAACAATTCGCAGTTTAACAGCAGCCGCCGCCTTGTTGTGGTTGGACTGAAGCGCCGGGTCCAACCTTGACAGTAGATTTGGAGCCTTGCTGTGCCTGCACCGTAGCGCTGCCCATTCTATCTTTGATTTGCTTCGCCATAGTCAAGAAAGCTTGTTCAACATTGGTGGAGTTCTTGGCGGAGGTTTCCAAGAACGGGATGGTAAGTGAATCAGCAAATTCCTAAAAAGACAAGGATGAGGCTGCGTTCAACGTATTACATGGATGGTGGCGATACCTTACCTTAGCAGCATTATAGTCGACAGCCTTCTTATCTGCAAGATCACTCTTGTTACCAACCAAAAGCTTGTTGACTCCTTCAGCGGCATATCTATCAATTTCCTGCAACCATTGCTTAACGTTGCTGAAGGTTTCTTGGTCTGTGACATCGTAGACAACGATGATACCGTGAGCACCTCTGTAGTAGGAGGAAGTGATGGTTCGGAAACGCTCTTGACCAGCAGTATCCCACTAAAGAATAGCATAAAGTGTTATCAACGTAGAATTGGTTGACAGGCACTGGCCGCATGAAACATTGCTCAACTTACGATTTGCAACTTCACAGTCTTTCCTTCCAACTCGATAGTGCGGATTTTCTGGTCAGAGAAAAAAAATGAAACAAGTTTCAGGATTAGTAGCCATATCTAACATGAAGTGATTTGGTGAAAGAGTCGGGTGGTGTTGAAGGGTGTGCATTATATTCACTGGTTTCAAGCAGGCGCGAACTTTTTGCGATTATTTTTTCATAGCTTCTCAGCAGAGATTGATGGATACGTAAGATAGATGTTGTCTCCCACATGATAGGAGGAGGGATGACATGACTGTTGTACAGTGTATTGTGACCAAACGTAGATATGAAAAATAATAAATAATATAATACTCACGAAGTCAACACCAATGGTTGAAATGTAGCTTTCTGTGTAGGTATCGTCAGCAAAACGAAGAAGCAAGCAAGACTTGCCAACACCTGAATCGCCAATTAGCAAAAGCTTGAAAAGATAATCGCTGTAAAAAGGATCAAATTAACAAGATGATATCATTAGTGTACGTAGTGGGAAGCGGACATCTGTAGCCGTTGAAATGTAAATCCTTTGCCTGGCTGTGGTCAATGGTTGTTGTCAAGTCCATGACCATCAACCAAGTCATACCAAGAATTATCCATCAAGGCAGGGATGTCAGCAGAAAATAGGAGATGCATACTATTCCGGGTTCATTATGTTGGAGTATGGGTAGATATCAAGGTCCTTTGCGCAACCGCTTGGCTCAAAGAGAATGTCATTGCATTGCACGTGCCCCGCTGACGTGGAGTATCACGTGATTTATTCTCTTTTTAAAATTTTCTGGGCAACATCAGTCTGATGCCATTAAAGCATGCAGCAACACGGAATACGCTGGGTATGCGCACAAACATGTAACACTTGAAATATTCATCATTCCATACTACAAAATTTCTTGTCCTTTCCATAGATCAGAGTGCAGCGGCCATCCTTTGCCTCCGTAATTCATTATCCTGGTTATTAGCTTGGCTTCGCTGCCGTTTTGTGCACGTTTCCCCGCCGATCATTAGTATTGACAAGACAAGTGTATTCTTATTGACAATTTAGTTTTCATACTCTATACTCTAGGGAAGATGCTGCAAATCTACGAGTTAGATTTCATTTGTTTACAATTGAAGTACCTTAACACTTTTTTTGCTCTATTTCCTTTTATTATCGCCTTGAACCTTACCATACCCGTTTTCTTTGCCGAAACATTATCTTTGTATACAAAATGTCGTTGAGTCTTTGTAACTTCATCCCACCTTATGCTAAATTTCCAAATTTGATCAAAATAGACTTATACTCAGCTTTGTGCCTTCGTTCTTTCAGTTTCGTCCACACTCTTAATCATCTTTACTAATAGTAATAAGTGTGTCTTCCGCTTATAGTGCTCTGGTTCTGCCTCGGATTCATTTCAGCATCGGTTGCCATTACATAAGCCAATATTTCACAGCAATTAGTATATGGTGGTCAAGTAACGGAAACTGGGCCATGCATTTGATTTTCCCGTTCAGCACCATAGTGATCTATGAATGCCTAGAATGTTTCTGAATTGAATTTTGTACGCCACGGTCGCCGATCTAAAGAGAGAAAGGTAGAGAAGGCAATATTGAACATACAAAAGTCGTGTAAGCGCCAGATCAAGGGGTCCTGATAAACAAAATGCCATCTTTACGCAATACGTCTACAGATGAACGGACATCTCCGATTTAAGCCCTTTTCAAGAGCGAAAAAAAAACTGTCTGTGGTTCGAAAAATAAAAATGTGGTACAAAGTAGGGAGGAGCTGGAATATTTCAAAGTGCACAACGTCAAGACAATCAAATGAGCACCTTTTGAATGTAAAGAATATGTCACGATCGATGTGATTGGTTTCAGGCTTACGAAATGACATTGTACCTTGTATAGCAGATAAAAGGTACCTTGTTATTGTCTCACATTTGGCAATGCCAAACAACGACCGCACTGCACACAACATTTGGCCAAATTAGAGCACTCGAGCCAGTGTTGAGGTTGTTGTCTCGAGTGTTTGCTAAACATAGTGAGGCACTAAACCTGAATCTGTGGATCTAAGGTGGTTGAAAAATGCACTCAGGCGTAGCACGGTGGAAAAAAGATAAAAAAAAAAATTTATCGTTTCAAAATGCAAGCATGTACTGGTCTGCAATGTCCTGCAGTCCTTTATCGCTCCGCCACCCCTCTCATTTATTTCTACCCACATAGCTCCTTTTCTGGGCTGGAACACACTTTGTTTCTTTTACTCTCTTTTTTCTAGTGTCTTTCTTACCGTAAAATATTATATAAACCATCAACATCATCCTGGTTTGAAAAAGGGTTGAAAACCTTCCTCCTCACTTTCCATTCAACTTCTTCCTCTCAACATTCCTGTATGCTTTCATCCGAGGTGAATTCTTACCCTCTTGTATATCTACCTTTCGAAATCATACTCCACATACTATCATTTCTACCCATTCTGGATCTCTACTATCTACGCAATTATCTTCCAGAAGACTATCAAAGGTATATTGATGCTATCCTTTTACGACACCCTAATCTAAGCAGTCGCCGGCTGGTTCTCCGCGTGTCTGCTCCTCATCTTATGTATACCTACTATCCTGGCATGTGTCTTCCATCGATACCAAACGAATACGCACCATCCGACGAATGCAACGAATTAATTACTGGTCTGCCTACCACCCGCACTATCAATATGCGAATACAGCGTTTTGGACCGAAGGGAATTGAATTATTTCCAGAAGAAGATCAGTGGTTTCGCCACACTGATGCTGTAGGAGTTGCTGTTGTGTTACTGGAAAACGAGAATAGAGTTGCAAAGCGCAGCCTGCATGCCGCGGATCCTAGAAAAGGTGTATTTGCTCGGCAAGGGTACTTTGAAGGTGGGATTGCCTTTGAAACAGGCACTCAAGGAGGGACGGCAAGAGTTCGAAGTATGACTGTCGGCGTTCAATGGTTTTGTAATTAACACTTTTGACCCACACCCCTCTCAAAAAAGTGTACGCCCGTGACACCTAGCACACGTACATACGCTTACCACACACAACACACGCGAACAACCAACCCCCAATCTCCATCCCATCCAAGCCCTAACAACAACAAGCTTGGTTATCATCTGTATGACGGATACTTCTTAATGAGTATCGACGTTGCATTTGTTTTCTTTTCGCCTTTTGCCAGTTTATCTCATCCAACACAGTTTGACGGATGCTTTGGTGACCAGTCGGTGGAAAAAAAAAATATCGGAGAGTAGAACTTAGAAAATCTGCAAACTACCTGAAAAGGGGCCTCACACACACATCATTTGTATGGTAGCGGAAATGCTGAGCTGGTTTCTCTATGCATTCGATTACACTTTCTTTGGTGAGGGCTGTTTAGGCCCAAATCATCAAACGGAAATAGATTTGTACGCCATTCTTCAATATAGGTACTGGTCAGATCCACACGGATTTCCTTTTTACTTCCCTCCAATCTCATTGTATAGTGTAAGAAAATACATCTCCTTTTTTCGTCATGCAAGTGGATTTCTTTTGGGGTGGGCAGGACATCTTTTTTTGTAACGGCCACGAGCCCTACTCGCGGCCTTATGTGAGCGATCGCGACTGCCATCGCTCCCAAATTTTGTCATCCTACCTATGCTGTTCGAATTTACGATCCCCTTGCAAATCATTCGAACCATACCAATCCCGGACGCACCAATCGGGTGTTCCGCGAGTTAATAAAGACGGATACACAGAATATCAATAGCTAGACCCATATGCCACGGTCTTTTTCTCTAAGACGTTACCTTACAGCACGCATTGCTGTCGATCAAAATATTAGCAGCCACCCAAGTTGGGGACTCCAAATTTCGCAACCTGTTTCATCGGTTGCCTTATTTAGCCGGTGTGGAATATTCGGCAGAGTTATTCCACCCACTGGAATTTTTCATATCGGGCTTTCAGTCACCCACCCCACCTTTATTGCATGCAACTGTGATGGCGGGCTGTAAATCGTTCAGTTAGTGGGTGGTACCACACAGCAGCGATACTTTAAGTTCAGCAATACCTTGACATATCGCATGCTCCTCTCAACACCATGTCTTCACTTGGTACGTTGAGCGAAGACACAATTGTTTGTAAGGTCAAGTCTGAACGTAGAACCTTAGTAGGATAATCTCTTTCTCAGACACGTTATACGACCGCCGCCGCCAAGATGCATTAGAGATTATTTATTTTCCCACTCCGCTTCTGTTGTACGAGTTGAAGTATGTTGTATGTTGCGACTTCGCAATCAGTCTCGCTATCGGGGCCGCAGAAGACTCCATTTATTACGGTGTTGGCATTGAACCAATGCCACATTATTTTTCCTTCTTTCCATGACACTTCAGATTTGAATGGGTCGAAAGTGGAAGTAATAAATATAGAATCACTATATGCGCACTACATCCATTGGCTAATGAGTGAAATGCAATTTAAAAATTATATTTAGACAAGACATGATTCATTGTATTGTCTAGCTTACTTGCTCACAAACAGCGTTGTTGTGGTTCGTTAATACCACTTTGGGGTGGATCATGCCATGCCTATTTGACAGTAATTGATGGAAGCATTCAGTCCACACATCTCTTTCTGTTCCCGTTCCATTCCCTGAAAAATTTCCATTACAACTCGTCAAGTCTGCTCGTTTTCCAATGACAAGTTCTGCTAACTATATTCGCAATCGCGTCCACTCCCTTCCCTCCTTTAGCTCGTTTTTACAAGGCCAACCCCACGAGTGGCATTATGGTGATTCCTCACATGGTTACCAATATAACACTGCGTACACTGCTCCCACATGGTATCAAGACGATAGAGAGATGGCTGCTGCCGCTAGTTTATTGAACTTGCAAAGTTTAGGACAGTCTGATTCGGACAATTCAATGTGCTCTTCCATTTCATCGATTCGTACTTCTAGCCCTGTTCCTCAAAACGGTAGCATAATGGATGATATGGAGTCAAATTCTAGCCAAGCTGCTGACGATAATTATATTAAGAAGAAATTAAGGTCATCAGCCAAATCTACTCCACTCACTGCAAGGCCAGCTGTAGTTTCAAGCCGTCGTCATGACAAGAAGAAGCCAAGATGGAATAATGCAGAACGAAGCAATCTATTTATGGCTATCATGAAAGATAAGCAACTGGACAATATGGCCACCTACAACTGGGACAAAATTGCCATTGACGTTGGCCGCGCTAGAAAGGCTTGCAAAGACCAATGGAGACGCGAGGTACTGCCAACCTTTATTCACCACCTCAAGGCCGATCTTTTTCAGTAAGCAGTTAATACCTTGACGCTGCAGGCGAGAGTCGCTCCCTTAAAACTGTATAATTCTTCAATAGTACATAGCCTATCATCATCCACTCATTTAGACATCTCCACTCATTTCTGTAAATTTCCAATATTGTACTTCCTCCCCTTTGTTGATAACACCACATTCTATCGATATACTCCCTCCATCCTTTACATCCACAATATTTTACACTAGATGCTACATATACATTTCTTACCGCTTCCATCTCATCATGTGATAACATATCTCTCTACACCTCTTACATATACTTATAATAAATATATTTTTGCGTAATTTTGCCTTTTCTATTCCTGTGTATTTGCACAAATGTACGCATACCATGGCAGATCGATGATTTACATCTAATAATCACAAAAAAAGTAGTATAGATACAATGCGTATAGTGCATATCTATGCAGTATGCAAATAAAAAAAAATCGGTGGATGTAAAAAAAAAGAACAAAGCAAGAGGAGATATCTAGTCTCATTTACTATATCCACTTCCTACTGTCAAATCTTCGTCGTGACCTTCGTCTTGGCTACTCAGAGAAACTCGTGTTTCCTGATTAGAATTTCGCACACTTCCCATTTGATAAACTCCTTCTTTGGGCAAATCGTCTCCGGGATAACGACCAGTGACCTTGCCAGCGAGTCGTTTGATCCATGGAGGTAAAATGCCACTACCTGATAGATGATGTCCAGACCATGGTTCCTTTTGCGTCTTGTCAACCAATAATCGACCGAACGAAGCTTTTTCAATCAACCATACGGAAATGTTGATGGCAATGTAGGTGCAAAGGCCCCCAATCATACCGTCGGCTAGTGCGTATTAGTTAGTAAATTGCAAACACATTCCAATCATGAAAACCAGTGTACATGATACTTACCGATACTGTAAGTCAGAGGCTGCAAAAGATGATTTCATTACAATGGTTAGAACTGTTCATAATCAAAACCAAAACGTCCCTTCACAAACGGACAGTAAGCCTTACCATAAGAGCCATTGTCAAAAATGCAGGTACCGCATCTCCTATGTAACCCCAGTTTACATTGATGACATTCTGAATCATCATAGATCCGACCAAGACCAAGGCAGGGCCCGTAGACCAAGGAGGAAATGATGCAAATATAGGAGAAAAGAACAAGGAAATGAAGAAACCAAACGATACCGTCAGACCTGCAATACCAGTACGAGCGCCTTCCGTGATACCTGCTCCAGATTCCACAAAGGTAGTACACGGCGAAGTACCAAACAGTGCACCAATGGCAACGCAGAGAGAGTCGCAGATGAACGCAACGGAACTACCCTCAAAGTCGCCTCGTTCATCCATGTAGCCTCCAAATTTAGCCATAGAATATAAGGTACCAGTGGTGTCCATAATATCGACATACAAAAGTGTGATGAGAGCAACCCAAATTTCACCACTGCTCAAGTCGAATTTCAGCACAGCAAGAGTCTTCTCAATAGGATGGAATGTGACGACTTGCTTAAAGAAATCGAACGCAGCATCGCCTGAAGCAGTGTAGGGAAAGAAGGTCACAGCCGTATTACGTGGCCATGAGATGATGGCAACAATCAGGATACAAATAAGAATTGATCCTTTTACTTTGAACAGCGACATCATGGTCATCAAATATATGCCCTTAATAATGTTATGATTTAGCTTACCAAGTTCGCTTCATTCATCTGCATTCCAGGGACTTACCATGATACCCAGCCACGTTCTACCAGACTCCATATGATGTGCTAAGCAAACGCCGTTCTAATAAGCAATGATAAAAGATTAATGATATGATGTATTCTATAAATGTATGGTTGATTGTACCTACCTCGTCTTTATACTGACTATCGCAGCCACCTAGTTGGACAATGAATTTAACAGTTAGCCAGATTGGCTGACAGCAAAAGTAGTATGAGCAAACGTACCAAGAGTGACAAGAGTAGATGCATCGGCAGTGATGAGTCCGATTCCAGCAGAAGTTTGGAGGCCAATAAAGCACAAATATAAGCCAATACCAGCACCGGTAGCAATTTTTATACTAACAGGAATAAGTCGGGCCAGGTATTGTCGGATTCCGAACACCGACATGAACAAAAAGATGAGACCCTTCACAAAATGACAATATGTAAATACCAAATGATCAACTTAAGGGACAATGCTAGACGTTTAAACACTATTCAATCTCACCTCAATAAATACAGCCGAAATGGCCACTTCGTAGGATGTACTGCCACTACCGTTGAAGCTAAAAATTCAAAGCATTAAGGAATCAGAAATTTTTTTTCTTTTGACAGGTGGCGTTCAATTCGGCATTATACCTACCCAACAACGGTATAAGCAAAATATGCGTTCAAACCCATTCTAAAAAGAAAAAATCACTGTTATAATCGAACATGTCCCAATCAGCATGTAACTCGTTTATGGAACTGAAACTCACCCAGGTGCCATTCCCATTGGCAAATTAGCAAATGTGCCCATGAGGGCAGATGCCAGACACGCAATGGCGCAAGTGGCAGTAATCAAATCTTGTCGCACGATGAGTTTGCAAGCTTCGTAGTCAGGGTCGCCTACACATAGTGCAGCGTTTCCAGTTGCCCCTTCTGGCGGACTGCATATGCATGGACCGCCTATGGACTCATATATTAATACAATGGTTTACGATCGCTTGGAGTGGGCTCAAATGTTAGTCCTACCTGAATCGGCAATGATTGTCGAATTGACAGATATAATATAAGCCTAAGCAAAGAAAGTACGTGAACATTGGTATGCCATCAATGAATTATATACGATGGTGTATACTTACCATGGCAACAAAGGTAGCTAATCCACCACGAAGCTCTGTCAAGAACTTGGAGTTTAGACGCTCCTTCTTTGCACCAGATCCTTCGAGCTGGAAGTGTCGGCCAAATGCTGAATTAGCCACTCTATTATTGATCCTATCAGTGAGTGACATGGTTGAGAGGCAAGCCGTCAAAATTACACAATAATTTTTTTCCTGAAAAAAAGTCCGTTTTCATGGGATTGAGACCGAAATGTATCAAAAAGTCACTTTCATCATTGTGGTTCTGAGACCTTTTGCGCACGACACTTGATTTGATCGATAGAAAGCAACTTATTTTATGGTGAGGGTAACATGTATATATACAATATGCAAAGGACAGTGTGTCTTTTGTTCTCTCTAAATTACAGAGGCAGGTGCACATTGCACGAAGATGAGGTATGTCTATGAAGAATATGTGAACGATATCCAGCCGCGGCGAATTCTACAGTCTCCCCTGTTCCTTAAGATCGTTCTGTTCTCTTTCTGAAAGACTCCAAAAACTATGTTTCTTAACATTGAACCATCGTCTTATCTAAATACAAGGTTGGTCAAATGAATGCCTTCAGTCAAAAAGGAAGTTTTCGTCTGCGTACTTACAGGTGAGAAACAATGCTTTTCTGTGCCAAAATCAGCAAACAAGACAATGTAGGTTGTAAGGACTGGTAAAAAAGAAGGGGGGAGGGGTTTCAATTAGATTTTGAAGACAATGGCGAACAGTGTCTTGGGTAGAGCTGGACCTTGTCGTCAACTTACCAGCGGAAATGCCAATGGCACCAATTTGAATTCTTCTCGATCGCATGTTAGGTGCTAGTGATTGTGGACTATGCAATCTTCTGCGATACCGATCTTCAAGTCGAGGATCGACCTTATGGTCAACTAAAGGCAGTTGGTCCAATCTTCTATTCATGGTGGTTATGTACTGTTTGTACTTCGTTGATGGAGTTGTTGCTATAAAATAAAAAAATATTCAACAGGCCAAATAATTGTCTTCTCTCGGAGCTTGAAGGTGGTTTGCTCTGTCGGTTGGTAGATTTTTCTTTCCCGGTACTGAAGGAAAGGTCGCCAGAGTTTTTTACCTCAAAACCCAAACACGCTACAATATGTGATCACTTGGAAGTAATCGATGTCTTCTACGCTATAACTACCATTGTGTTACAGAATAGCAGACTCGATGTCGATTGGACTCCGAGTGCCGACTCCTCATTGGCTCAAATTTGCTAGTTCCTCGACTGTCACTTGAAATTGGTTGCCACGTACTGTAGCTTTAAGATTCCGTTCTCAATATCATTACCATGCCTTTGCGAACGTGGGCATTGGCATGCTTGGCGGTTCTAACACTCTTCGTGTTATCCGAAGCAGTGAAAAAAGAAGACTTCAAAACATGCTCGCAGTCAGCCTTCTGTAGACGAAACCGTGCTTTGGCGGATTCGGTCAATGCAGATGCTCATTGGACCTCTCCTTACACTTTGGTGAAAGGCAGTATTCGATTTTCAAACAACTACATGACAGCCGATGTTCAAAATACCCAAACAAACAACGTTCTGGTTTTGGAGTTGCAAGTGCTGGTTGATAACACGGTTCGAGTCCGCATGGATGAAAAATCTCCAATTCTCCCTAGATACAGAGATCACGAACAGTTTACACTGGTAGACAAGGCGAAGCCAATCAAACCATTCCAGAGTGGAAAGAACACCGACGGCGTCGTCAAGATCGCCCTTGATGCCGAACGCAAAATCGTCGTCACGCCCTCTCCTCTCGTTATTGAGTTCTACGTCAAAGACGAGCCGGTTATTACTTTGAATGACCGCGGTTTCTTCAACTTTGAGCACTTGCGTACGAAGGAATCCCATAAGCCCAAGATGGTGAAGCAAAAGAAGGAGGATGGAACTGAAGAGGAGGTTGAGGCTCCTGAGGAAAAAGATCTTTGGGAGGAAACCTTCAAGACTTGGACTGATTCAAAGCCTCGTGGCCCTGAATCTATTGGTATGGATATATCCTTCAACGGATTTAGCCATGTTTATGGTATTCCCGTAAGTTGGATTCTTCAGTGCTGTTTCTTTATGTTTGCAGTCCTTGGACGCGCCGGCCTAAATTCTGACAATCTACAATATTTTTAATTTCTGCATTAGGAACACGCAAGTACCTTCTCTCTGAAGGAAACTCGTGGTGGTGAAGGTGCATACGAAGAACCCTACAGACTTTACAATGCTGATGTGTTTGAATATGAAATGGACAGCCCTGCTGCTCTTTATGGATCCGTACCTTTCATGATGGCTCATCGCAAGAACGAATCTGTTGGTGTTTTTTGGATGAACCCCTCAGAAACCTGGATCGATATCGTGAAGACAACCGAACAAGCTGAAGGTGTAAGTGTTTTCTTTAAAAAAAGCAACTGGCACAATACTCTTGCTGGCTATGTCATATTTAACCCTTCTCACAGACTGCCGTTCAAAAGGTGCTCAACCTTGTCAAACCCTCTTCCAACAAGAAGAGCACAAAGACTCATTGGATCTCGGAAGCTGGCATTCTTGATATTTTCGTGTTCTTTGGTCCTAGCAGCAAAGATATTTTCCGTCAATATACTCGTTTGACTGGTCAGCCTGCCATGCCACAAAACTTTGCTATTGCCTACCACCAATGTCGTTGGAACTACATCAACCAAAACGACGTGCACGAAGTTGACAGTCAATTTGATCACCATGATATACCATATGACGTAATTTGGCTCGACATCGAACACAACGATGGCAAACGCTACTTCACTTGGGACAGTGGTAAATTCCCTGATCCCATCAAGATGCAGAAGGAACTGGACCAAAAGGGTCGCAAAGTAAGATATTTCAGGATACATTGAATCTTTGCCGTTGACTTGTGACTAATGCTTGCTCTAGCTTGTTACCATTATCGATCCCCACATCAAGAGGGATGACAACTACTACGTCTGCAAGGAAGCCAAGGACAAGAGTTTGTTCGTCAAGCAGCCATCAGGCGACGATTATGAAGGCTGGTGCTGGCCTGGACAGTCTTCCTGGGTTGACTATACCAATGCCGAGTCTCGCAAATGGTGGGCTGATAAGTTCAAGCTTGACAACTACGAGGGCTCCACTGAAGCTCTGTTTGTTTGGAACGACATGAATGAGCCTTCCGTCTTCAATGGTCCCGAAATTACTATGCCCAAGGATATGGTTCACAATGGAGGTTGGGAGCATCGTGTCCTTCACAACGTTTATGGACAAATCTACGTAAGTTATGATCCATACATTGTAACCGTGCTTTCATATTGATCTTTGACTCATGTTCTTGTAATAGCACGGATCAACTGCACAAGGTCTTGAACAACGCACCAATGTGCCCAAGCGACCATTTGTCTTGTCAAGAGCATTCTATGCTGGTACTCAGCGTTTCGGCTCTATCTGGACGGGTGATAATATGGCCCAATGGGATGCTCTTCAAGCATCTATGCCTATGATCCTGACCATCGGTGTCTCAGGTATTCCGTTTGCAGGAGCCGATGTTGGTGGATTTTTCAACAATCCATCCACTGAGCTGTTGGTCCGATGGTACCAAGCCGGAGCTTTCCAACCTTTCTTCAGAGCCCATGCCCATATCGATACAAAACGCCGAGAGCCCTGGTTGTTTGGAGATCCTTACACATCCATGATTCGAAGCGTTGTTAGGGAGAGATACGCGCTGTTGCCTTATTGGTATAATACCTTCCAAGAAGCCCACGAGACTGGTGTACCCATCATGAGACCCTTGATGGTTGAATACCCTGAGGATGAAAATGTATTTGCTATGGAAGACCAGTATTTGATTGGAAGCGGTATCCTGGTAAAGCCCGTCACCGAAGAAGGCGCTACGCAGACGAATGTTTACTTCCCACCTAGCGACATTTGGTATGATCTGCATACACACAACCTTGTTCATGGCCAGGGATCCCAAGTGGTATCCGCGCCGCTGGATGTTGTTCCGGTATTCTATCGCGGTGGTTACATCGTTCCTCGTCGAGAACGCCTACGTCGCAGCTCTCATGCCATGACCCTTGACCCCTTCACCCTGGTCATTGCCTTAGATAAGCAGGTTAGGATCGTTGATTTCCGAAATTTTTCTTTCTTCGCCTCATACTGACTTCATTGTTGTTTTTAGGGTGAAGCCAATGGTAGCTTGTACCTTGATGATGGAGAAACATATGCTTACGCAAAGGCGGAATTTTTGAAAGGTCAATTCCACTTCGAAAACGGCGTTCTTTCTTACAGTATCGCTCACTCCGGCTCACAGTTTGCATCCACCATTGCCTCTGTACGTGTTGAACGTTTGGTGATTCTCGGTCAAGTTACAGCCACCAAGGCCGTAGCTACCGATGCCGCTGGGTCACGTCAACTCCAAATCGAAGAAACAAAGAGTGGAAAGATCGTTGTTAGAGATCCTGCCGTCCTCATTACCGAGAACGGATGGAAGATTGAACTTTCCTAAAGGTTCATCTCCTTGGCCTTAGAGTTTCAGTTTTTTCTTCGAAAAATAAAAAAAAAAACACACTGTTTACTTTTCCACTCATCCTGCCCTTACGATAGCAAAAGCTTGAGAAATTCATCCATCAGGTTAGAATAATGCAGCTTGAATTTATTTTATTTCGCAAAAATACTCATTTCCAAAAAGAAAAGAAAAAATATACAAAAAAGAAACCAAGAAAAGCCAGAAGAGATATGAACACGACCATAGGCGCAAAAGCACCATAATTACCCAAAAAGAAAGATAAAGATGTGGGAGAGTCAGAATTGTGACAAAATCATGATAAGACGTCGATTGCATCCTGTGCGATCGAATCAATTAAACATTAACGGACGGTCAGTAAATGTATGCACGCAGAGATACTCTCTACTCGTGGTATTGTAAGGAGTGCATTGATGCAAGGAGGTCGGATTGCGTTGGAACTTGTTGCGATCAATCTTCCATACGGATATGCCAACTTCGAGATGTACGCCTGCGTAAATCTTTGCGTGTTTTTACCCCGGCAGGGGTAAGCCATTGCAGCAGTTTTGAGATGGTGACGGACAGTTTCGATGGCCGACGAGCCTCGGTGTATAGTAGCTTTAGCTCTGAATCATGGGGCAATGATGCTCGCTTTGTATTAGCGCTAAAAGCAGCAGTATGATGTGACTTGCTTGTCAAAAGAAGAAGAGAGGGGTCGCTTTTGGTGGCGGGACGATCTGCGCCTAGTGCTGCAGCTCGAGCCCGAGTTGTCTCGAATGACATCTCTCCTACCACCGTACTACTTGCCCATGGAGATCTTGTTGAATTGGACGATGAGCGAGGTGTTGTAGGTAGCATGAATGAATCATTGTGATATGGGAACATTGAATATTGTGGAGTTTCAATGAACGTATCTTGGCTCATGCTACTTCTTGATCGTTTCGATCGTCTAAACGTCGAGGACGTGGGGGAGATCATTTTCTCCCGGTCCAACGACGCTTGAAATCTCCTAACGAGTTCTTCGGGACTCGATTCCTCAGCAGTGTATCGGGAGTGGTAATGCAAATTTTCGGTCGTCAGGGGTGTTAACGGCCGAAGGGCTGACGAATTAGGTCTATGCAAAGACAAGGTACTTGAATACAAAGAAGAGCTGCCAGAGCTTTCAGTGTCCAGATAAGTACTCAGTGCCGGTTTGAGCATTTCGATGAAGAGTGTATGATTGAAATTGACGATAGAGCCAAGGGACGAAAGAAACTCGGTTATGTTTTGGGAGAGAGACGATGACAGTTTGTCACAAACCGGTCCTTTATAAAAGCTTTGCGATGCCATCCACCTGTCCTTAAAGGGGTATACCGAATCAGTGATCGAAAATGAAACCGAAAAAAATGGCCTTAGTGGCTGGACGCGGGATCACTCTGTGTGTGTGCTGGCGCTGTCCTAACTTTTTTTGCTTTCCTGCCCGGCATCTCTTCATTTGAATATCGAAATGTTGTCAGGGCACTATCTCATTGTACAAACGTCAGAGTACGGAAATTATCAACAAGATTCGGATGATCATGCGTAAACCAGTCCTCGTATCCAGTCATGGCTTTTTTTTTCTCTTCTTTATTCTTTGAAAATTTAAAATCACGAAGCCAGTCAACGTCTTTGTCATGTTCAGCGACTTTGAGGATAGTATTCACGCAGCCCATGCATTTGACATTTTTAAAAACATGAGTGAGTGACATGCCCATTTTGAGAAGTTCTCGCCTGTGCTTGGTCCAGATCCGATAATCGGATGAGAAAAAAGAACTTCATACGACCGTAACGTCAAACGCCCATCGCTCAAAATTTTTTTTGCCCCTCCTTTTCGCATGTTCTCGTTACTAATTTTTTCCTTGAGCCATCACGGTAGGATCGTCGGTGTGCGAGGACGATCTGGCACGCATTTACAGGAAAAATAAAGATCTGACTTCGGCCTTACCCTACCATGAAGTGACTGCGGTGGAGCATCATTTAATGCTCTATTGCAGCTCGTTTGTCATGACAGTGATGTTGTCCTTGCTTGTCGTACAAGAATAATTTCTATCATGAAAAGGGTCCCGAGTCGCACTTCGCGTGCTCGACGAAACTCTTCGGGTAGCACTACAGATTGCTGGCAGGTACAAGAAATCTAGCCTTAATACAGCCAAAGTATACCTAAACATTCTTAACGCTGTTCAACATTATCCTCTACGATTCTCATGCCTTCTATTTGTAACGATTTGTCTACAAGACATAAAGATCATTGTGGAGAACCCCCAAAAAAAATTGGGCATGGGACCAACAATTCTGTACTTCGTATAAACGCACGATATTGTTAGGATTTCTCTGTCTGCACTTATTCAAACATACCCAAAAAACCTTTTAAAATGACTAATTCCAGTGAATAGCGTTATTTCCGCTAGAGAAAATGATAGTTATTGATTGCAGTGGTAGACTAATATACAATTGGTGTTTCTAAATCTATTTAGTGATGTCCATAACGTCTTTGTTTGTTGTAGAGGCTGCAGTAGGCGCAAGAGGTATTGCCGACGGATTCTGGACTGTTTTCGTCTTTATTCGCGCCATGCTGTTCTTGTCGCCATCCCAGGCTCTAAGTATCTTCACATTTTTGGGATTTTGGAGGTCTGGGAGTTCTATGGACCATGACGTTGTTTAGTATGGGCAAACCTATATCAGTCGACTTTGTTGAACACCACTACTTACCGAAACCTTTGCTATACTCATCATGTTCTCTTTTGACCAGAGCCTCCAACATATCCTGTCTACTGCTCTTGGGTCGCTTTGAATCTTTTCGGAGCGACTGGAGCTTTTCCAATTCTTCATCATTTCTGCTCAGATACCTATGGTGCGCAATGATGCGGAAGAAATTGCGGATCAGTAGTCAATTCAATTTTTTTTCTATAGTGGGATCTAACTTACATGTCAATCAAGCTGTGAAGTTCTTCGCTATTCGCACAAGGCAAGGAGTCGTCAAGTGCAAACTTGAACCATAACCAGCGATCAACTAAAAATCATGTTAAATTCAGCCATCAAAAGTGAAGATAATCATATCATCAAAACATACTTTTGGGATTTCCAATGGAATCCTTTGATCTTGCTCTCTGCTCCAGACGGTCATTGCGCATGACTACTCTAGTAAGCTGAAATGCCTTTCGGGACGATGGATGCATCGAGTCCCGGTTTTTGATGGTCTTTAACGTGTGTCTTTTGTTGTTTGGCTGTCCAACTTGCCGTTAGCTACTGGTATGTTAATGTCTTTCCAGAATTTCTGATCCACTTACCATTTTTCAACTAACAATTGTCCAAGAACAGACCAAAAAAAAAAATAATGAAAAGGCTTTTGTTAAACTTTTTTTTTTTCCTTTGTTTCTGAGTACGAAACTCGGTCCCGCTAATGGCTGTTCAGACACACCTGACAGGCCAACAGACCGGGCAAAGCAATAATAACCGGCTGGGAACTCTTTCGGTTGAGCTCCATTCTACCTTTCATAATGCCACCTTCTGAATGGACTCCGAGGGCATTACTAACAGCCGTTTTTCTTGGAGCAGCCATGGGGTTCCAGACCACTTGCGTCGCCTTTGCTGAATTCTTGTCCTTTCTCATTCGGCCACTGAGCGCAAAGTGGGCTAGCGTTTACTTGGCTCACCTTATGGAGCTTTGGTCTCAGCACCTGGTGTTCATGATACAGTACTTTGCTCCTGGAAACTTTATCATCACCATCGATAAGAGTTGTACGTCTTGGGTGAAGTCGGACGGTACTACCACTGATATCGGCATTGAAGAAATGATACGTAGAAAGAGCGACGGCACCATCGATACGCTTGCATTTCCACCACGGCTTATACTTATTTCAAACCATCAGGTACGTATGGTTCTCGAATGAATGTGATTTCTACAATGTATCTCATGTATCCCCGCAGATATACGCTGACTGGGTATACGTTTGGTGTCTGGCTCATCTTGCAAATGCTCATGGGTCAATGAAAATTATTTTGAAAGATAGCTTGAGAAAGGTGCCATTGGCAGGATGGTGAGTGCAACATCAATGAATCGACACTGTGTTGCTGTATGACATGTAACTAAATCAATGTTCTTAGGGTATGAAAATTTTTTGGGGGATTTTACTCGGGTTTATCGCAATCAAAGCCGTTTTCTAACCGCATTGTGAATACAGGGCATGCTCATATTTGATTTTATATTTATGAAGAGAAAACTTAATGAGGACCAAGCCAATATGGTCAATAATCTTGAGAGAGCAAAAAAGAACGTAGAGACACCAATGTGGTTACTGATTTACCCAGAGGGCACAGGTACGAAGATGTTCAAACATGACCGCACTGACGCATCATTTTTTTTTATTAATCCTTCAAACTACCTAAACTGTAGTCGTATCCAAGAAAACTCGCAAAATCTCTAAAGACTTTGCTGAGAAGTTTGGTTACGTGAGTTAGCTGAATGCCTCCTTTCTCTCTACCCTTTTTCCAGCTCTAAACTTTTTTTTCTTTCTAGAACGACCCCAAACACTTACTTTTACCGCGTTCAACTGGTCTTCGAATTTGCACCAATACCCTTGGAAACTCTGTAAAGTACATATATGATTGTTCAATTGGCTACAGTGGTTTAAAGTCTGGTGACATCCCAGAAGACGTGTATACTCTTCGAGGCATATTTTTCCTCAATCGATATCCCAAGGAGATACATGTACATTTGCGACGATATTTAGTTTCTGACATTCCTACTGAAGAGGAAGCATACGCGACTTGGTTGAGAGACCGATGGGCTGAGAAAGATGAATTATTGGCAGAATTCTACCGCGTAGGGGCCTTCCCAGGTGAAGAGTTGAAGACCAGCAGCAAGATCAAGATGGAGCGAGTGGTTGATGAGGATACCGGTGATGTTAAGGTGGTCCGCGCAGAACGTGATGATACAGTCTATCGTAGTTTAGAGGTACCCATCCAGCTCAAGCATACTCTACTAGACCTTACTCAAGTCTGGTTCTGCCTTCTTCCATACGTACCAATAGTAAATGGGCTTTGGGCCGCTTGCCATATAGGATGGATATTATTGCGTTCCAAATAACACAAATAAAAAGTTTGGCTAGTAGTTCGCTAATAAAAAATGAATCATGCCATAAATTTAATGCTTTGGTTTCTCACGTCAGTCCTCAATTTCAGCCGCACTGCCTAAGACCTCACCACCTTGTTCACCTCATGACAGATTTACTACCCATCATTTATCAAGTGGCTTTCATCGTTTCATTGCGTAAGTGTTTCAATCGAGTTATGGCAATCTGTCAAAGTACAAAGGAAGGTTTACCCCGCGGACTGCTAAACCCACCCTATATAACGATATGGTTCTTATTATAGCGTATGAAGAAGACTTCATCGATTTCATCGACGCGCACGCCAGCAACATGAAGGCAGTTCGAGGGTTCAAGCGCGCCACAGTGTACGTATGTGATCCTGACGAAGATCGCGGCTACGAAAAGCATGACAAGCTTCATCGCACCTTTTATATATATTACGAAGTAGAAGACGAAGAAAGCTTACAGAAGTGGATACAAAATGAAGTAAGATATGGGCTTTTCATCAGAAAGTCATGCTTTTCCATTCTTAACTTATCAGCATATGCCTACTTTCATCAGGAGCCAAAAATTATCAAAGACCTTGAAAAGCTACTCAAGTCTGATGATGAAAAAGAGAACATTATAGTTGATTTTCGTCAAGTACTTAATCCATTGGCCCAGTATAAACTGAGCAAGCAACAGAAGCGAAATCGCGCAGACTAGTCTTTCCCTATGTTCCATTAAAGTTGCATTAAAGTCTTCTTGATTATACAATTTTATCCTGCAGCTGCCATAGAGTTACATCCGTTACCTCCAAGCGCTCTACTAACCAGAACAAAAATTTATGGTCCGCAAGTTTCATATTCGCCTACATACTTTGCAAGACGCTGTAAGTCGGACATGCGTATCAATAGATATATGGCATCTCTTCAACGTATCATCAAGCGATGAAAAAAGTAATCATTATATAGCTGCTGATAAAGATTGTTTGAAACAGTGTTGATACGATATACTACCATTTAGCACGCCGAATTGTTGACGCAATTATCTGCCTAAGAAACCATGTCCCACAAATATATATAAGATGAGTTTTCAATCTACTTCGGTATTATCACTGCCAATCGTTAGTATCAGTGATTGCCAGACAGATTATGCCTGTGCTATCCACATATCGATAATTTGGGTATGTTTGACTGTGATTGGTTAAAAGCTTCTTTTCAAAAATAATATTTTGTCACAAAATCTAAAAAATCTCCTACGTCACGTTTATGGTAAATGCGGGTGACGTTTTGTTAACGCGCAACGAAACTTGACTGTCCTGAACGTTTGATACCTCGCTATTACAAAGACTATGCCGCCAAAGGAGAATTGGGAAAAGTGTAAGCATTCCTGTCGAACAGTGAAGATAAATGGATAGGTGTTATTCGAAGAGTGTTTCTAATGTTCCTGTCATTGATAATAGACGACAAAACCGTTGACGATGAGAAGGAAGACGAGAAGATTGTCGGTAAGTGCAACGAATTGCGTGCATTTTTCATAGCTTGGGACGTCTCACTAAGCCATTTTCTATCCCATAATAGCTCTCGATGAAGGAGATATTCAGCTATTGAAGACATATGTAAGCTGCATTTCTCGTTTGTACATTAAGCAACTCACCTTAGCAAATGAACGATGTGGACTGATTCAACTGTTCACAGGGTCAAGGACCGTACGCATCAGAACTCAAGAAAATCGAGCAAGATATCAAAGATACACAAAAACGAGTCAGTGAAAAGATTGGTGTCAAGGAATCCGACACTGGACTTGCCGCGCCAAATCTATGGGATATTCCTGCAGATAAACAGAGAATGCAAGAAGAGCAACCTTTGCAAGTTGCGCGTTGTACAAAAATCATACAGAGTACCGACGACGAGGCTTCGAAATATGTTATTAATGTAAAGCAGATTGCCAAATTCGTTGTTGAACTCGGAGAACGAGTATCTCCTACTGACATTGAGGAAGGCATGCGAGTTGGGTAAGTGACCTTAATCACAGCTGACGAATGAAGCGACAATTGAGCTAATGCAATATTCCATTATGTAGCGTCGATCGAACGAAATATCAGATACAAATTCCTCTACCACCAAAGATTGATCCATCAGTCACCATGATGCAAGTAGAAGAAAAGCCAGATGTCACATACAAGGACGTTGGTGGTTGCAAAGAACAAATCGAAAAGCTACGAGAAGTTGTTGAACTCCCACTCTTATCACCCGAACGATTCGTCAATCTCGGTATCGACCCACCAAAGGGAGTTTTGTTGTATGGACCTCCCGGAACTGGTAAAACCCTGTGCGCTCGTGCTGTGGCTAATCGAACTGATGCAACTTTCATTCGCGTTATTGGCTCTGAACTCGTTCAAAAGTATGTTGGTGAAGGTGCTCGTATGGTTCGTGAACTGTTTGAAATGGCCCGTACCAAGAAGGCGTGTATTATATTCTTTGACGAAGTCGACGCTATTGGAGGTGCTCGTTTCGACGATGGAGCTGGTGGTGATAATGAAGTACAAAGAACCATGTTGGAATTGATCAATCAACTTGATGGCTTCGACCCGCGTGGTAATATCAAGGTTCTTATGGCAACAAATCGTCCTGATACTTTGGATCCAGCATTGTTGAGACCTGGTCGATTAGATCGTAAGGTTGAATTCTCTCTCCCAGACCTTAAGGTAAATGAAACGTTTCGCATAATGGCTGGGATGTTGTCAACGGGCGCCGCCCTTGGCCCCCAACGTAACACATTATCTAAAACTTTGTTTCTGCTTGTTGTAGGGCCGAGCTCATATTCTGAAGATTCACTGCAAGAGCATGAACGTTGAACGAGATATACGTTATGAACTTTTGGCGCGACTTTGTCCTAACACAACTGGTGCAGAACTACGAAGTGTCTGCACGGAGGCTGGTATGTTCGCTATCCGCGCAAGGAGAAAGGTACGTAACGATGTTTCCATTCGGCATATTACCATTATGGTTTACTAAGTGCTCAGCATTACGTGACAGCTTGCTACCGAAAAGGATTTCTTGGAGGCTGTAAACAAGGTTGTGAAAGGATACCAGAAATTCTCCAGTACGCCAAAGGTAAAAATACGCATAATGTTTTTGGGCTTGAGCATTGGTGATGTGGTAATGTTATGGCTGACTTGCGTTTGTTTTACTTTTTGCTACAGTACCTCATTTGGAACTAGGTGGACGAGGATGGTTGTTGGATATCAATAAAATACATCACTGTAGAACTTGCAGTTTACACATTGACAAAATATAAGAAAGTTGGAGAAAGAGTGTGGTTCGTTTTTGCTAGCGATTTTTACAAGTTAAAGAAGTGACCGTCGTTGAAACAGCAAGGGAAAAAAGGGCCCTTCAACTACGCGCATGGTCACCACAAGATCATCTGAGTCGTTTGGTAAACAAAAAGGTGGAGCCACCAAACTTATTACGTCTTTACTTCATGGAAGACCAAAGTTATTTTGCCTATTTGTTCTCAAAGAACCATATTTGTCGCCAAGGACTCTTTCAATGGAGGCGTCACTGATTGTCCAAAATGAAAAAAAAAAAATTGACGTCGGTAATAACCAAAATAATTCTTTCAGAGTCCTCCAGATCAGTCGGCCATCCGGATTAGGATACGATGGTCAACAAAAAACTGGCTCATGTACTTCGGCGTTTGAGGCAGATGCCGAGATCCTCTTTCTTTTTCTTTTGTCTACATAGCACCACCTCCATCGACAAATACCTTGTTGAAAAGTTAAACCGCTTCGGTCGCTAAAAATTCACTCAGTTCTTGACATCAATGAAACGAAAGAACACCACCTCCTCCGTCGTGCCACAGATTGGAAGGTTACTCCAATCATTCGCCTTCATTTTCTGCGGTATTCTGTCTATCTTGGTCAGCGTTACCGATGCTAAAGGATCAGATCCATCGAACGATGGAACCTACGACTTTGACACACCTTACCACTGCTGCGGAACGATCATCCTACCTGACAAAGCTATATCTAGAAGTAAGAAAAAAAAAACCGTTTGACGACATAAAGGACCACGATGTAATCTCGGTTAACATTTGTTCTTTATTATTGTTGAATTTCAAAAGAGGATGGATATCTCTTGACTGTACATGGCGTGCTACTGGGAGTAGCACTCCTGTTGATTGGCCTGATTCTTCTACTACGTGGATATCACGAAACGGACGCTGGCATCAATAGTCGCTTTATCGCTGGTTTTATTACCATGGCTTTGATCAGCTGGGTTGTTCTGACCAATTTTGAACCTGCAAGAACATATGGCACGTACAGGTGGACTATTTACCTTGTGGTGTGTTTCGTAATAGGCGCCATAGGCGGACTGATCATTAGCTGCACATTCCATCTGTTCCTTATGGTCCTGAGTGCCCTTGGCGCTCTCGCCTTTGGACTGTGGTTGCTTGGATGGAAGAACGGTCTTCTTATTAGTACGTCATGGGGTAGAGCCTTATTCCTCAGCTTGATGGTGCTGGCAGGTCTCTGCGTTACGCCAGTGCTATGGTTCGCTCCGGCTCTTGGTGCTGCCTTCGCTGGCGCGTACATCTTCATGCTGGGCCTGGACATATTCGTCCACACGGGATTCACCTACGGTCCTATGTGCACATTGGATGCTAATCCCAACCATCGTAAGTGAGAATGGCATGAAACGGAACTACCATTCTATTTTAATCTGACACACACACACACACACATTTGTAGCATGCGAGTATTATTTGACGTGGCAAGTGTATGTTATGCTTGCTGCTACTCTACTTCTTTCTTTCATTGGCATGTTCGATCAACTGCTGAGACGCCCTGTGAGTATCAATCAATGCGTAACAGTGCATTTGCAGCACCACTCATCAAATATTTTATTTTCTTGCAGCATCTTGTACGCAGCCAGCATGCTATGTACTATTCCTACAGCAAAGGTATCTTACCTCCAATGTGGGGAAGACCTATCGTAGCGTAGTTGTTATATAACATTTTAATATGTACACCTTACCCCTCTCTCCCTATCCTCTGCCCCATAGTCATCTATAGCAAATTTTTCACGTACAATGGGTAATAACCGAAAAAAAAAGATCATGGTACAAACAGTACTTCGTCTTTTTAATACATCTCTTGGCAAAATTGGAGAAGTCTTACAACTGTCCTGTTCTGCCAACATGCACCATATCGATGTTCCTATGGTGATCAGCTTTATGGACTCAGACTGGTTACCTAAGCGCTGAAAACATATCCGCATCCGTAATTCTAAGTCTGAGCTTTCTAGAATTTACGAAGACCAGGTTTACAATTGTGGCTTGATGTAAATCGCTTCCCTCGCTCCTATAATGCATACATCTTTTACCGGGAAATTTTCTATGCACAGGTGGTTGACGCCATCGTCAGCTCTCGCTCACATAAAACATGCTCACATTACCCGGATCGAAGTTTCATGTAAGCTAATGTGCCCGACCTATCACCGGGTCCAAAAAATCATGTTTAAAGGTTACTTCGGCATTAATGGTTGATGGTGAGAAACAAATGGAATGGTAAGGAGAATATACGTCGGGACTAACCACTGATGTTATCTGGCTTGAACCTGGGATCTGTAGAACGATTTTTAATTGCCGCGAAGTACAGTATCGATGGGATAGGCAAAAGTTGGCGGGGCAATTTTCCTTTGCGGAGAGGACGCCTTCACAATACTTAAATCGTCCAGAAGTCAGCTGTTGACCACCAAAGTCAAGATGCTTCGAGCCACTCCACGCAAAATAACATTTTTTTGGCACTAGGTCATACGAGGGAAAAGCGCCTTGATGTGCGAAAGCGTAATAATGTAAATTGTGTCGCCCGCTAGGAATTTGTAACCCTTCGTGTACTGTGGTCCTTTCCATACTACCATAAGGTTTTTAGGAGCGCCGTACAGATCTTCAAGCAAGCAAATCCTCTAAATTTCGATTGTACAACAAGAAAAATTCGGCGAATGATGAAACCGTAAATGAATGTAGAGGTATGTGCGTTGTGGGGTAAGTGATGGCGAATGCGTTCACTACTAGTCGTTGCGAATCCATGGAAGCACCCAGCAGATTTGGATGCCGCGGAAAAAAAAACCTAACCGGATACTTTCCATGTCTATATCTGGCCAAATTTTTTTTTTGAGCACAGTGGAGAGTACATAATCAGTAGTTGTTTTAGTACAACCGGGAATCCATCGCCTTCATGAATAGTCTTTCACAGAACCTCGATCGTTTGATCGGATTATCGAAATTGAAAATAAAAGCGGAGAAGCAAGTGAAAATGGAAAGTATCTTCGGCAGTTAGTGGTTAGAAATGATCAGTGGTTGAACTGCTTATTAGACTTTTTATCCACATCACGTTGTCATATCCATACATGTAACTTTCCCCACACCTTTGTTCAGGCACCCCAAAATGCTCTCTCCCCCCAACGGACTGCCAATGGGAGTGTGTGCAACATCAATCGTTTTGTACCCGGCCTTTTTTCCTTCGTCTTTTTTTTTTTTTGCTTGTTTGTCACTCACCTCGTTTTCCCATAAAAGTGGGTACTTGAAGAATCCCCTCCAAATACCCGGTGATGGTTGCTGGTTCTACCTCTCTTATATATCCCTCTCTCAAACTATCATAAATTAATACATAATGCGACTATCGTTCTCAACGAAGACTCTATACGTGTTATGCACACTCTACGCAGTGCTTGCTCTAGCTCAAACAACAACCAATACCACAAGCTCACAGGTTGTAGCTACAAATACAACGTTCACAACTATCGACTCTTATATTCCACCAGGATTATCGTCTATTCAAGCATATTCAGCAAACAACACCTTCTTATATTCTGTCAATGCTACCGATTTGAAGAACTACGATGTAGAGCATTATCCTCTCTTGAACCAAGTTGGATATTTGATGATCGGAAAAGGGCCGACTGAAATCGGGTTTTATTCACCATATGGTGGTCCTGGCACTGTCACAATTCTCGCTGCCATCATGCTGGCCATGAACGATTTTGTGGTTCTTGGCCGAGATCCAACTTCCAAAAAGGACACGGCTTCAATTCGGTTGATTGTTGGTGACTGGCAACATGATTATACTACGTTTTGCCAGGAAAACAATTATCCCAGTCCCGACATCGTTGTGGTTGGTACGTATTACAAGTGAAAGTTTGATGGTTTGGACGGTTATATTGACTGATTTATCTCTGCTTTTACATTCGATTAGGAACTACTGCTGTAAGACCTTAAGGACATTCCTACGCTCATTCCAACATACATAATTGACTGTTTTACCATATAGATCTCTGCCACAGCTTCTAAAGGTGAAATTTTGCCTCTGGATAAGCACTTGGATGAATACACTCAGCAACATAATACACTGTTGGTGGACTCTTTCCTCAAAGTAGGTGACAACCTCCACTACGGTGATAGCATTGCATGATCACAATATTGACCGTTTGTTGTAGTACACCTTGTATGATTATTATTACACCAACTCTTGGTATGTATTATGACAATTACATACTCACAGAATTCTGTGTGCGCTAATCTGTTTCAAATAGGTGGGCGGTGCCATTGACCACAGATACGAGACTGCTATTTTACAATCGCACCACTTTTCGAACTCTAAATATGACCATGCCTCCTCCAGAAGGGGATTGGGGCGTCCAATACTGGAATAATTGGTGAGCATACCAAAAGTCCATTGATATACAAGTACTACGCTTTTTTCTAATACGGAATTGTGCAATAACAGGAACTGGACTACATTTGTCAATTATGCGACGAATATTCGAAATTCAGGACTTGGATATGGTTACCAATTTTATGGAGAGTATGATGAAGAAAGTAAACTAATGACTATGGTTGCTAGAAGCAACATCTTGGATCTGTTCCCTACAAATCGTCAATGGTAAGAAACCACCGATTGTAGCTTGCTTTTCATGGATTATATTGATTGTAACATGCTTTTGTTTCTTTTCAGTAATCTGTTATCTCCCATCTTCAACGACATATTGGATAACTTTATTCGTCCTCTATGGACTCCGACTGATATAGGCGGCAAATTCCCGACAGTTGCTAATCCGGACTTCTACACTACTGAGGGCAATCCTGCTTTGGCGAAATGGCTGGCGGAGCCATATACCAACGAGCCTCCGTCAGATCTGAGCATCTTCACCGGTCAATACGGTGACGGCTCCGTCGTTGGAATGAACATAGACACCCCTGCCAACACTAAATACTCGAGCAGGTAAGATATCCTCATTTTAAAAAAGCTAAATAATTCTGCTTTGCTGACTTTGTCTTAGTTGGATGAATGATACTTTGACAGGGGGAAATACGACTGAGACAAGTGAAATTGGAATTGGTTATTTACCTGCTGTAAGTAATATCATAGCAGAACACATATACATAATGAGAACGACACTAACAACGTAGGCATATCTTTGTTGGCATATCTAGAGCGCTTCATGTAAGTTTCCAATGCTTACAGTTCAGCAACTTTAATGAAAGATAACTAACGTAAACTCATTGCAGTCTTGGGTGGCTCTGGATTAGCTTTGGCTTCTACGTCAAACAACACTGAAATGGCATGGAACCTGATCGTACAAATGATCGATCCGGAACAAGTGTAAGTGCTCATTGACGTGTTTTTCATGTTCAGTTTTCATTGCTCAGCTGTACTAACTTGACATCTGTAGATACCTGAATAGTAAGTATCTAGATGTCAACAATACCTCGACAAGCGATTGTAAATAGACTCTCACACAAATTATTACCCAAAAGTTATCAATCAAGCAAACGGTTTGTATCCCCCATATGACACGTCGGCATCATACCCTCCATGGTCTCTATCTCCATTTACTGTCGCTAGAGAACAAGTCTCGCACGCTGTACCAATGCAATACCCTCACATCACATTTCCTCAAATTGCTGATTTTGAAAATTCGCATGTCTTCAGGTGAGCTCAGAGTACACTTTAGTTTGATCACTGTTTGCCTACTTCAGTGTATAGTCAAGCTAACCTTTTGCAAATAGACAACTGTTTCTCAACGTAGTCGAAAAGAATGCTACCAACTCGCAGGCCATAGACGAAGCGTGCAGTGTCATGATGGAGATCTTAGCTCCCGAATGCAATAGTTCAAATTGGTACCCAGTCTACGGTGATTCATGTCAGGCAGGAACCCAAAATCTGGTTGTTTCTTACGAATGGACTAACTCCTCGGGTATAGCGTGCAAAGGTCCTCCAACTCTACCTAAGCCGATCTATGTTCCTTGCGCCTATGCAGTTATAGACACTAGACAGAGCATTGCCATGCTTAGTCTGACATCGTTATGCGCCATCATCTCTCTCGTATATGCCGTTCTATTGTACGTTTACAGACGAACAGCTGTGGTCAAACGGGCGAGTTTTATGTTCTGCGAGCTCGTACTGTTTGGATCCTTATTTATCTACTCTACCGTATACTTTCTCGCCGGTCCTGCTACTACTGCAAAATGCGAGCTGGTAATACTAGTGGTTGTCATTGGTTTTGCTCTGCTGTTTGGTAGTTTATTCTGCAAAATTCTCAGAGTCTACAAAATTTTCAACAACAAGGGCTTTGTAGCTCTTCGCTTGACCGATTGGTATCTACTCAAACGACTAGCTGCCATCTTGGTAATCGAAGCTATTGGCCTTATTGTTCTTGCTCGCGTGGATGGTGGCCCTCAAGCAGTTATGTACGATACTTACACAGAGCCACAGACTGGACAGAGTATCATGCAGGCTAAATGTGTGTATGGAAACATCGGTGCTCTTATTTATATTGCTGTATTCAATCTTCTTTTGATTGTTTACGCTGTTGCTCTATCCATCGCAACATGGTATGCAAAATCATTTTTCTTCTCCTGTTTGATAATTTTAGATTACTAACAATGTCATATACAGGAAAGTACCCACACAATACAATGAATCCAAGTTTGTCATTGCTGCATCATATGCCGTAGGATTCGGTGCTATTCTACTGGCTCCCTTGATATTCTTCGTCACAGATCCTACGGCTCGCCTCATGATCATAGGATTGACTATCGATTTTGGTGTTGTTATTAGCGTATCTATATTCTGCCTTCCCAAAATCTACACTGCCATTCAACTTTATCGACAAGAGACTATTCGTCGACGACCAGGAGACACACTTGATCGCATCCGAAGTCGACGAAACTGTACATGTGGAGAGAAGCATTCATGGTGGAAATTCTGGCGTCATGACAGTGACTGCTGCTCTTCACAAGGATCTGGACCATTCAAATTGAAGACCAAGCCCTCCGTTTCGCAATTTACCAAGAGAAAGAGTTTCCTACAAAGCATAGAAGAAAAGGAACCCGCAACCCACTTGAGCTCGCGACGTACCATACAGCGAGGCAATATTGGACATGTCCACGAAGAAGACGTGGTTCGATCTACTACAGTGAATAGCTTTGTCGTCGACAATCATAAAGACATTGATGATCTCAACAGTGCAGATCTCCATGATAGACAAGACAATGAGCTTGTTCTTCTCAATCGTCCTGTCAACTCACTCAGCCGACGATCACTCAACGAGCAAAGGATTGCCTCTAATTCGGCCACAAATCCATTACATAGGCGAAATGTTCCGCCAGCACCTTATACCACCTTTTCTCCCTTGTTAGAGCAAAAGATTGCTCATTGCCCCCACTGCGGAATTGGCTTTGACGCCCGTAAAATCTAATTTTTATTTTTTATTTTTCACCTCTATAATTCATCATTAGTTAGAAGACACTGACAAACCATAGAAAACTTCTATTCTTTTAAACTTTGTAAGTTAGCCTGAAAGAACACTGAAAATAAAGCCATGTACAGAACAGAACACATACCTTTTTTTTTTAGATGGGAAATCGTGCGACTTGGAAAAAAAAAAAAGGTGGACGATTTTCCAGTCAAACCCATGTGCTCCATGGTTCCACTTGTTACCATCCCAGCCTCTTACAAACAAAGCCACTTTTGCGGGGGAATGGAGAGATGTTCAGTTCATTAACCTCCGTGCACCTTGTCGACGACGCAGATATTGCACTTTTTCATTCTAGTTGATGGAAATTCTAATGTTTAAATGACAAACGCTTGTTGGGGTATAGCTCAATCAATGTAGGACATTACCATAGCTTTGAGGCAGTGGTCCTAAATTGGCGGGAAATACCACAAGATCAAAGAGGTCTGTGTTACTGATACCACGCGTTCCTCGGATAATGGCTTTTGGGGGGTCTGAAAGTTGATTTCCAGCTCCCCCCATTATCAGATTGGAGGTACAGAACCAGACACGTTCCCAAGGCAAACCAATTCAGACAAGGCCATTTTTTTTTTTTTGAGTTCTTTCTCGCTTTCTTCCTTTCTACACGCCCAAACTTTCTCTTCAGTGTAAATCTCTGTAGCACTTTGCTGGCAAGTGTTTACACCATTCGCACGGAAAAAATCCACCGGAGCTAAGACCCGCTTCCTTTGCTCGGTTTTCAGCATCTTCGTAACGAAAGCAACCTATATCACACATGATACCCAACAAGATACTCAGGGTATTCCTCTTGTACATATCTTACATATCATTCCTTGTATCAGCGCAGTCCACCAATACAACTAAACCATCCACTAATGCGACTGCTGACTCATACTTGACCATCGATCAAGCTGTTCCAATTGGAGCGGCCCAAATCCTATCATACGACATCAACGATAAATTACTGTTTAGCGTCAATGCTACCAATCTAAATCAGCTAAACATGTATACGCAACCGGAATTACCCAACGTTGCCTATTTCATGGTTGGGACTGGAGCTATACAAATGGAGCTATGGTCGCCATTTGGCGAAAATGGTAATACTGTAGTAGCTCCAGCTCTCTTATTTGCAGTCAATGACTGGGTCGTACTTACTCGAAACACATCCACGACGACGGGAGGAACCATGGCCACGGTCAACGGCAACGATACAGTCACCGTCAAAGTCGTTGTAGGCGATTTCAACAGCGATTGGATGGCGTACTGTGGTGAAAACGGAGTCAAATGTCCAGATATGGTCATTCTCGGTACCACTCAGGTAATAATTGAATCTCACCAAGGTTTCCACATCTACAATGTCTGTCTAAAGCTTTCTTCCCATGGATAAAGATTGCTTTGCATGCTGCGCATGGAACGATAAAGCAGCTGGATGATTTGTTTACACAGTATACACATGAAACAAATGCTCTATTGACAGATTCTTTCCTGAAAGTGAGTCAATTAAGCTGTGACATGGTAGTTATTCAATAGGCGAGCAATGATTTTCTAATCTACGCGTAGTATACATTCTATGACTATCAATGGGACGAGCACTGGTAAGGGATTTCGTCTCTTCACCATTGGAGTTATATATATGATAACTAATTAACTTTGATGGAATAGGTGGGCCGTACCATTGTTGACAGACTTGCGATTTACATATTACAATCGAACAACGCTTCGTGCTCTCAATATAAAACCTCCTCCTCCTGAGGGTGATTGGGGCTTGCAGTGGTGGGACAACTGGTAAGCGACAAAGGCATTTATTGTCCCTCGAATTAAAATTACGCTTACAAAAAATTAACTTTCGTGCCTAGGAATTGGACCGTATTTTTGGAAAGCGCACGCACAGTGATGGAATCCGGCATCGGATATGGATTAGAGTTTGTAGGTCAATACGACGAAGAAACAAAGCTGATGAACATGATATCAAGAGATTGGCAGGTCGATTTTTTTAAAGCCGACGAATCCAGTTGGTACGATTTTTTTCTTATCAGTATACACTATGATGCTTGTATTGCTTGATTGTTATCTTACCTACTATTTAATTCAAAAGTGCTCTACAAAGCGATGCGTTCCTATATGTGCTGGATAACATTATTCGACCGCTTTGGGCTCCAAATACCACTCAGAAGAGTATCGCTAATCCGCTTAAACACATTTCTAATGCATCATCCTTTGAGCAATGGCTCAAAACACCAGTGGACAAAGTCAATCCGTTCACCGTCGATCCTTCTGGATTCTGTTGCGATTATGATTTATGGCCGACAGATATTTTAGCTGGTTATCGAATAGATACTCCGGCAAATTTTAACTATACGTCGGTGTGGATCAAAGACTGGGCCATCAATTCTACCGCTTACTGGGACAACTCCAGCGAAATTGGTGTTGGAATGGCTCCTGGGGTAAGCATCTTAAAGGGATGTGAGCGATATTTTTACAATATACTAACATTTTGCGATAAATCAACTTTTAGCAAGCTACATGTTCGTATAGGTGAAATTTTTAAATGAGGGTTCGAAGAGCATACTCTAACTAACCTTTATTGTCTATCTTTACAGTCTTGGGTGGTTCGGGATTAGCCATTTCCAGCACAACGGAGCACCAGGATTTAGCATGGGATTTCATTCAGATGGTCATCAATCCTACAAACTCTGCAGATGAGGCTCTTGAATACAAATGTCAGTTTTGGTCTCAAATGTTCCACCAGAATAACACGAACACTTACCAAATATACTTTGATATTTTAGATCTTAACTTGCTGAACGAGGCAAATGGTGTATTTCCTCCATACGAGACAACAGAACAGTTTCCTCCGTAAGTTATATTCCTAGTCCTGGGGGAATGACCATGACACAAAAATGTAACAAATATTCGATCCAGATGGACAGCGCCATCATTTTATACTGCACGTCAACAAATTTTACACGCAGTGCCAATGCAGTATCCTCATAGCACATCACCACAGATATCCAGCATAGAGGATAACCATGTCTTCAGGTATGATTCAGTGCACACATTTTGTCAATCATGAACTCTTGCTGACATGGAGGTTTCGTCAAACAGACAAATGCTTTTCAATATGGCATTTAAAAATGCCACTAACGAACAAGCAATCAATCAAACATGCGATCTCCTCAAATGGTTAATGGCACCCGACTGCTCATATGAATTCTGGACAATTACTGTTGCAGATAGATGCAACCCTAACACTGGTACACTGGACGTATCATTTTCATGGACAAATACAACGCCTGTATGCCATGACGGTGTACCTATGCCATCGACGTACTCAGTACCTTGCTCCTATGTGGACTTAACGACACAGCAAGGATTTGGTATCACCGTGTTGAATTCATTTTGCGCGACCGTTACCATCGTGTATATGATCTTGTTTGCCATCTATCGACAGACGCGTATCATTCGAAGATCAAGTTTTCTGTTTTGCGAACTGTGTCTGCTGGGCTCTTTATCCATATACACCACTATCTATTTACTCATGGGTCCTCCTTCCCGTGCTCGTTGCACCATGACTGTTTGGACTCTGATACTTGGCTTCTCAATGTTATTTGGATCTTTGTTTGTCATGACTTGGAGATTGCGTAAAATCTTTCATAGCAAAACTGCAACACCTTTGCAGATCACAAATTGGTACCTTGGAAAACGACTGCTCATTATTGTAGTAGGAGAAATCGTTGCTCTATTGATTCTGACTTTCGTGTCAGGGGGTCCTCAACCATATCAATACCAAACAGGAACCATACCTGACCAAGGAGACCCCATTATGCAGGTAATTACGAACAAAGGCTACAAATCGCCGTTGTAGACTTGGGTTTTTCTCATCATTTATTCTTGCAGTCAACTTGCGGATATGGCAACGAAGGTGTACTCATTTATATTGCGGTTACGAATCTACTGTTCATCATGTACGCTGTCGGCCTCTCAGTAGCAACATGGAATGTTCCTACTCAGTACAATATCTCTAAATACGTCATTGCGTCTTCTTATACCATCGCTTTTGGAGCCATCTTGGTCGCCCCTTTGATGTTCGTAGTCACTGATCCATTCGCAAGACTATTGTTGATTGGTGTCACGGTGGATTCTGGAGTTTTGATGTCTGTTTCAATCTTTTCAATTCCAAAGCTACTGATTGCGATGAAGCTTCGCAAGAAGAATGGAAAGAGCGTTATGAGTGGCCGCTGGTGGATATTCGGGGCTACGACGAGAAAAGATGCTATAGACGAGTCGTTCAGTTCTGAAAAACAACAGTATGAACATCAATCTGGCCTTCGACAGAGATTGACAGGGTCCGGGAATGCCAACAATCTCGGACAATTTGATGAAGACGATGATAACGAAATACAGGAAGCTCTGTCGCCATGGGTTGCTCCACTCCAAACGCACTCGCTCACGGATGAGAATGGCTCAGGGACTTCACCCAATGCTGACTCCGCCATTTGTGAGCGTGCAGACGATTATAGCAACACTCCTGCTATTCCTGTCGACAATAAGCGGCCGGCAGCAGCTTCGTATTCTATCAGCTTCCCAGCTCCTCCTCTTGGCTTGCGGCAACGCCAGGCCACACATGCAAGTGACGATTTAGCACTTTATGGGGTCGTCGGAAATATGGACGACCTTTTCATATCGGGAAGGTCTCCTGTTGATCAGGGCTTGGTGTATTGTCCAAATTGTGTAAGTGCACAGACATTTTAAATCTTTTATTGTTTGGAAATCTATGGCTTAATCCTTTCTATATTTTTATGCAACTTAGGGTATTGGTCACTCGCATAAAGGCTCTACTTAATTCTATATGTACATTGCTCGCATCCCCTCTACACTACTTGTCGATAGCCATTAAAACATAATGTTTAATATCGAATCGAACTTCATTTTTGTTTTCGCTTCGCCTCCTTCTTTTTGCGTAATTTGCACTTGCGACACATACATGTCCCGTCTTCTAAGTCAGTGTCTGAATCAGTGTCACTGACGGCGACAGAATCGCTCTCGCTACTGCTGGGGCTTGATGAGCTAGTTGATGATGAACTGGACCCTGAGCTGCTTGGAGGTACTCTAGGCACAAATTTGAGTCCATCAATTCTATCCACAAGTGCTTTAAACGAAGGGTCTGTTTCTCCTCGTTTTGAGAGTTCGCGATAAAACTTGGCTGTCAACTTTGGTCTGGAATGGCGAGCTGCGAGGTATACATTTTCGAGGTTGGTTACAGAGCAGAAGTTTTGAGTTATGGCGACAGTAAAGTCTATTCAATAGAGCTGTTAGTCCACTGAAGAGTTCCACGCAATGCTATTGCAGTATTTACCCAAATTCATTACAACGTGTGCCCAGCCGGTAGGCACAAAGATAGTTTCACCGGGTCGCTGAAGAACTTGTACCATTCCCAATTTCTCACCCAATGATCTAGGATCCGTTGGGTCATCTCTCTTTGTAAATTTTGGAAAAACCGTAGCGAACCAGGATACAGCTTCATGGTCATAAGGTTTCATAGGGGGATCGACAATCTCCTTTGGTGTGCCAGGTGGAAACATCGCCCATCGTTTGTGGCCCTTTAGGAGGGCATTCCACGCTGATGTTCCCAGAGGATCGGTATGAATACTGATAGTAAGGTTAGTTTCACGTGCACTAGCCATGATGAATACTACATTGCAATGAACATACCCAGTGCCACTACGGGCATCGCCCATTACGAACCATTTGTATGGTGGGCGGCGTCGCTCACCAGCAAAATGGAAAAGATCATCCGAGAAATAGTCCGGAACCGTATAATCGTCCAAAAGCGTTTTGCGCTTTTCTTGTTTCTCTATCTTGCTACGTTTGGCAGGACGGACAGAGCTTTCCGATGAAGTTGAGCTTTTAGTTACCGTGGATGATTTTGATTTCTTTTTGCCTCTACCCCATTTTTCGAATCCGCTATCAAATATGTACAGCGGAGAGTCGTCAACCTGGCTCTCGGTATCGACATAATGAAAGAAATGCTTCATTTTGAGGTACACATTGTTCTCGTCGTCATCTTCTCCGACCTTGAAGGTCTGTGATCCGTACTGCTTGATCATGTACTGTTTTTTTTTTTCTTACATGAGCAAAAATGGTTGACATATAGTGACCTCCTCAGTAAATTGTCTCTCACCTCTCTGTTCCAGCGCTGCTCAGCAGGCCACTTTTTCGTCAAATTAAGAATAACGACTGGCAGTTCTGGTCGTTCGTATTTTTCAATGAATTCTTCCTTTGGTACAGTTAAACCATCAATTCGATCGACAGTATCCACTATGGGGTCTATCCAAAAGTCCTGTTTTGCAAATTTCCATTTGTTCCATTCGAAAAGGTCCAATTCTAAAGAAGAAAGCGGTCATTAGCCAATTCAACATTCGCATGGGAAGCAATGCGAAAAAAGGGAACTCAGAACAGCGTTACTAACCTGAGCGTGCTTTCACTTTTGCTCTAGTGATACGACGCTCGATGTGGAGGGTCTTAGAAATCTTTTTATCTGAAGTTGCTTTTCGTTTAACGGGTTCTTTGGCAGACGGCATGGCCATTACCATTGTAACAACAGCTATGAATTCCAATGAACAAAAAAA